GGCTCAGAGGATACTGTCAATGACGATCCGTTGTCGGTCCAGATTCGCCGCGAGCTCCGTCAACTGAGCAGCCAAGGTTTTGAGGTCAAGGATCTTGGAGAGAAGAAGCTGAAGGGCCTCGAAAATCCCGAATACATCTACCTGATGTATCCTCACTCGTTGGCGAGTCGGCTGGAAATACCGCCTGGTGCGGAGCAGAAAGTCCAGCTGGGAGGCGAGTCGCCTTCCACGGGCGACGACAAAGGCCAACCGGGCACTCTCGGCAAAGATAGCCAACTGAAGGATCTGCAGCTGGACGAGGTCTGGAAACTCTGGGACATTGCTCTGCGCCTGGAGATGTTGTGCAGCTGCCTAGAGGCTCCGGAGCGGTCAGCCGGACTGCACAAGCCTGAATTGAGTCTGCTCACCCGAATGAAAGAACGGGGCGGCGTCCAAACAGATGGGTTCATGATGAACCTTCTGGAACACCAGGTGACGCGAGTCGAGGTAAGCAGGATAGCTCATTCTATCGTCTGTCTGTGCGGGAGACAAGCTAACATTTGGTAGGCATGTGCAACGACGCTGCAACTTCGACACATGTACCAGCCTTTCCAGAAGGGAGTCAGTCTCTTTGATCAGGCCAAGCCAATCAGCGAGATTCTGCGCGAGATTTCGACAGTCCTCGCCGAAGTCAAAGAAGAGCGCAACCAGATTCATACTCCCGACACTGGAGAAGAAACCGACTCGGAATGAGGCTGGGGGGATCGCCTCATTCGATAATGACGACGATGATGTCTACAAGGTGGAGACACTGACTCCGGCACGCGATATTCACACCGCTCGAGACTCTAATTGTCGGCTACACATCGACGAATGAGACGTACAACCAGGGAGCTCATAGCTCGGTAATTGATGCTTCCAAGGCATGGAAGGATCTGCTATTAGTATTGGGAGGGCATTGGGATGGAAGTTATGAACACAACAAAATCATCGGCACTTTGCAATTTAGGCATGGTGCCTAATCTAGGGCGGCTGGGATGGGAACTGCTGTTTGATGAGGGTTTTCATACAAGAACCAGGGAGGGGGCATTTGGGAAGGGATGAACGCCGTTACGAACACTCTGAAATGCGTTGTCGAGCGTCTGGAAGTTTTCTTTCTTTTTTGGTTTGGGTCCCCTATGCACATAACATATTACTTGTGTACTTGAGAGAAAAGGGAACGGGTGTTCGGGATATGCTATCCTCTGGAAATATGGCTTCTTTTTATGGTCCAGCAGTTGGTTCGGTCGCTGTCGATGGTGTTGAGAGTGAGAGGAGCAACACGGAGGGTTTGAGATCAGCTTTGAGGGCGGCTGAAGAAGCGATCAGCAGGGGACGGACAGCACAGGACGGTACAGGTACAGGTACAGGGCAGGACAATAGGGCAGAGACAGCACAGCGGAGAGCAGAGCTACAGCTTTTCAAAGAGACGACTATGACTTTGTTTCTCTCCCGCCTTGGTTTGTTTCATGTTTGTGGCCACCACGTTTATCGCAGCCGTGATACAGCATGCCATGCCATACATATTATACGGTCTCTGTAAACCAGATGGGTTTCTCATGCCGCCGCGCTTGCGGTTCTCGACCACAATCCAACAAGACCAGCACTTGATATCAAACTCCTCCTCTTCCTCCAGCCTCATCCTACAGCCACAATTGGGAGACGTGGGGCTGAATTCCTGTGGAGTGACGGTACAGCCCATATACGAGGTACATGATCGGCGTCTGCTATGACCGCATTACTATCTAGACGTCAGGATCGCAAGTTTGGATGCGGATGGTAAATGGCTGATCGACTACATTTCTCCGAGCATTACTCCGACTACCATGGCGGCATGGCTGCATGGTACGTAGACAGGAACAAGATGTTAGTACTACTACCTCCTTCATCATCCTTTGAGATTTCCGAGAAAAGACAGAGTATTCTTTCCAAATGAAACACTATCACTTTGAAAGCAAGCCAGTGGCTCATGCCGATGCCCTCGTTTCGGGACCTCATTACCGCTTCACCGTCCTCACCGACCGTCTGATCAGGTACGAATGGTCTTATGACGGCAAATTCGAAGATCGAGCATCGACTTTTGCCATCAACCGTGAGTTTCCCGTGCCCAAGTTCCAGGTGGTCGACAGGTCAGATGAACTCGAGATCATCAACGATCATTTCCACCTGAGCTACGACAAGAAGCGGTTCAGCGCGAGTGGACTGTTGTGCAGCTTCTCGGCCAAGGTCACTCTCTGGGGAGCACAATGGCGGTTCGGTGCTCAACCCAGCCATGGCAGACAGGAGAACCTGGGCGGAACGGCACGGACATTGGATGAGGTCGACGGGCGATGTGACATGGGCAACGGCGTGCTGTCGAGGTTTGGTTATGCCGCCCTTGACGACAGCAAGTCGATGCTGTTTGATGGCCAGGGCTTCGTGGCTGGTCGACGACCTGGTGACCGGATTGATGGATATCTCTTCTGCCACGGTCACGATTACAAGGGCGCAATCAGAGACTTCTACGCCGTCAGCGGCAAACAACCCTTACTGCCCCGCTGGGCGCTCGGGAATTGGTGGTCGAGATACTACAAGTACCGTCAGGACGAGTACATTGGCCTGATGGACCAATTCAAGAGCAAAGAGGTTCCCTTGTCAGTCGCCGTGGTCGATATGGATTGGCACATGGTGGATGATCCTCGTGTCCCCCATGCTGGATGGACGGGTTATACCTGGGACAAGAAGCTGTTCCCCGATCCCGCGACGTTTGGACGAGAGATTCACCGTCGGAATCTGAAAATCACCCTCAACGACCACCCGCACTCGGGCATCCATGCGCATGAAGATTCGTATGAGGACATGGCCAAGTTCCTGGGCCACGACACCGCTCAGAAGAATCCTATTCTGTTTGATCCGACGACTCCCAAGTTCATGGAAGCATATCTGGGGATTCTGCACCGGAGTATAGAGAAGATTGCCTGTGACTTCTGGTGGATTGACTGGCAACAGGGCTCTCATACCAAGGTGCCAGGAATCGACCCGTTGTGGCTGCTCAATCATTTCCATTTCCTCGACAACGCCCTGGACGGCAAACGCCCACTCATTTTCTCGCGATATGCCGGCCCTGGCAGCCATCGCTATCCCGTCGGCTTCTCGGCGGACACGGTGACCACATGGGCCTCGCTGGAGTTTCAGCCCGAGTTCACCGCCACGGCGTCCAACATCGGGTACGGCTGGTGGAGTCACGACATTGGCGGCCACTTCCACGGGAAACGCGACGACGAGCTGGTCACGCGCTGGGTGCAGTTTGGCGTCTTCAGCCCTATCATGCGTCTGCATTCCTCCAACTCGAGGTGGACGTCCAAGGAGCCCTGGCTGTATCGGGAGGAGAGCGAACATGTCATCGAGACGTTCATGCGCCTTCGACACCGCATGATCCCCTACCTCTACACGTGCAACGTCCGCGCCTCGACTCAAGACGAGCCACTCATGCAGCCCATGTACTGGCTCTTCCCCGAGCGCGGCGAGGCCTACCAGGTGCCGAACCAGTACTTCTTTGGTTCGGAGCTCATGGTGGCGCCGATCGTGAAGCCACGAGACCGGCGGACGAACCTGGCGTGCGTCAAGGCCTGGTTGCCGCCCATGCACCGCCACGTGGACATCTTCACGGGAACCGTCTACGACGGGAATAGGGAACTCAACATGTACCGCCCGCTGCATCAAATCCCCGTGTTGGCGCACGAGGGCAGCATCATCCCCCTGGACGCAAACCGGACGCCCGGCAACGGTGGGATCAACCCAGAGCACTTTGAGGTTCTGGTGGTGATTGGCCGCGATGGACAGACGTCCGTCCTCGAGGATTCGGCTGACGACGACAACTCGGATCAAGCCAAGAAAGAGGCTCCTCCTCGGACCGCAGGGGGCGAGCGCAGTTCCCTGATTCGGTGGCACCAGGCCAAGGGTGAACTCACGGCCCACGTCACGCATGGGCGGACGTGGAGCTTCCGCTTCCTCGCGGTCACTGAGGCGCCCAAGGATCTCAAAGTCACGGTCTGCGGTCAAGACCGCACCCGGGACACGGACGTCTCCATCTCAAAGTTCCCCGACACGCCCTCGATGCTCGTGCACATCCCTTCTCCTACAAGACCTCCCCCAGCCGCGCGCACGGACACGTACACCATCACCGTGTCTCTCTCCGGCGAACGCGGCGGCGGCGGCGGCGGCGACCCGCAACTGAGCGTGCTGGACCACAAGCCGCGCATCGAGAAGCTGCTGCTCGACTACCAGACCGAGTTCGACGTCAAGGACAAGATCTGGAGCATCGTCGACGACAGGGTCAGCGCCATCAACGTCAAGATGGGCAAGTTGATGAGTCTCGGCATCGACGAGTCCTTGACCGGGCCGGTGGCAGAGTTGATCTTGAGTGATGTCCGAGGCATGCATTTGTGACGAAGTCAGTGAGTTAGTGATGGAGTGAGTGAGGACGAGCTTGAACTTGTAAGGTGGATTGCTGGTGCGGAGGGAGTGAGTTACACGGTGTGTCAGAATGTCAGAGTCATGGTCTGTTGTTGAGGTATTCAAAAAAGAGATGTGGAGGGAGAGAGAGAAAATAAGAGCATATCAGAGATAAAAGAGAGAGGTAAAAGCATAGCAAAGATATAAGAGATAGACAGACAAGGGATAATCTGTGGGTGATACTCCGATACAAAAAGAAGGGAGCAGGTTGACAGAGCTTTACGTGGACAGTGTGCGCATATGTGCTTGATACTCTACCTATGCTTCAAAGCAACAATGCCTTTTTGCAAGCATCTCCTAAACGTCAAGACTGGTAAAGTCAGCCAATAGGATCTCTCGCGACTCAAGTAGTATGTGTGACAAGGTGAGATGATAGATACAGAAGACTTTCTAAAAAGATTCTTCTTTTTTTTCTTCGTCTGAATCGTCTCTCCGAGGGTGGACAGGAAGCCTTTTCAAGAAACCTCACTCTTGCTCGGGGAGCGGATTCACAATTTACTCTCGCGGCCGAACGTCGGAAACACCTTGGCCTCCAACCACTCGCCAATCAGGCGGTTGCAGTCCTCGGGCTTCTCCCACAGCGCCCAGTGGCCGGCGTCGACGTCCCGGCGGGTCAGGCGCGGGATGCGCTCGCCCATCTTGGCGGCCATGAAGGGCTTGAGGGCCTGGTCCTTTGTGCTCAGGACGAACAGGACCTCCTGGCGCAGCTGGGTGTCGCGCTCGGCCTGGCGGGGGTCCTTGCGCCCGTTGTCGTAGAAGTCGCGCCACTCGTTCATGTAGTTGACCTCGCGCGTGCGGTACCAGTTGAGCGGGCCGTGGACGCCGTGCCGCGCGTACTCGTCGACGTAGTAGTCGAGCTCGTCCGGGGTGAGGAGCCGCGTCGTGCCCATCCGCCGCTGCCGCGCCAGGTCGAGCCCCTTGTGCGCGTCAAAGGCCACCTCGCGCGTGTCCGCCGTGCGCCCGCCGTACATGTTGACCAGGAACTGGCGGATCTCGTCCTTGGACCGCACCGCCTCCTCGATCTCCCCCGACACAAAGTGCTCCTGGTACCCGAAGTTGGGCAGCCGCTTCTGCACCAGGATCCCCAGCGGCTCGTAGCTGGCGTTGGGCGGCGAGTAGGGCGTGCAGATGCTGAACACCGCCGCGATCAGGTCCGGGTAGTGCTGCGCCACCCGGTACACGATCGACCCGCCCCAGTCGTGCCCGCCCAGGATGATCTTGCTCAGTCCCATCTGCCGGCACAGCTCGGCCAGGTCGTCGGCCGCCCGTCGGAAGCTGTAGTCCTGCAGTGTCCACTTGGGCGCGTCAGTCCGTCCGTAGCCCATCGAGTCCGGCGCCACCACGTCGAGCCCGAGCTTGGTGAAGAAGGGAATCTGGTAGCGCCACCCCATGCTGATGTCGGGGAAGCCGTGGATCAGGAAGACGGTGCCCCGTTTCGGCACCGACCCCGACGCCGGGCTGAACAGGTAGCCGTATGTCCTCCCGTTCAGAAACGCCGAGCGGAAAGAGACGCGCGGGTCATTCTTGACTTTGATCTTGTCGACTTTGGATTGTTGTTCGAAGGCCATGCTGGAGGTTGCCCACACGTGCGGTGTGTTTGGAGATGCTCGTATTTGTGGGGCTTTGTCCCTTCACCTGTGTCTTTATCCAAATATTGATGTGATTATATACACACCTCCGACCCTGGCTCGGTTGACCCAATGCTGGACTTGCTCCGTCTAGACGGATCTGGACGTTGGCCCTCGGTTCACGGTCCAATTGCAAAACTTCCCCTCACTTTCAATAGTCAAGGATGTTGACTCGTGCTATTTCCCTGCCAATTGATGACTTATCAAGAGGAGAGAAGATGATGAGAGCTGAGTTGACATAAATATGCTGTTTACCTTCTGTTGCTCTGGGTGTAAGCATGTCTGCCCTACTAGTTGGTTTAGAGCAATCAGCCGAGGCTTAAATGTCGGCACGTGACTAGATGCTCCAGGTACATCTTTTGCGGGGGAGCTTGGCATCCTGGAAGCTGCCGAGTGGTCCACTGATGCCGCTGTTTATCCGGATGACTAATTCTGGCTTGGCAATTACCGTGTTCAATAAGTCTCACCTCAACATCTTGGTCGAATGAAAGCAACTTGGGGGAAAGACGAACCGTGTATTACTCTGCCCAACCTACCTTATCGCAAGGCGCATTGGGAAGGAGTAGAAAGCGTTCCCATCCTGTGCCTTTGCGGGAATATTATCTGACCTGGCCGCGCTGCCGCGTCAGGAATGTCAGCCCCTGAGATAAGAAGTTATGGCGTGATGCAGGCCCCGAATGAGCAAGTCCAATCATCTCTCTACTGGCCACATCGCCGTGACGCGACCGACCCGCGGACTGATGCGATACATCCGATCAAATACTATATTGACATGTCGACATACGTCCCAGCGTGTCAAGTTTGTCAGCACGGGGCTGCCTGTGCAGTAGCATGTTTCGCCCTCTGCTGGTTTGTACAATCCCAGCCTTCCTTTATATGCCGCTGCGCTGTGGTCGTCTTGTCGTTCAGGTCAGCCTGAAGAGCGCCGTTCGTCACTCGTGAATTTGTTTGGTTTATGGCTCCCGAGATGCAGGACCTCGAAACGTCACCTCTCTTATCCCCCAACCCCGAGCAGGGCTCGGTGCACGATTCGGAGAGCCTCGTGTCGACTACAGCAAAGGATGAGAGAAATATTGACAACGATGTGCTGCCAGAGACATCGACGGCGGGGAGGAACATTGGTTGGGGCAGCGCCTACATCCTCGTCATTTCTCGAGTCATCGGATCAGGCATCTTCGCCATGCCTGGAACCATTGTCCAGAATGTAGGCAGTCCTGGCCTAGCTCTGGTCCTGTGGGTTATTGGAGCCATCGTTGCGTGGGCTGGATTAGCCATCGACATGGAGTATGGATGCATGCTTCCACGCTCAGGCGGAGTAAAAGTGTATCTGGAATATACCTTTCGCAAACCACGGTTCCTCACATCGACTTTGGTTGCTGTTCAGGCTGTCCTCCTCGGGTTCACGGCAAGCAACTGTATCGTCTTTGCAAAATACACCATTTTTGCCGCCGGCGCCACTCCCAACGACCTGAATACCAAATTACTCGCAGTCGGACTACTGACCTGGATCACCATCGTGCACAGCTGTTTCTACAAGACAGGAATCTGGATTCAGAATGTCCTCGGTTGGGTCAAGGTTGGGCTGATCGTGTTCATGATCCTGACTGGATTATTCGTGGTTTTATTTCGGCCTCATACCTCACCCAGCAGCATCCCGGACCCTGCCTCGGCCACAGCATGGGATGACCTGTGGACTGGCTCCGATTGGGCGTGGAATACCTTGTCGACGGCATTTTTCAAGATTCTCTACTCATATGCAGGGCTCAGCAACGTCAACAATGTCCTCAACGAGGTAAAGAATCCTGTGCGAACTCTCAAAACGGTCGGTCCCGCTGCGCTGTTGACGGCTTGTACGATGTATGTGCTTGTCAACGTTGCATACCTCTCGGTGGTGCCACTCGAGGAGGTCAAGCGCAGCAGAGAGCTCATAGCAGCTCTTTTCTTCGAGCGAGTCTTTGGGGCTGGCTTTGGCAACAAGTTCCTTCCTCTTGCCATCGCTCTCAGCGCTGTAGGGAATGTCATGGTGGTCACCTTTAGCCTGGTACGTATCCTCTCCACCGAGCTATGAACGTCCTAACGATTTGCCAGGCTCGAGTCAATCAGGAAGTTGCCCGGCAAGGGTTTCTTCCTTTTTCAGAGATCCTGGCTTCTTCCAAACCCTTTGGTGCTCCCCTTGGTGGTCTCATTGTCCACTACGTGCCATCTGTGTTGGTCATTGTCCTCCCGCCTTCTGCTACGGTGTACGCTTTCATCGCAGATGTCGAAGGCTACGCCGGACAGTTTTTCGCGCTTGCTGTTGGTGCTGGCTTGATCATTCTCCGCACCAAGAAGCCCGATCTCCGGCGACCATTCAAAGCTTGGATTCCGGCTGTATGGTTCAGAATCATCCTGTCTGTGGCGTTGATTGGTGCTCCGCTGTTCCCCTCCAGCAAAGGCGCTTCAGATGTCAATTTCTTCTATGCTACATATGCCTTGGTTGGGATTGCAATGTAAGCAGCTTCTATACCCCAAAACGCCATTTACTGACCATATCTACAGTCTTGTTTTCGGACTCGTCTATTGGTTTGTGTGGACCATTGCATTACCTCACTATAGAGGCTATAGGCTGGAGGAAGAAACGGACGTGCTCGGTGACGGGACAACAATCACGAAACTCGTCCGCAAGGAATTATAATCAGTGCACTGTATTGATAAGCATACGGGACGCCGATCGGAAGATCATGAAACAAATCACTCTGAATACTTCGCTTCACTGAACATAAGACTGTGAACGCATGAGCAATTGGAGGCACATCATCCAATGGCATAGATGCCCATTCGCCTCGGGTATTGGTAAACACACGTTCTGGATGGCTTACCCCACACTCCATCTGAGCATCGCGTGTATAGAACCCGGGATGGCGTGCTATCTGACAAATCAGGAAATACTGTGGCCTGGACCATAAGTACAGGGTGCCCTTCACTTGTCGGCACAGCTCCGAGAACTATTCAGCAAGCGAAAGAGACAACAATGGCATCAGCAGCAGTTCAACAACCCGGCGGTCACTCGACCTCGTTCGAACCTTTGACGGCACAACTGAAGAGTACTTCGGTGCCTCAACAGGAGAAACACCATGTCCATACCCAGTTGAACTATCACAAGGATTCTGAGGATGGAAGCCCACCGCCTCCAACTTATGTTGGCAAGCCAGAGACGTACGAAAGACCAATCCAACCAGTCGACGTTACGGTACATGACATTCGAGGCGAGGAAAGCAACTATACGCTTGACAAGAGTGGCTTTGAGATTTACCGTCACACGAGTGTCGAAAAGGACTTTCTTGATGATGACCAGATCAAGGCACAATACTACCCGGAGGTCGAACAGTTGTTGAAGGATGCGTGAGTGATACCCTAGAGTCTACCACCCCTGACCTTGTAGCTGACAATGGCTGGTTGGTAGCACTGGGGCCTCTCGTGTTTTGATCTTTGACCACACGATCCGTCGAGCCTATCAGGACGAACGAGGAAATCCCACTACACCTCCTCTTCGCGGGCCCGTGAACCGCGTCCACATCGATCAGAGCTACAGCGCCGCCAAGTCGCGGGTTCCATTCCACCTCCCCGACGAGGCCGAAGCCTTGCTCAAGACCCGCTACCAGATCATCAACGTCTGGCGACCGATCAAGACCATCCTCAAGGACCCCCTCGCCGTCGCTGAGGCCCACTCGGTGCCAGACTCGGACCTGATCGGCGTCGGTCTCATCTACCACAACCGCAAGGGCGAGACCTACACGGTGCGACCCAACCCGGAGCACAAGTGGCACTACCTGTACGGCCAGACACCGGAGGAGGTGCTCTTGATCAAGTGCTTCGACTCAAAGTTGGACGGACGAGCCAGGAGAGTGCCACACACTGCGTTTGTGAACCCGGAGACGGTCAATGAATACCCACGAGAGTCGATCGAGGTGCGATGTTTGGTCTTCCATGAGGATCAGACCGCTGAATAACCGGAGAAGTTGGGGGAATATATGTCAGCCAGTCAGATCTACCTCCAGTACTGATGTGAAACTATATGATTAGCAATATATCTCCACCGTACCAGCGATAGTCTGATCCGTATCTGTCTAATGGTCAAACGTTAACTTGTAACTGTCATCCACTCTGAAAGTTCAATTCCCCAATGATGCCGTTTTGCCGTTGACATTTCAATCCGTCGGGGGTTTGCCTCGGTTTTTGCTACCCAAATCCTCCACCACGACCAAACGATCGACATGTCCACTTATTTGATATACTGATACTGGGGTGACTTGGTGCAGTTGTACGACAAGTACGACGGCGCCACTTGGATTTGTCTGCCAAGCCTGCGCCACGAGGCGGAGTCAGTCACATGACCGCGCTTAACTGCATCAGGCCCCAGAGAATGATGCGTTGACCCCCCAGCCACAGTCTTGGTGGCCACGATCCCTCCCTCGCTCCCCTCCTCTCCCCTCCCCCTCTACTACTTGTAGCCAAGGCATCAACCAACTTGCCAAACTGCGCCCCCCCGCCGTTGTGGAGTGATTTTACAAGCATTCGCCCATTCCCGTCCGTTTATCAAACGCGCTTTTTCCGCCGGTGCACCTTCTCTCCAACGTGCTGCGTCATACTTAGATTCTCGCACGGTGATTCTGCCTTGGCTCTGCCCTTTGGTCTTCCCTTTGTCACGGCCCGCATTTCTCTTGAACGGAAAAAGGGGGGTTGTTTTGGGAAGGGGGCCCTAAAACTAATATATTATTTATCTCCGAGCTCAAAAGGCAAACCTGCTTGGCTTCTTCCTCATCGTTCCCTTTTCCTGCGATATCACACCAGTAATCAAAGCGAACCTCTTCTCTTTCCATTTTTATCTGCCTATTCTCGGCGCAAACTCAGTCGAGGCAGTCGAGATCACAAGTCTCCTAATCCGATCTCTACATACACGGCGCAAATGTCATACGGCCCCCCTCAGGGTCAACCTCCGTACGGAGGATATCCTCCTCAAGGACAGGGCTATGGCCACCCTCCACAGCACGGCGGATATCCTCCTCCCCAGGGCGGCTTTCCCCCTCAACAGGGCGGTTATGGCGCTCCACCACAACAACATTTCGGTGGTCCACAGCACGGCGGTTGGGGTCCTCCTCCCGGAGGCCCTTTCCCAGGTCAATATGGCGGACCTCCACCTCCACAGGGGGGCTACGGCGCTCCTCCCCCTGGCGGCTTTCCCCCACAACAATACCAGCAATATGGCGCTCCTCCCGCGCAGCCCTCGCCCGGTTACGTCCTCGGCGCGCAAGCGCAAGGTGATGCGTCGCGCGACGCGGAAGCACTGCGTAGCGCAATGAAAGGCTTCGGCACGGACGAGAGAGCGCTGATCCAGATTCTGTCAAAACCAGATCCCTTACAGATGGCACTGCTGAGAAATACCTACAATCAGCGCTTCCATCGCGACCTGGAGAGAGATATCAAGTCAGAAACATCAAAGTATTTCCGGGACGGGCTGGTCGCGCTTGTCCAGGGCCCGCTCATGCACGACGTACACAGTGTCCACGGGGCGATCAAAGGGCTAGGGACGAAGGAGTCGGTGCTGAACGACGTTTTGCTGGGTCGATCGAATGCCGACATGCGCGCCATCAAGCAGGCGTACCAGCAGACGTACAGAAATACCCTCGAAGCAGACGTCAAGGGGGATCTATCGATGAAGACAGAGAGGTTGTTCGAGTTGGTCATGTCGGCTACGCGAAATGAGGAGTCCACCCCTGTTATCCCCGCGGAGCTCGAGCGTGATTGCTCGGAGCTACACCGCGCCATGGACGCCCGCGTGGGCACCGACCAGCTCACCGTGTGCACTATTCTGGCGAGACGCTCCGATGGCCAGATCCGCGCCATTGCACAGCATTGGCACCAGATGTACCGTTCGTCCCTCGAAAAGGTGATTGAGTCCGAATTCTCGGGACACATGAAGGACGCACTGGTCTTGATGGTCCGGAGGGCGAGTGACCGCGCCATGTCCGACGCCGTGCAGCTGGAAGATGCTATGGCGGGGCCGGGCACCAAGGATGTTTTGCTCGTTCAACGGGTGGTCCGGGCGCATTGGGACAAGGTGCATTTGGACCAGGTCAAGCGGGCCTACTCGCACCGATACAAGAAGGATCTGATCCAGAGGGTGAAGGGTGAGATCCATTTTGACAAGTATTACGAAGGGCTAATGGTTGCTCTCTTGTCTTGATGGAATGACGGGATTGCCAATGTTTCAAGTGTTTTTGGTTTACACAGGGACCGACTCTGGGTTTTGAGGTTCAGCATGGGTGGCTGCTTATGATCAGACTTTAACACATTCCTCCAGGCAATGAGTGACTAGGACGGGTATGAACTACTAGCCATTGGTTGTCTCGCGACAACTACTTTCTGCATCTTGGACAGAAGGTCAAATAGGACAATGCTATCAATATCTTTGACATTATAACTTGGCATTCGTTGCTTTGGCTAACCGCACTCTTGTATTCGAGTTACGCCGTTCCTCTTTTGCAAAGCATCCCTCTTCTCTTGTGTTCAATGTTCCGGAAAGGAGCCACGCGATGCTGGAGTGGTCCGCGCATTGACTTGATATTCTTTGCGATCGGTGCCTTGTTAGAGAGATGACTGGGACGTGCGATGACACATATATCATCAGACGAAGAGGAGAGGAGAGGAGAGGAGAGTATGGTGGGTAATACTCAATGGGGGAAAACCTGAGATTGAAACATAAAGCAAGTCTCGCAGGACAGGGAATTGCCAAGGCCCGCAGTTGTCGGCCGCGTCTCTTGGACCCAGACCAGAGCACCACTAATCTTTATTCAACCTCTACACACAACCTCCATAGTTACAAGACGTTGTACTCCGTATCTCGTATCCTCTTCACATCTTGATCGCCGTCGCGTCAAGAAGCTGTTTTGGGAAGCCAGCGTCGGGGTGGGCTCTTCCACGATGCCTAAATCAGGCGAGCAGGTTCTGGAAATGTCCGCAGATCAAGATCTGCAACTCTGTTGTCAGCTCTGACTGACAGCTTCGATCCGATCAACTGCCCTTCAATTGGAGTACGGTACTCGATAACTCGGTATGCTGTGCTTGGACCCACCACCCCCACAAGGAAGCCCTGGCCATGTGTCTGCCCAACTGCCTTAGCGCAGGGCCGAAGGCCTAACGACGCCTATCAAGATTGATCTCCAACGAACTGTTGGCACCGGCTTGCGGCAGCCCGGAAGTTCTTTATCCCTTCGATTTCCCTCTCTTACCACGCCCCCATTCGAATACTTCTAGAGGCTAGTTTATCGCGCAAACCACCTCGTACAGACCATTGTCTGTTTGGAGCAAGCCCGATTTCCAAGCAGCTCGCAGGTCGGTTTTTGGGGACAAGCATATTGACCGCCAGTTGCGCCGCCCGGGCGTATTATCCGCATCACCACACCCTTTCCTTCCATTGTTTCTTTACGCATGTCCCCCTCCTGGTCTTCCGATTCTCGTCCGCCTGTGGCCATGCGCACTCATCTCTTACAAAGCACTACCTGCGAATATGCATCTCTGAAATGCCCCCCCACAAGGCCGGTCTTCTTTTTGTGAACAAGACGCCCGAGTCAAAGTCTCTCTCCAACAGCAAAGGCGACGTCGAGAGTTCGCGTCAGATCCACAAGCATGTCCAGAAATCCCGAGACTATGAACAAGAGAAAGAAACCCGAAGGAAACTGAAGAGGGCGAGGCTGTTCTCCCTGGGATGGACTCCTGTTTCGGTCGCTCCCAGGCAAACGCCCGCCTCGGAACCTCCCCCCGTGCTTTCAGACGCGCCTCCCAGCAAGGGGGCCCATTCTGTCGCCCTTAGACCCCACGTACATCGGCAGCGCGAGGCGGACGCTGATTGCTGCACCACTCCAGATAGACCCAAGAATCATGTTCCAGAGGTCTCGCTTGTCATTCCTTCATGGGGTTCGCTGGATCCGTTTGGCCAGTTCAGAGTCCCCATGAACCTCGAGAAGCACCGCATCCTTGAGTACTTCGTCCTGAGGTTCTTCCCTGCAGTGACGCGAAGCGATGTAGTCGCATTCATGGGCCACACCCGAGCATCTTCATCAAGTCCTGCCGTGCAAGCTGTCCGCCGAGCCACAACCAACGAATTGCATGTCCTTGCACTCTTGGCTGCCGCCAGTGCTCGAATGAAGTTTGTTGATCGATATCATTTTTCCCGCGCGGATCTACCCGAGCGGCTGGCAGATGCGACTCTTCGACTCCTGAGGAGCTATTTGAGCCAAGCGCGACCAATCACCCATGAGTTGGTGCAAAGCATCCTATATTTGTGGACCGTGGAGAGCTATCGAAGAAATTGGGAGGCCGTCCGGACGCATGGGAAGATGATCATGTTTCTCTGCAATGCTCACCTTGGTGGCTTCCGGAACTTGGATCCTTATATGCGCCGCATGCTGTGGGTGGCGGATCGTTTCCAGGCGGCTGCCACACAGACTCCACCCTTGATCCAAGAGAGATGGGAGACTGAAGAGCTGACGCCGCAGCAGTATACCTGTGCGGTGGCCGCCTTGCGTGAACATCGCCGCCAGCCAATGGGATATGGTTTTACGGAAACAAATAGCGTCTTCAGTGAGGATTTTCAACGTCTTCTAGATGCTGTCCTGGAGCTTTGCTGTGTCATTCATTGTCATTGGGCCGGCATTGCCGAGAAAACACTCGTCCCAAAACAAGACTGGGCTGTTGCTCGAAGCTATTTCGTGGCAGACGAATTGATTAACTTTAAAGACAGCGTTGGCGGGGAAGGCCCCGAAAGCCCCGTTTCTGGAGAACCGAATTTCCAGGACTGCGTTCGCCTGGCTTTGATCGTTTGGATGGCATTCGTGCCAGCGTGTGTACCATATGCTGTCAGTGCAGGACAAGTTACACTGCGCGCGGCCGTCGACGCGAGATCTTTGCGGCACAGACTGGGGCGGATCATTTCGAGTCTGCAGGAACATCCGGCTAGTGTGAAAGAACAAGCTATGCTCCTGTGGGTTGCCGGCTTGGGTGCTGTTGCGAGCGAGTTGGTCGACAATCAAGAATGGTTCGCGGTGCATTTCCAGAGACTTGCAAAGACGCTCGGCATATTTTCTTGGGAAGACTTTAAGCCGATCCAGGAGAGATTCTTGCTCCTGGATCACCTGAAACCAGGCAGCGTGGTGAAACTGACGTGGCTCTTACAGCGAGCTGTGCATGCTGACCTTGGAGGCTGAACCATGGCCGTGAATTGGCTATATACGCCCAGGGATCTGCTATGCCGGCACCGAAGACCATCGAGGGTACAAGAACGCAGTCCTGTCAACTGTGAATCTTGAACCACAATCTACAATGCTTCGACAGAAGGGTCAATATAACAGTGAATCTGGCGGACCGACACTTCTCATGCCAATATCAAAACCATTAAAACCCGACACATTCTTAGGGTGTGCTCGTCCTGCGTCGAACATAACAGACATGCTTCCCAAGTTCTTGTCTACGCCTGTGCTACGCCGACCGTCCTGCGACTTCCCAGCTTCTGGAGAGTGTGTCCGTCGAGGACTGGACTCGACGGCCGGATCACAAGTTGCCACCGATCGCGGAGTCACGCAAAGATGGCTATCTGGCGCGCCTGGGTAATAAAGTGGACTCTGGCATTCCGGCGGCAATCACGGAAAATGTCGGGGTCAGCAGAAATCAGCAAGGGACAAGGACGAAAGAGAACCGGGAGTTTCGGGTGTTGTTCGGTGCCCAGGCCGAGGACTCATTGATGCCGGAAGATAGTCCAGGGTACTCGGTCACGACGATTACTTTGTAGATGGTGGTTGAGTATCCGAGGAGTAGGCGGTCGTGGGGTTGAGATGTGTCTATCAATGACAGAAGTGAGATGGGCGCAGTTGATCTGAACATGACTGCGCCCATGGCCGGTTGCATGCTCGGAAAAACATATTTACCGAGGCAGAATTGAAAATGGACACGAAATGGGGAATGGAAATCACATGCTTGGCGGGGGAATTTGGATGCTTGGATGCGTAATTCCCTCGTCATTCTCTCTTTTCATTTTGTTTTCCTCCCCCGCATTCCTCGGCTGTCAGATTCAATTTGATAGCTGAGATCCGCATCCGATGCCTCGTAAAACATGCGTCACAAATTACCTGTTTGTATGTACCAAGGAAAAAGCTATGGTGGGGGGAAAATCCAGCTGACCCTTTTTGGTGTGCTTCTGACTTCATCCCCAAGTCTCGTGCTTTTGCTTTTCCACTCGTCCTTCCAATCCGCTCTTGTGCCCTGGCGAGCTTTTCTCTCGAGGCTAGTAAGGATCCCGCTGAAGCTGCTGGGGGCTGCCACTTGCGATTATGACACAATGGGCATATGATGAAATCTCTCTCTCTCTTTGGTCTTTTTTTTTCCCATGGGCTCATGGCTCTAATCCTTGTTCATCATTATTGCTCGGCCCTGGCACTGTCGCGCTACCCGCTGCCCACCCAAGGTCCCCGCCCGCCGCCGCCGCCGCTCGCCTTTCTTTCTCATCCTGCCTCGGCGGAAGGGGACAAAAAAGCTAGCTTGTCTGGCTGGCTAGCTAGCTAGCTAGGTACTCACGACGAAACTCTTTGGAACGGTAAACGCGGTTGTTTTCTTGCTTGCGTCTCCTTCTCCCTCTCAGTTTTTTTGCCTCTCGGGCCTTTTTATGCATGCAATCTTCGATGATTTTCCGGATTCAAACCGGGGCAATTTTGGTAGTGTCTAGACGTTGCTGCTCGGTAGAAGTTGTTAGTAGTCAGTCCCACGTCCACCACAACGTCCGTCCCTCCCTCGTGTCCGTTCACAAAAAGTCTTGGGTTGGGATCGTGCATGATTGTCATAAGACTAGCTGATATTTTCCCTTTTTTTCTTTGCTAAAAACTACTCACTTCTTCCCTCCGACTTCGTTCTCTCGCGTGTGCAAAGGACTCTCTTCATCTTGGGGGGGTTATTGAGTCACGATCGTCCTCTCTCCTCTCCTCTCCTCTCACTCCATACTTGAAACCCATTGGGCGTTGTTTGCGCTTTTGAGGGAGCTTGACATTTTTCTTGCCCTCATCCCTTCCTTGTCTCCGAGTCTAGCTCTCTGAGCGTCTGTCTGTGTTGTCATAAGCACGCTTCGTAACAGGCCGACCTCGACCTCGACCTCTCTCTTTAAAATCCTCGTTTGCGCTCCTCCCTCCTCCTCAGGTGATCGTAACGAGTCAACCCTCGAAATCCGCCGAGCCGACGTCGCCGAACCGTATTCTTTACCCTAGCCTCGACTAGACTATACGATCTCACCAAGGTGCCTTGCGCATGAAGCTGCTGAGCACGTAATAGCTTCGCCAACGGATTATTTTTCTCTAGAGAAGACTCTCACACGAAAGAATGTCGGCCAAGAGCGTCAAAGGCGAAGGCGGCAAGAAGCCCGCCAGCGCGGCGACAAACCTCATCGCCGGCGGTGGCGCGGGCATGATGGAGGCCCTGGTCTGCCACCCGCTCGACACGATCAAGGTGCGCATGCAGCTGTCCCGGAGGGGGAGGACGCCGGGGACCAAGAAGCGCGGCTTCATCATGACCGGGCGGGACATTGTCAAGCGGGAAACGGTTTTTGGTCTATATAAGGGTTTAGGCGCCGTTCTCACGGGCATCGTCCCCAAGATGGCCATTCGGTTCACCTCGTACGAGTGGTATAAGCAGCTCCTGGCCGATCCGGATGGGAAAGTCAGTTCGCGCGCGACGTTCATGGGTAAGCAATCCCCTCTGCACAAGCAAAGGTGACGCACGGCGAGTGGGATGTCAACTAACACGTGAAACACAGCTGGTTTGGCCGCCGGTATCACAGAGGCAGTCGCGGTGGTGACGCCCATGGAGGTGGTCAAGATTCGAATGCAAGCCCAATACCACAGTCTGTCAGACCCGCTCGACGTCCCCAAGTACCGAAGCGCACCGCACGCCCTCATGACCGTCATCCGCGAAGAAGGCTTCGGCGCTCTGTACCGAGGTGTGTCCCTCACTGCCCTGCGCCAGGGCACGAACCAGGCCGTCAACTTCACGGTGTACACGGAACTGAAAGAGATGCTGCAGAGATGGCAGCCGGAATTCGACAACAGGAACCTCCCCGGTTACCAGACCACCGTCATCGGGCTGATATCCGGCGCCATGGGTCCCTTTTCCAACGCCCCCATCGACACGATCAAGACGCGGTTGCAAAAGACGCCCGCCGAGCCGGGTCAGACTGCCCTCTCGAGGATCATGAAGATCTCCAGCGACATGTTCAAGCAGGAAGGACCGAAGGCGTTCTACAAAGGTATCACGCCCAGAGTGATGCGTGTGGCTCCTGGACAAGCGGTGACGTTCACCGTCTATGAATACCTGAAGGGAGCTCTGGAAAAGAGCAACCTCATGTTTGTGGGAGGCAAGTACGAGGAATGATCGCGGGGTGAGCCCCAGAGTGTTAGAGAGGGGAGACACCTGGCTGGGTGAGGTAGTGAGGTCGCAAATACCATGCATGTTGTTGTGATGTTCTGCAGCATCTTCCTGGAGCGAGAAACAGGGGGGGAAGGGGGGAAAAGAAACATTTCGACTTGGCGCCCACAGGACCATTTTTCCATTGTACATAGTCACAGAGTTGGTCGATGTGCGAGTTTGTTTATTTATCGTTTTAAAAAGCGAAATATTTCGTGGATCCTCATCTGTCAGCGAGCCGTCTTTTGTCCTCTCAATACTGCCCGTCTCCGGCCCTGCGGAGTGTAATGTACAGGTTTCGCATCTCTTGCGCTCTTGTGCAAAGTCCGCAGGTCAATTCGGGGCGAGATCATTGGGAGAGGTGGGAGGGACAGGCAGAGGGGTCGAATGAACGCATCGCAGGAGGCTCGGCTGGAGGACTTGTCTCGTCTTGTGTCTTTTCGGGCTGAGGGGAGTTCTGCGTGTATTTGTATGAGTCAGTTAAATGGACCTGATGGTCTACTCGATATCGCATCCATGAAGGGGACGGCGCCATCAGTGAGTGAGTGAGCGAGCACTCTATGTCTGAGCACCTTGTCACTGACACAGGAACTTGTGGGCGCAGGACCCTGAAAGGATTTAGACTGCGCTTTGTGAGTATCACGGATTTTATTTATTCCGGTCCGAACTCCTGAGTTGTCCAACCAGTGGCCACTACCGAGTATATCATTCTCCCTCTCTAATAGACATCAACTCGATGTACTACAGTCTCTTTCTCTTGAGACCTGTTATCCTCGCCATTGCTGAAGAAATGTACTCCATGGATCGATTCACGAGCGTTTGCTGAGACTGTGCCATATCATATTGCCAGCGTCGGATCCCGGCTGTGCACGTCATCTCGCCAGTTGATGTACGTGCTAGAATGAACCCGACACCTTTCCAAGCCCTCTTCAGGCTTCAACGGCTTCTCTTTGCGGTCTAACCTAACCTGATTTCGTGGTTAGGCGGCTTCGAGCGTCTTTGGACTGTCCTTGATCGGGTCTCCTTCGACGGGAAGGCTAAGGCACTAACAACAAGGCGATAGAAAAATGCTGACGAATACTGAGAGCAGTAACTGTCTGAGTCTGATTTGTTACATACGAGCTCACCTTGAGTTAAGATGCGTTACTACTCTCCTTGCAAGGCGATTGACAACGCTGTGGATGTGAGAAAACCCGGGCTCCTACCTCTCATCCTGCGCACAGAGGCGTCTCCTCTACCTACACCACACCGCGCACACACAACCTTGTTCGACCGTCTGCGGATATGATAATGATGCGATAAATGTGGAGATACCCCCTCTCCTTCAATTTATTTGCTTTCGAAGGGAAAACTAACAGAACAAATCGAGATCACGAGGTAACGACCACGCTCTCCTTCGCCGCAGCGTTCTTCTCCCCTCTCGACATGAACTCCCTGATGACATTCTCGGTCAACTTGGCCACATTGTTCTGGTAGTCGTCCCAACCTAGCGAGCAATACCAGTTGATGCTGCCGACGGAGAAGACGGCGCCGCCGGCGTCGGTCTCGTAGTAGACGATGTCGGAGCGGATCTCGTTGGTCTGAGTGCCCAGCGTCGCCGTGATGGGGAAGTTTACGATCTCCGGGACAATGCCAAAGTCGTCTGGGTGGCCCGTGCTCGTGGCGACGATGACTCCGTTCGCGGGGCTTCCACACGCGAGGTCGAACGAGTCAATCTCGTCGCCGCTGGCGCCGCCTCCGAGGCCAAACTCGCCGATCAGCTCCTCCCGCGAGATGTCCTTGAACATCCACTCAAATTCTGGGCCGAGACCTTTCTCGGTTCGTTTAAAAGGCACACCGGGCCCGGCTCCTTCGGCGCAAAAGGAAATGCCAAACAGGCCGTGCGAAGATCGCCCGCGGCTCTTCCATAATCCACCCTGCGTCCCGGTCAGACTCATGATCCTCTCAGGACCAGGAAGCGTGTATGAGCGGACACCTTGGTCTCCACGGCGGACCTCGAGGCGCCAGGGCCGAGCAGTATCTACGGCTGAGACCCAGTAGAAGCCATTGCCGCCAAGATACATAAGGTTGCCACCTTTCCGGGCAAAGTCTTCGTACGCATTGTAGGACTGCACGGTCGGGTACTCTGGATGGGACCCCGTCATGACGGTAGTATACGGGGCCAAGGCGGCGGCACCGTGGAGGTGAAGGTCGTGGTCCGTGACAATATCATAGGGGATCTTCTGCCGTTCGAGAAACCCAATCATCATCGAGTCGGCGCTGAGCTCGCGAGGCCGTTGAAATGCCCACATCACATACCCCGGTTTCAGGTTGAGGATTGGCCTTTTCGCGGACGAGAAGACGGTGCCCGAGTCGTCGTTGTGCACGTCGTAGTTGGACAGGCCCAGGTCGCGACGGCGTCTGAGGCGTTCAAAGTCCTCGCTGCGTTTGATGGTTGAATGGTCAAAGCTGGGCCCGACGTCGATGGAGCTCGACCGCGCTCGGTCCGACAGCTGCTCGTTCGCGTACGCCAGGTAGGTAAAGGTCGACAGCACCAGGGCCACCTTTGCACCTGTCGCCGCCGTGGTTTCTGGGGTAGGCCGCACGAAGAAAGTGATCATGTCGGAGGTTTTGCCGTTGGTCGAGTTTACCTCGAGCGAGTAGATGCCGGACCGCGCGTCCTGGGGGATCTTGATGATGAAATCCGTCTCCCACTTGGCGTCGTCCAGGTCGTCTTCGTGGAAATGGATCGCACCGTAGCCGTACTTGGCCTTGGTCCAGTCCGACTCGCCGCCGTTCCAGTCCGGGCCTGTGACGGCCCTCGTCGGCGCGTTAACCAGAGTCCCGTGGAAGTTGTTGCCCGACACGTCGAGGACGGTGTCTTCCGAGATATTACGGGAGAAGTCGTACTTGGCGATGACTTCGGTTGAAGTTCCTTTGAGGACTGAAATCGTCGGGCTGTCAATGCGTCCGTTGAAGAAATGTGTTGCTCTTGGGAAACCAGAGGCTGGACTGTCAGCGTAGGTCGCTGCAAACAAGAGATCGTCGGAAAAGGGCGTCGAAGACGCGACCACGGGCGAAGCCAGTGTGGTCTTCACCGATGAGGCCGACGGAGCCTTCTCCACGATGTACGCCACAGGTTGAAGGGTGATGGAACATTCTGCCCCCTTGATCACAACGTTCAACTTGATCCATCTTCGTCGCGCGGGACTGAATCCCGTCTGGACCGTTTCCACGCCGCTCCCAGTCCCGATCCACGCTTCGACGAGGCCCTTGTCGTCGATCAAGACGGCCAATCCGGTCTTGGTGTCGGCATTCAGATTCGAGATGATGGCCTGCGGATGCCCTGCCTGGGGTAGATGGGCTTGGAAGAAGAGCGAGACTTCCACCCCTTCCAGCGTCGACGGCAGACTCAGTCGTTTGACAACCGCGTAGGAACCCGATCGGGCATATTGGAAGCGTCCGGGAGCCACGCCCGAGGGGATCTGGGAGACCTCCTCGAGGCTTTTTACGGGCGAGTGTTCTTCCTGGACGCCTTGGATCACGCGCACGGTGCGATAGGAGTATTCCGGCTCGGTGCAGGACACCTTGATGGCGACCTCGTCTCCAGGGCTGGCGATCCAGGGGTCGGCATACCCTGTGATTTCGGAGGGATAGTCCTTGGGGGGTGTATCGATTGTGCTCATGTTGACTGGAGGTGTCACAATGCGGATCGACCTCTTTTGAGGATCTTCTTTCTAAGGAGGCGTGAAAGGATGTCTTTGACGATGCAAAAGTGCAGGACTGCCCGGCTTATCAGGCTCTTCTATGTGGTAGGGCTATCGCTGTTGGAGCCCAGTATTTTTTTTTTATCCCAGACAGACAAAAGCCAGCTTCAGCTTCATTTGACTTTGAACAGCTGTTTGTTTTTCGTCCGTGGTCGTGCACACTAGCACTTCGGATTTCCTCCGCCTTCTATATCAACCAGCCTCCATCATTGGAGAGAGAGAGAGAGACAGAGCAGGTCGCGTCACCTTTTTGAGTTGGCCTCCCCCCCCACCCATCCATCAAGTATTGATTGGGGAGATACGGAGCACACCATTATTATCGCTGAACCGCGCGCGCCCCCGTACCGTATCTCGGGTCACGGAACGAGAAAGGGGATAAAAATGTCCAATCCCATTGGCGTAAAAGGAAATCGATTATCTTCTGTTGGGCCAAGGTGGAATTCGTGAGTGTGGAAGCCCAAGGCCACTTGGGTACTTTGAGGAAGGGGAGGAGGAGGAGGGTCCCTGGTGCGTGGGTGCGTGGTTAGCTGGCAAGGGGGAGCGGTGATATCCACATGCATGCAATGCATGCGTGCAGGGCGATATACATACGTACATACTCGGTACCTTGTACGAATAGAGTACATACATAAGAGGAAACAAAGGGAGGGTCACCACTGGTGCTACGGCCGAGGATAGGCCCGAATAGGTAACCAAGTTTAGTAACTATACTCGGTATTTCGTTGGGGCCTTGCCTTGTCTTGCCCTGCCTTGCCTTCTTCATTCATGCAAGTACATGCTCAGGACAAGCACTGACTGACTGACTGGCTAATGGGTGACTGCTGATCGACTCGGCGAGAAGTGCCTTGTATGTACGCTGTGCCGTGCCATGCCATGCAATGCAATGCTGCACCACCAAGCCGTTGTCCGAGGTCTTGGTTGGAAAGATCCACTTTGGTAATGGTTATTATCGTAATCATCTCCCTTCCCCCCTTGGGACATGTCCCGATTAGGCAAGAGAGCCAGCCTTAGGGCTCTGAGGAGGAGGAGGATGATGATTATCATCGTGATAAAAGGATAGGATGATAGGGTTGATGGTTTCGATACTCCTGCCCGTTTCGTCGCTGTGTGACGTTTCTTGCGATTGCTGGCTGCGATGCAGCGGCTGGCTGGCTGGCTGGCTGGCTGGATATCTATCCTACTCTTACATATCTGGCGAACTTCAGGTACAGATCACAAGCACAAGCACAAGGACCAGGACAAGCCCGTGCGCGATACTGTCTGTATGCATACATATCACGGACTCGGTATATCAGCCACGATCGACAGACAAATACCCCCCTCCACTCTACTCGCTACAGAGTATACTCTTTACAGGGTGATAGACCCGAGTATAAAGCAGCCCAGGAAGCCGAGACACACATGTATGTAATCTAGATGATAAATAGAACAATAGATGATAAACATATATATGTACCTCGTACTCCTCCCCCCCTAAAGGTGCAGACGAATCCCCCGATTGTAATTGGATCCTTGTTCCAACGCCACAAAACTCCTCCTCGTTGCCACATGCGTCCTACTGTACGAGTACGGGTACGAGTACGAGGTGCGCTGCGCGCGGTGGTTGTCGATCACCCCTTTCCGCGAGGGAACTTAGTCGGTAGTGCAGCGATTTGGTTCAAGCCACCAAAACGTCGGGGTGTGGCACACACACACACACTTGTATACGATGCGATGCGATGAAATGTTGGTCGACGGTCTGTCCGCGGCGTATTCTCTCCCAAATGCATACATAAATACAGACATACCATTTCGTTGTCTTGCACCCGTGTCCTGCCTTGTCTTGTCTTGTCCTGCTTTCTCCCTTCCCTTCAATCCCCATCCACTCATCCACCCATACATCAATCCAACCTGGGTGAACCAAGAACCAAGCCTGCCTGTAGCCCGCCGCACCCGCCTCACTCAGACCCCTGCCACGGCCGAGTTCCCAGTTTCTAATGCCCCCCCACGATCAACGTGTCGACATACTCCCAGTACTTCTTGGCCGACAGACGCCTGAGCTTCTTGCCCCAGACGGTCATGAACAGGAAACTAAAGTTGCAGAAGAGGCAGAGAAAAGCCACGGCGATGAAGCAGTTTTGCGTGCCCGTGTTCTCCAACCAAGGGGTGATGCCGTAGTTCATGCCGAAGCCCATCTGTTATTGGCAAAAAGTCAGCATAAGGAAAGGGAAAGGGCTCGCATGAAGCTGCTACCGTTCTTTGCCTCACAGCGGGAGAGTCAAGGAAAAACTTACAGTGTTGCGAATCACAATGACCAACACGACCGTCTCGCCGGCAATCTCCTTGAAACAGTCGACGTCGTACGCCAGCGCCGTGCTCCCGCCGCTGACGATGCCGAAGCTGGTCATGCCGAGGCCTTTGATCAGCCCCATGTAGTGCGTTTGGTGCGCGGCGCCCACGCCCCAGAGGATGAGTCCCGCGGTCGCGATCGTGCCGGAGAAGGTGAGCAGCCAGAGGCGCTGCTCCGGTTCGCGGATGCCCCGGTTGCGTCGGGCGAGGCGGATGGCGATCTCGTCGCCCGCCCAGCCGGCCCACCACCAGGCGACGCAGCACCCGACGAGCAGCGACAGATAGGCAATGCCCACGGCCCGGGCGGAGAAGTTGTAGGGCGCCGCGTTGAGGATTAGCGCCATGGTCGCGTTCTGCACGTTGTACCAGCACAGCGAGGCCCCGTACAGAAAACCCGCCCAGTTGACGTTGGGGAAGTAGAAGAACATCCAGAGCGGGCGCACCATCATGATGAACATCTGCTTCACCGACGGCCGGCCTTCGTCGAGTCGGAACAGCTGCAGTTTCTGCCAGTAGGTCCGTGGCTGGAGACGGAACGACTCTGCCCGGGGCGAAGCGGGTTCCTGGAGCGGTGCGCTCTTGGACACGGCGTCCGTCTTCTCCCCCAAGGTTTCGACACCCTCCGGGGTGACCTCGGCGGCTCCTTCGTCGATGCCCTCGATGGTCTTGCGGAAGTACATGGTCTCTTCCATGCCAAAGTAGATGATGATGGTGCACACGCCGAGGACGATGGTGCCGAACCAGATGGCCGCCTCCCAGCCCATGGAGTAGGTGACGAACCCGGCCAAAAAGGGCGCGAGAGCGTTGGAGCCAAAGACGAGCAGCGTGTAGATGCCCATGTAGTTGCCGCGTTCGTGGGCGAAGAACAGGTCCGAGACGGAGATTTCCCCCAGCGATTCGACCGGTGCGATGATGAGGCCCAACAGACTGCGGTGGGCCCACCAGACGCTCGTGGAAGTGGTGTAGACGGTCCAGACCATGGGTCCGATGGCCAACAGGCTGCTCAGGATGTACACTCCTCGTCGTCCGTAGGCGAGCGCCAGTGGCTGCCAAATCAGACATCCCCAGCCCGCGAACAGGAATTGCTATGGCGTGTTTTGTCAGATAACGGGGCGCCCCCCCAAAGTTGTTTGATATTGATAAAACACTTACCAGACCGGTGCCGGTGTTGATGTCAGCAATGGAAATGCCGGTCGCCTCGCCAATGTTGGTCAAGATGGAATACTGCACCGTGGTGGACATGCCGATGCCCATGATGTAGACGTACGCCATGGTGATGGCCCACAGCTTCCTCTTCTTGGACCAGTTCAACGGGTCTTCCGGGTCTGAGCTCGGCCGTGGGTTGAGCACAATGTCCTTCTTGCCCGTGTGTTCAGCAGCCTCGGTGTCGACGAGGTGGATGGTCCCCGGGACCACATTGCGACCAGTGTCCACCATGGTTGCGGGTAAGCAAAGACAAGTCTTTCCTTCTCCTGTGTGGATGCGGAAAAATGAAGGAGAGAGACAGAATAGTGCTTCACTCCATTTTATCTGTTCGCTCGGGATTGTCGAGGCACGTGGCCCAAGACGGTGTCTCTCTTGCCATTGTGAGTATATTCGAGCCTTGGGACGCATCCCCCAGTATCGCGGCCGTGTTCAACCCTTGCCGTCCGTGGCGCGCCATTGCCCAGACCCTGGTCTATCGTAATGGGTCAGTTTATCAAGAACATCGTCCAATCGCCTTTGCAGAGGAATCTCATCCATCCTTCCCAACGGGGTAATTTGATAGGAATCATGAAGCCCGGTGGGACACGGATGACAAGTGCTATCCAAGCATCGAGTATCTAGAGCCCCAGTGAATCACTGGCGTTGTCGATCAGGGCCGCACCGGTGTCGCGCCGGGGGTCGCGGGTTACTCGAACAGGCATGAGAGATAGCGTCGGTGCTTGTTGAGCAGTCGATATCACCCAAAAGCCCCAGTCGGTCAGTATCCATTTGCAACGCTAAAGCCCCTGTCCGCGCATATGGTTCTTTCGAGAGGATCGAGCGGCACGACTTCGAATACAGCTGATATTTGGTCCTGCCGATAAACCGCAGGTCAACTGCGTCTGACCCGCCTCTCACGCCTGCGCGCGGCGGACAGCTATCGTGTGTCGAATGTGAGTGTCGGAGTTGGCCTATTTGCCTTGTCGGAGGATTTCACGAGAACCGAGTAGCAGCTCTTCGTCGTGTTGATGTCCGGTTCAACCTCGGTGTCCTGAATCAACCCGGACATTTAAGCCGATACATATATCCTCCAAGGCTGGCACATTATAATGGTAGATGGTCGCCCCGTCCTTTTCAGCTTTGTTCAGCAATGAAAGGTAAGTCGAGAGGAGGCTGGAGAAACAAAAGACACTTTGACACAACGAGACCGTGAGTGTCGCTCTTGGCCATATTGTGTTTGGCTCGCTTCAACTCGCCTGAGCTCTAATAATGTATACAGGTAGCTATGTATAGGACATCCCTTGCGAGACGAATACCCTTGAACCGAGTCAAGGATGAAGGTACCAGAGAATCCAGTCATTTCCCATCCCACGCCCGCGCTCTAATTCTTCGTTTCGTACACATCCGCCTCCACAACCTTCTGATTCACAGGAAAACCGTACTGCCCAGCCTTTTCCTCTCCCTGTGTTTCTTCCAAAGGCGAGACTCCAAGCTTGGCAGCCTCGTCGTTGGTGAATGTTGCGTAATAGTCGACGTCGTCGTACTCGCCCAGACCTTGGGGTGGGAACGCCCTGTTGAGTCCATAGTACAGCGTGAAGCTGATGGCCAACCCCAGCGGGAAGGCAAGGTAGAACATCTCGGTGCAAGCCTTTGGCACGCTCACGCTCTTGTTGACGTTGGCGATGAACCCGGGCAATTGCGGTGCCCAGCCACAGACCCAAGCCACAAATGCGCGCGGGTTCGTGCCGTGGAAGTAATAGTAGATGCCTTGTGGGGAGGGCGTGTATAGGTCTGATAGTTTCATTCGTTGACGGCGGACCAGGAAATAGTCGCAGATCTGGATGCCACACATGGGTCCAAGGAAGACGGAGTCTGTCACGGGCATAGTTAGCTCACTTGTCCACATGGAAAACGTATTCACGACTGGAAAAGGGAGATGGGAAGATACATACAGGCACCCATAACACTGATAAACGTCCCAGCCGAGGCAAGCAGCTCCCACGGGCACATGGCAATAGAAAGGACGAGAGCCAGGTAGGATCCTCGCCTAATGTTGAAGTACTTAGGAAGCAGACCAGCCATGTCCATTCCAGCAGAAAATGCATTGTCGATGGTGTTAATTGCAAGCTGGCAGACCACAAGTCCACAACCACCAAAGAAGGCGGCAGCTCGAGCCTTGGAATTGTAGTCATCGTCGAGCCAGCGGAGCAAGAGGTCAGGTGGATTCCAGTAAGCTTCGCCGTACAGCTTGATGGATGCCGAACTGGTGAGACAACCAAACAATGGCAAGATTGTGCCCAAGGTGAGGATGGAGAACCACTGGCCAAAGATCTGGTCACCTGGTCGACGAGCGAAGCGAGAGTAGTCGGTTTGGTTCGTGAGTCCGACCGCGATACCTCCAATCACTGTTGTTATACCCTGCACAATTGCCCAACCCAGTTGGCTACCCGATTGGGCAGCTGCTGGCGCTGACAACAGTGGACCGCCACCCTTCGCAGTGGAGAGGACGTAGATCATCATGGAGATGAGTGTGGTGACAGAGATGATGTTCATCACGAACAACAACCGTCGGGTCTTTTCTGGAGGGATATAGAGCATGGGGATAGTAATGATGTTGTAGACTATCCAACCGGTCAATGCTTTCGTCGTCGTGTTTGCAGATTCAGGCAGGGTGTTCTCCATGTGGTGGAAACCCGAGAAGATGGAACTGAGAACCGCAGTGACACAGAGGCCACCGGTCCAGGATTGTACGCAGAACCAGGTCAGACTCAGGACAATGCGCTGGATGATAATGACATAGGATCCCCAGACTCCCCATATGCCACGCGACAAAACCGGAAAACCAATATGCCAGGTTGCACCGACCATCCCATTGCATATGGCGACTCCGGCGATGATAAGCTTGCCGATAATAACTGCGATCATGGTCTGCCAGACGGACAGACCGACTGCAATGAGGGAAGCACCAAGCTGCCAGTTACTCAAGGCGATCTGATTGATGGCCCAGAACGAGATGTATGCCCAGGTGTCCCAGAGGCGGCGGGAAGGAGGGAGCGGTCGGATATCATCGTTGATCCAGATTGAGGATTCGCCTGGAAGCCGCAGGTGAAAGGACCCCGGTCGGAAACTTGGCAACTTCATCGTGAGTGGCTTGAGAGAGGGAGTGCAATGCAAATTGCAGAAGGAGGTGGTGATCGGTGGAGGAAGGTCTGGTGTTCGAGGATTCGGATTCTCAACGGTATGTATATAGCAACCCCGGTCGCCGGTTGCTGGAGATAAGTGACCCTAGACTCTCGCTGAAGGAAGAGTCGTTATCATTCCTCCAATAAGTCAGCCACGTAACTCGAAGATAGGAAACTCTTGTATATTCCTTGTTGACGCCCAAGAAAATGTGGTTGGAATATCGAGTATCCAAAGAAGCAGTCTAGATTCGCACCAATACCCATATACCAGGGGCCGGCCAGGGCAAATATCCGACCCCCAAGAATACAAAGATTGACTTTGTAGTTGCCACAGTCATTCAGATGCCACCAAAACCCACCAGTGTGTATTCTGCCAAGGTACCTTTGGTGGGTAGCCCGATCACTCTCACCTATCTTGGGGCGTATAGACCAATCAAGTGGTATGAATTGCTGCGGAGATTGACGACATGCCTATCTGAACCTATCGGTGGAGGCATTTGCCACATGGGAACTAGCTTCGTTGGAGAAGATAGGTCAAGGCTTGCCGTAAATCAACCTTTTTCTTCGGCATATTTTTGGAGAACGTGTTTCGGATGCTTCCACATGGTCTTCTAGACTCGTTGGACGTGCCACAATACTCCATCTGGACGAAAGGACTTACCAAATAGCAATCAAAACTTAGTCAAGAAAATGACAGAGGTGTAACTGACCTCGAATGCTTCGCCTACATATCTGGATCTCAAACCTCACAGTCTGGCCGAATGCGTAGTCGACCTCGGGTTAGACGGGATTGTATTTATGTGCCTTCTTCGACGGTAAATCGTGCACGGTATCACTGTCGATCGCTGGAGTAATCGTCACCTTCAAGTTTCCCAGACATCTCTCCCGTCCTAATGGGTTCAATCCGGGCAAAGCGGTCGCTGAGGATTGGCGTCGACGTCGGAGGTACCAACACGGATGCTGTGCTTCTCGACTTGGATGCAGTCCACCAGCCCAATCGTGGAGTGCTGGCCTGGCATAAAACACCAACGACAAGTCCCAATGTGACGGACGGTATCGAGACGGCCGTGGGTAGCGTGCTCAAACAGGCCGAGGATCGCGTTTCAGAAATAACCTGCCTCATTATTGGAACTACCCATTTCCTGAATGCCGTCATTGAACGCGATGTACATCGGCTGTCCAAAGTTGCTGTGATTCGACTGTCCAGGAGTTTTACCAAAGACATTCCTCCCTTTTCGGACTTTCCCCCAGTACTGGCTGACCTTCTTCACGGCTACCACGGTTATGTCGATGGAGGCCTCCACATCGATGGCGCACAGGAAGCTCCAATCAACGAGGAGCAAGTCTTGAAAGAGTGCGAGGCCATTGAAAGACTCGGGATCAAGGCCGTGGTCATCTCTGGGATTTTCTCGCCTATCGATCAGCATTTTCACCAGGAGAAGCGCGTACGCGACATAATACAAAAGCGACTACCCGACGTCGACGTCGTCTGTTCGTCCGAAGTCTCCAATATCGGATTATTGGAAAGAGAAAACGCGTCCATTTTGAATGCATCCATTCTGAAGTTTGCGAGACGCACGATCCGTGGCTTTCGTGCTGCTATGAGGCGGCTGAAGCTCGACTGCACGCTATTCATCTCGCAGAACGACGGCACAGTCCTCGATTCCGTCTCAGCCGCAAAACTGCCCATCAAGACATTTTCCTCGGGCCCCACAAACTCCATGCGAGGAGCCGCATATCTTGGCCTCGGACAACTGGGACTTCAGGGCGAAGAACGTACTTCGACAATTGTAATTGACGTTGGCGGTACGACCACTGATTGCGGTGTTCTGTTACCGTCAGGATTTCCTCGTGCAGCATCAGCATATGTTAGTGTGGCGGGTGTGACAATGAACTTTCCAATGCCGCACTTGGAATCAATCGGCCTCGGAGGAGGATCGATCATACGCGAGCGCGGCACGGACGTCTCGATCGGGCCGGATTCGGTAGGATACCAACTGACCACTAAGTCGAGGGTATTTGGTGGTGATACTTGTACAACCACTGATGTTGCCGTCGCCGGAGGGCTTGCTGTCGGGAATCCAGAATTGGTCAGCGACATCAAGGCTGAAATGATACAGCGCGTTCGTGCGAGAACGAAAAAAATGCTTGAGCGTGTCATTGACCGCTTGAAACTCACTCCTGCACCATTGCCCGTTCTCTTGGTCGGTGGTGGATCTGTCATCTGTCCATTAGAGCTCGAAGGCGTGTCTCAAGTCGTGGTTCCGAAGTTTCACTCGGTGGCAAATGCAGTTGGAGCTGCGATATCCAGGGTTTGTGGCTCTGTCGATGCCATCTACAGCATTACAGACATGTCCTTGTCTGAAGTCGTGGAGGATGCAAAAGCGCAAGCGATTACAAAAGCTGTGACGGGAGGAGCCGACTCAAATACAGTGACCGTGGTGGAAATCGACACCTTGCCGATTCCATACGTTTCAGGACAAATCCGTGTCCTTGTCAAGGCAGTTGGAGATCTGTCCCTTGATTTTGTTGCGGACAGCAAGACTGTCTCTGACTTGGAGGATGACGTATATGAACCTCATGTCGAACAGGTCAAAGACCTCTCGTCGTCCTCGAAAGAAGAGATCACCAGCGGCAAGTTCGATTTCGACGCATACCGGCCGCTGATCAAACGAAACACCGACACCGGTGTCCCTGAGTGGATTGTGTCAGAGACCGACCTTGAGTGGCTCAGTGTAGGGTGCTACATTCTGGGTTGTGCAGGTGGTGGTTCACCCAAATCCGAATTCCTCAAACTCCGCGATCAAATCCGAGCTGGGTGTACGGTTCGTATAATTGACAGCTCCTCCTTGAAGGAAGACGCGCTCATATACTGTGAGTTCGACCGAAGTTATCATGGTCTCCATTGTTGCTGACAAACTTGTAGGGGGCGGTATGATGGGATCGCCAGCCGTCTCCATTGAGCGATTGAACTCATCGGAATGCATAGCAGCCGTGGCAGACCTGATGGAGTACCTAGGTCACAAATCATTCGATGCCATCATGGGCCTGGAGATTGGAGGGGCAAACGGGTTAGAGCCTTTGCTCATTGGCTCTTCTCATGCGTTCGATAGACCAGTAATCGACGCAGATTGGATGGGTATGTCCATCATCTTCACCTTGCACAAATATTGATGAATTGCTGACACAATATCAGGTCGAGCATATCCAACATACTGGCAAACCACAATTGCCGTCCATGAAACTGGGCAACTCACCCCGTGCGCAATTGCTTCGGGTGACGGCAAAACGATCATCATGACAAAGTCCCCTGACGATGAAATAGTCGACCGTGCCTTGCGAGCCTCTTGCTCGGAAATGGGATCTAGAGTGGGCATGGCAGCCAAGCCGACGACGACTGATCGTGTCAGATCTTATGGGGTCATCAACACCCTTTCACTGGCCTGGCGAATTGGGAGGACCGTTGCCCGTGCTCAACAAGAGAGCACTATTCATACCGTTGCAGAACAAATCATCGACGAAGTTGGCGGTCCGTCCACTGCGAAGATCCTCTTCCGAGGGAAGATAGTGGCCGTCGAACGAAGGGTGTTCAAAGGACATTCTTATGGAGAGATCACAATAGCTCAAACCGACGAAGACGAAGAGGAGCAGGGCCATGAGATGGCGGCAGTTGCTGAAGGAGGGGTGGTCAAGATTCCGTTCAAGAACGAAAACATTTATGCAAAGCATATCGCCAATGACGGAACCGAAACATACCTGGCGACAGTTCCCGACCTGATCTCAGTTCTCGACACGCAATCTGGATGCGCCCTTGGCGTTCCTGAATTTCGATATGGGTTGCTAGTAACAGTGCTTGGAATTACCTGCTCGCCGCGGTGGTCAGACACCAAGAAGGGGTTGGAGTATGGTGGACCGCAGGCATTCGGATACAATATTGACTACCGTCCTTTGGGTGTGTTTGTTGAGCCCAAGAGTGTGGTTCTCGAGTACGCAGATGCGACGAACTGAGACCATAGGGAGCATTCTTTGATAGAGGGCGGATGATACTGATACCCATGTGCATATTGAACGACACTGTCACTATTTTTCCACAAAAAGAAATCGAGGGCTCATATGATATGCATGCCAAGAGTGTCTTCCAATCTGTTACAAGCCCGTCGAACATATCCTGACACATAAGTAGTAGTCACACAAGTAGTTTAATGCTGAGATGGAGTGAGATGGAGTCCAAGAGGCAAAATTAAACGCAGCAACCGACAATTTAGTTGATAATGCCAAGACTTCGGGCCCGGTCACGTGATGGTCTAGCCCCGAGACCCTTTGGCTAACGCTGTTGGTCCGTTGGTCCGTCCAGCCCGTCAGAGGCTCTTTATCAACTCCTCGTGTATCACACTTGATACTCCCGAACAAGATAAGTCCCACCAAATGTATGGTCGGAACGTTGTACAATTCGGGGTATTCCTTCATGCTAGACACTTTACAGAGCAGCTTGTTGCCCAGCGAACCGTGAATCACCGTTTTTACGACAATGTGGCAGACACCGGCGTCTCTCCCTTCGGTAACATTCAACGAGACCCCAAGCGTGCACAGACCGGAGCCGATTTATTACACCCCACGTAGGAAGCAAGCGTGTGTGATTCTTCCGGTCTCATCCTTGACTCTGGCTTAAAATCCGTGAGTCTGGGGGCTGAATCGCTAACCGTTCACGATAGGTGTTCAAGGTGTCACACGAAAAGAATAAAGTGCCTAGGCGGTATGCACGCGATGATATAGGCACGTTGCTATGATGCTAATCCCGGTTCTAGGGGTGCCGTGTAGGAACTGCACACTTTCCGATGCACCATGTATCTTTCCACCGCCCCGGAGATCTCGACCTTCAACGAGCCAGCAGGGACCTGTCTCGCCTTCAAACAGCCTTAAGGAGGATCAGCCAACACCATCAATCACGTTCAACGGAGTGTCAGCACCGGGGGTATCAAAAACCGGCAGCTATAGACGTTCCGAGAAAGATTTCAGCTCGCGGCGATCCGATGAAAGCAAACGTGTTTCGAGGCAAACCTACTGTGCCAGCCCTTCATGTCGTACGTTTACTGAGCAATTTGTTGCATGGGTTGCAGTGCAGAAACTCCAGCTGAACCCCTTCGACGAGGCGTCATTCAATCCATCATGGACTTCCCTTTCACACCTAGACTCAGGCCTGATGAACCCTGGGTTGGAGATATCAATTGACACCGAAGTGTTCCGCCCTTCAGCCCGATCGGAGACCAATCGACCTGTGAGGATTCGTATGCCCCCCTATAATCACAGTATGCATTTAATTCAATGCGTTGAGTTTGCAATCGGGCACGATCAACACTACTTCCGACGACAACACATCCGCAGCAGGGTAACGCAAATGTATCAAAACCCAGAATCCCCCCAAAGCAAAGATCGAGGTTGGCTCTGCTTTTGGCTTGCAGTTCTCGCAGTCGGGGAGCTACACAATAACAACGGACACACCAGTACCGATAACGGGGTGGGAACAACACCCGACAGGGAACCTCCAGGAGCCGAATATTATCACCAATCGGTTGCATTTCTTCAGCAGGTGGCTGAGAATCCCGATGTATTGTACATCGAGACCTTATGCTTACTTGCAATCTACGCCTTTTCAATGGACAAAATCAACACGGGCTATATGTTTAATGGTCTCGGTTTGCGTGCGGCCCTTTCACTTGGCTTACACCGAAGTCCTCTAGATATTCCGTCTGAAGCCTCGGATCTCCGTGTGGCGGAGAGCGAACACCAGAGGCGCGTATTCTGGAACGTGTACTATCAAGATCTGTACGTCGAGAGAGTGTCGACTTCTTTCGAATGAGCTGACTCCTCGCTTAGACTTACTTCCTCCACCACAGGTCGCCCCTGGGGTATCCTTGACGACGAAATAAATGTTGATTATGCCGACTCGAGTCGTATTTCCGGCGACTCAGTGATGGAGTTCTTCGCCTCCGAAGAGGCCAACGCACACATGGAACTCATGCGCCTAAGAGGTCAGGCTTACTCGTCTTTATATGGTTATGCAGGCACTGCGATCAACCCCTACTCTCACATCTCATTGTACGATTTTGATCTGAGGAATTCTTTATCACAACAACACCTGGACAAGATGGATGAATTCCACCAAGGCCTCATCGCCTGGCAGCAGGAGCTCCCGGAAAGACTGAAGCTCGCCAGGAGTTTGGATGGATCAGGATTTAACCCGAGCCGATCAATCGCGAGCTTGCATCTCACCTATCATCAAGTTAGCCCTCTTCACCACGCAGATTCTTGTTGTTCTTACTGACCAGGACTAGACCATCCTTGTGCTCCTTAGGCCAGCTTTGGTCAATATCCATAATGACCGCTTCGAAGCACGAACTAGGGCACATCCAGATATGGTCGACGCCTCTCCCGTGTTGAAGTCAATGCTGCGAGCATTTTATAATGCTATTTTAGACTCTGCGCGAGAGACAGCTAGTATCCTGGAGTGGCTGCAATACCAGGGTGCTCTATGTGAGAAATCCAATTTCTCGTTTATACCAGATGCTAATTCAATACATGTACAGTCACCTATTCCTATTTTGATGCCAGCTACGCCTTCACTGCTGCCATAGCACTTCAGCTTGCCAGCACCATGCGGTCATTCGAGTATCCCAACCAGGACGCGCTGCAATTTATAGACGAGGACTTGTCTGCCCTCAGCACCCTAATTGGTATCCTCCGTCAGCAGAGCCTAGCGGGTAACTTACCTGCGAAACATTTCGACAGACAGCTCCGGCTGCTAGAGAACAACCTCCAAGCTCTTCAAACAGCCCTGGACAACCTTGTGGGCCTGGAAGACCTCAATTTTGATCTCGACTACTTAGACCCAGGGACATCATCCCTGTCGGGTAATTTTGATGCACTGCTACGGAATGAACCATAAGAGGCTTTTCATACCGCAACGTCGTCCAAGTTGAGTGAATGGGAAGCCAGTTTTGGTCTACGGACCCCCTTCCTGGATCATCAGCATTGTAAATCAGGACCCTCTACCTCGAATTTGAGCCTCATACGACCCGTGCCCAGGTCAAGAGCTGTCTGGCACGGCTCTCTCTACAGCTTGAATCGTAAGATCTGGCTACCATCTCGACCTGAGATATACTAGATCCTCGAAGAGATACCAGCCAAATCCGGCAGCTAGTCTCGGTCTAGGGATGGTGCCCAGCATCCGTCACCTTGGCACTACCTCGATCGCTTGCCAACAGTGACAACCGGCTTAGAGACTAGGTCAACTCACTTGTACTCGTAAAGAGCTTTCTCAAGCCATGGTCCGAGTATACCTAAACCCATTGGCCATTTCACTAAATGGAATATCCCCACCCGGGAATTTGACGATGGTGTTTACATCAAGGTCGTGTCAACAGAATACATGAGGTGCTGATACAAAAGTGACCATCCCTACAATCGCCAAACCTTCACCTTCGGACCGGAGTTACCAGACAGTTCGAAGGTACTAGAGAATCCCACCTAGTAAGCTTAGTGTGGTACGGTAGTTGGGCGACTCAAGCGAATGAGGCTGAAGATCCAGGGGCTCCAAAGCAGCTAAGGATGATTGATACTCCGGCGCCCCCCGGCATCACCGGAGCTGGAGCTGGAGCTGACACTCTCTCCCACTCTCCCCCACAGACAGGCACCAAAACACCCGAGTCCCCCGCCTTTCAGTTTCAGAGTGCCCTGTGTCGATCTCGGTGCTTTTCCGCATCCATTCGGGGTGTCGAGATGGCGAAAATTAGTCAGATATACTCGGTGGCTGTGGTACCTAGAAAACAGGATGTAAGCTGCTGTCGCTTCTATTCTCCTTGTCATCTCTCACCACTGTATCTCCTTTGTCATAATGGCCGGGTCGCGCGATGTCTCTGGAGGCAGGAGGGCAGCAGGAGCAGCAAACGCGACGGATACTGAGACACAACAAATCTCGTCTCACCGCCCCCGAAAGAGAAGTCGATATACACCGCATGCGTGTGAAAAATGCAAAGCCGCAAAAGTCAGATGTGACGGACGCCTTCCCTGCAAATATTGTGCTTCTCGAGACGCCACCTGTCTGTACAGTGCTCAAGCACCCCCAAACTTCCAAGTCCAAGAGCCTCGGCCAGAGTAAGAGCACATCATTTGCCTTTGCAAGACCTGACTGACCGCAAAGGGATGACGAGCGGAAGTTCGAAGCAGAGGTCTCAGCCTTGCTGCGACAACAGAATGAAAAGCTGGATCTCTTGATCAAGAAGACCGCGGCCATTGAAGCTGCGTACGAAGCGGCGGAAAATCGCCTGTCAAAGGCCGATACTGGCCTCGCAGCTGAGAAACACCCTTTACCGCTCTTTCAAACGTCAACTAGTGCTTTCTTTTGCGTCAACGTCATCGATGCGGGTGTCAGAAAGCTCGGACTTGACTTCTCTCAAGGATCAAACACACCAGGTGTGTCTACTGGGACGCAGACACGGCCGGCTTTGTCGATCATCCGCGGTGAGGTGGTCAATGGGGAGTCAAGTGACATAAGCCGTAGCGAAATCGAACATGTTGCACAGTCAATCGCGGCGGCGAGCTCAAGCAGCCAAGATGCTTCTGTACCGACCAAACTGATAGACCCGCTCGATGTGGAACCCAATCTCCTGCGGAGAGGAGTGCAAGCATTTCACAGTCTGGAATGGGTCATGTATCCCATCCTGGACATTTCAACTCTCGAAGAAGCCATAGGGCCCTTCTCTGACGCGACCGGCGGGCTTCCTACCTGTCGAAGAGGACACTCCATTGACAAGGAGGACTCGGCCATCCTGAAAATGGTGGTGGCAATTGGTCTCCTGGCCGAAGGAGACACCCATCAAACGCTGACGTCTAGTCTGCTACAATCCCTCCACTCGCAGATCGAAACTATGATCTGGAGTGCCGCAGTTGATCTGAAAGACCTGGTATTGATGACATTAGTGGTACGTCTTGATTTCGTCCACCACATACAGAGGAATCAATGGGATTAATGCGTCATGTGCCAGATCTTGTACCATTTGCATTGCGCTCGATGGAGACTGGCTTGGAGATTCACGATGAACGTCAGCCGCATCATCCTTGAACTGGGACTGAATCGAAAAATGGTCCTGGACCGGTCTTTCCCCGACTCCAAGAATCGATCCCAGGCTATCAATACCGTGTGGACGGTGTTTGTGCTCGAGCAGCATCTCAGCTATGCCCTGGGCTTCTCGAACGCCATGCAAAACCTCCATCCGGAGCCCAATTTTCCTCAGCCGGTAAGCCATGTCTCTCGCGGTGCCCACCAAATGACTGATCCCCCATTCGTCACATCTACCACTATAGAGATCATTCACAGCCGACTGATATGACATTTCTAGGTCGAAGCGCCCTTTTTACAGCTCATGATCGAGTACGCAAGTATTGGGAAACAGTCGTGCGACGCCCTGCTGAACGACAAAATTCTGAATCCTGAGCAACTGTCGACCTTCCAGGACGATTATGCCTACTTTCTCTACCGGGTGAACTTGTGGGCGACTCGAGCGTCGGAGACCTTTGAAGTCTCTGGTCAGAGTCAGGATGAGGGTGGTATTCAAGACAGCACCAGTCTCGGACCACCAGCACTATCCATGGTGCGCACGATTCTGCACATCCGAGCCAATCACCTCAAGACGCTCATCGCCCGCGCATTTCTTTGCTCTGGCCTGCGAAACGCCGCGCCTTCGGATATCTGGGTCACCTCGGTGGACATCGCGGCCGACACGGTCGCGGTTCTCAGCCAGCTGGACTCTTCCCGGGGGGAGTACCTCTTCCACCAAGCGCAATTCAATCACTTTCTGATTTCGGCCCTGGACGTGCTCCTCTTCGCCACCACGCACAGGTCATCCGGCGTGGGATCCCCGTCCGCCAACGGCCAGGAACTCGTGGTCCCCACAGAGATCGCCCAGAAGGCGCGACAGAGCTCGACCACCGCGCTGGCCCGTCTCCAAACCCTGGCCGAAACTTCAATCCAGTCCAAGTACCTGTGGGAACGGGTCCGGGGCGTCGTTTCCCGACTCAATTTCTCGGACAACCTCCTCGCCGCCACCACCGCAGGTGCAGGAGTAGCAGGCGCAGGCGCAGCAGCAGCAGCAAATGACCCAGAGACGGAACTTATCCTGCCCGCACTAGGACCCGAGAATCTCGACATCATCTTCGAACACACAAAGGCCGTGACGGATTCGGGGGTCGGTCTCAATTCGTTGCCGCTCACCACTGACTTCGGTCCCGCGGATGGTGAGAACGGGTTAATGTTCCCATTTCTGTCCGACGATCCGGCCGTCTGGGGATTCCAGCTCCCACCGTCGTCGTCGGATCTGGACTTTGGCTTGCCGCCCCATGACCTGGGGTTCTTTGGTCAATAAGTAACCCCGTGCGTGCCGTGGCACAGGTACTCGAAGAAGGACGTCCAATATGAACTGGTGGCCCGTGAAGGGGTGCTTCTGCATGAGAGTTCGAGCGGTAATTAATTCGAACGTGACACGCGGTCACTCTGGGACGGGAGTTTCTACCAAGATGGGAAAAAAAAGGAATGTATTACTGCCACGCGCGACTATCACGCACGAATAAATGAGGCGTTTCGACTCTGAAAATGCCCTTTCTTATGGGCACCTCTCGAATAGTTCCGTGTTTCCAGATGGATGATAAAGGCCCTGTTTTGCGCTGTCTCTCACTTCCTGCTCGTGAATCTTATGACCGGACCCGACCTCCCTGCCGCGAGATGGTCTAGCAATTTATACTCCACGACTTCGGGATTCTTATTGAACCGATCTTCCTTCCCACCAGCCACGTACTCGAGGTCGTACATCCAGACCGCGCGGGCAATGACCAGACACAGCTCCATGACCGCCAACCGCCTGCCGATGCACTGTCTCGAGCCGTACGAGAACGGGGTCAGGGCGTCGTGGCACCGCTTGACGGCGTCGACACTCGTGTGTTCGGGCAGCCACCGCTCGGGGACGAACGTGTGCGGGTCGAAGAAGACGTCTCGGAGATGGTGCACCGCGTAGACGGGGACCGAGAGCTCGACGCCCGCGGGGAAGTGTTCGCCCGCCGCGCTGAGGCCGCCCGTCAGCACCTCCCGGGGCAGCACGCCGGGGAGGCTCGGGCTCAGACGGATCGTCTCGTTGATGACCGCGTGGAGGTAGGCGCAGCTGTCGAGCGTCTTGCCGAGGCGGACCTCATCGACGCACGTGAAGGTCGTGCGGATCTCCTCCGTCAGACGCTTCAGCGCGTGTGGGTTGTGCGTCAGATAGAAGAAATTCGCCGCCAGCTGTGTGGCTGTTGTATCGGAGCCTGGTTCGGGGTGAAAGAATTTGTAGACTTTGTGAGTAACGATCTCTCTTTCTCTCTCTCCCCCCCAGACTCCTGTGTTAAAAGAGAGAGGACGTACCTCCAAGAATAAGACCCCTCGCTTCGGCAAACACCTCCTTGGAATTGGCGTAGGCTTTGGTGCCGTCCTTGTTCTCGGCGCTGGCAATGTACGAGAAGAAATCCTTGCGGCTCTGGTCGGCGTTCATGCGCAGCTGGACCTGCTTCTTCGCGTACACGAGCAACTGCCGGCCGCGGCGGACGATGTCTGGGAAGAGGATTTTGTCAAGGTTCCACCTGAGCATGAAGTGACTGCATCCATTCTGCGTGTGTGGTCAGCCAGGTCTCTTCGAGTCTTTGGACAGTTTTGAGTGTTCTGGCTTGCTTTGTGTCGCGTCTCGTCAAAGTCCCAAACCATACACGCGGTGGGTGGTCAGAAACAACTTACGAGAAGCTGCTGATGTACGGCCGCGTCAATGACATCGGGGAGCTGGCGACTTTCGTCTCCCCTGAGCATCCCAAAGTCCTTGCCAAACACTAGATCGCCCATGACATCGAAGGTCAGGTAGTTGCCCCATTTCCCCAGGTCCGCGGTCCAGCATTCTCGCAGTGCCGAGCAGTGCTCTTCGCCCGACGCCGCACGGAAGAATTCGTCAATGTGCGGGAGAATGTATTGTTCCATGGAGGACAGGTTCGCCTCGGTGAATGCTGGGGCGAGGATGCGGCGCTTGCGGGCGTGGATCTCGCGGTCGCGGGAGGAGAACATGTTCTGGAAGCCATTGTGTGCGATCGACGCTTCGTAGAAGATGGATTTGCGCACGTTCTGGTTCACGCCGTAGATGTCTGGTTGGATAGTCAGGGTTAGCTTCGTTATACAGCCACTGGTACTCGGCTGGGGGGCATCGGTGGGCGAGCATACGTACCTTTGATAGCGGCCGAGTCGTTGATTGTCACGAGGTTGGGCGCAACACGGACAAACTTGCCTGCACGGGGAACAAATACTTCGTCAGTTACCGTCTCTTCTGATCACTTCCCCATGTTCTGACTTCGGCCTTTTCTCACAAGAATCTCGAGAACGACTATAACGTACCATACTTCTGGTGCGCCCAGTAGATCTGCAGGTGTCTGTCGCCGATAGCAGCATGATAGACCGAATACCAATTCGTGACCCTCGCCCAGAATGGACCGGGGTACTTTGCGAGTGGATGGAAGTAAAGCCTATATGTGACCAGACAGAGTGTCTGCCATCTGCGTCAGCATTCATGAGAGGTTGGAATTGGGAGCTGGGAATCATTCAGCCTGCTGGAGAACATACATAAAGCAGTGCTGTCGAGATGGAAATAAGACTCAGCAGAAGTATGGGATGATAGAGTATTCCATCCTTCTCTGTGACGGACTCTCCCGAACGATATGTGAATGTCATTGTGGGCCGCCAGCGATATCACCACGATACTTTATGAATCGGTCAGCGTAGTGCTTCGAATTTGCCAGCTCGTATCGACTTCATGATCGGAAATATATCATTCGAGTCGTCGGACTCCTTATACACAAGTTTCACTTCCACGTCAGCTTTGTTAATCTGACCTTGATCACCATTCCGAACCTGTCCTTCTCCATGCCATGGGGAAAACCCCGATGATGAGGCCTCCCGATTGACAGCACATCTCGATTCCCTAAGCCACCGAGCACCTCCAGAGGTCTCTCCCATTGCTGGCCATAGATGCAAGGGCCTACGGTAGACGGCAGGTAATCGAGTCTGATAGGTTCCCCCACGTTCTCAACCCACACGTTGCGGAGAGTGATCGTCTCGGACGCGACTGGAGTGCTGACCATGGTCGGAACGTTCCGACTACTGCACCTTGGACCTGTTGGGTTATACTTCCCGGCCTTGAAAGTACTCACATGGGATTGAGACTTGGAGATTAGGTGTCTGAAGGCATTGTCCAAAGTGGTGGGAGTCCGGTGAGCCACCAGTTCACGGTGAAGGGCACGAGTCATTCTCCAGGAGACCACGGACTATCCATCGTCCCAAGTCGGCCAGATGCACCTTTCCGTCGGAGCTCCTCGGTTCTTGGTTCGGTTGAAACCCAATTTGGGAAACACAAAATATATCCTCAATGGCACAATATCTGTTACGGTAGGAGAGATGTTTGATGTTGGAAGGGCGAATCAGATGGTGGTTTACGAGGCTGTCATCTACCAAATCAGGTAAAGTGCAGCCTCGGACGGGCACCCCACGGCGGCAAGGCGGGGCCCTCCAAATGCACCGCAAGATCGACGTGGACAAAAGAGCCTCCTATGTAGTTACAGAATTTGGCATTTCTCAGAACTCGAAGACAGGAGAAGATGCTACGGTGAATGCGATACCATTGAAAGTTTCTATATCCGCAGTCTACATATCACGTCTTTTCCTCTTCCAGCCAAGGACCTTGCGTCTCGAAAACGGCTGCCTCCTTCACATCTCCTACAAACAAATCGTCAAAGTTCTATTCACTTTAGGATCTACTCAAAGGGTGGAAATCCGCCATCATGCAGTCCGGAATTACAGGTAACTTGGTACCCTCCCGCACCTGGACCGTGATATATAGGAGGCTGACTGACCACCATCCTTCTGCTACCCGCAGCATCTTCTGATCTTCACTCCGCATTCAGCAACTTTACCAGCGATACCTCTCTCTTCTGCCTTCCTGCCGGTATAAGTTCCGAGTCCCTCACGCCTTTACCAGCGATCCGCTTCCCCTCGACGCATTCCGGCCTCTTCAACAGCATCCACACGCTCTCCGAAATCCTGACGCCGACCGACCCCCTGTACTTGCTCCTCCGTCGTGCTCCTAACTCCAGTGAGCTGATAGCAATAACCTATGTCCCCTCGCGGGCCCCCGTGCGGCAGAAAACTCTGTTTGCATCAACACGCAACACGCTTATGCGCGAGCTCGGCACTGAAAAGTTCTCCGAGACGGTCTTCTTGACTGAGAGGGAAGAGATCCTCGACCCTGCGCAATGGGATGAGCGTTCCAAAGGCTCTGCGGCTGCGAGCGGTGGAGTCCCAACCCCCGGTGCGAGGGGAGCCGTGGATTCTGGGTTGCTCAGCGCAGAGGAGAGGGAGCTGCAAGCTGTGAAACGGGCTGAGGAGGAAGAAAGGCACGGAACGCGGGGAAGAGATCTGATGGGCGAGGGAGGAAGTGGCGCCACACAGGGCAAAGGGGGTGTCATGATGAAGATTGCGGATGAGGCCAAGTCCACTCTGACAGCGTTCAAGGACACTGACAGTTCGGGCGGCAATATGGCTGTCTTCGGAATCGACATTGCCACGGAAGAGATTCAGCTGCTGTCCACAAATTCTGATGTCCATCCCGGTGCGGTAGCTGGAAATATACCGGGTGATCGACCGAGTTATACATTTTACAATGCACACGGAGTCTCGGGAAGTATATTCATCTACGTGTGTCCCGGGACGAGCAAGATCAAGGAAAGAATGGTCCACGCGAGTTCACGGTTGGGAATGACCAAATTGGCTGGGTGGGAAGGTATTGAGATTGTGAAGAGGTTGGAGGCCGGAGATCCGGAGGAGTTACACGGCGAGAGACTGGAGGAGGAGGTCAAGTCTTTGCTCGCCGCGGCGGGTCTTGCTGGTGGAATTTCCGGTGCAGAAGGCGGCGACAACTCGGGCCCTGGGTCGGGAACTGCAACACCCAGAGGAGGATTCGCCAGACCAAAGAGACCAGGGAAGAGGTGACGAGTCGATGAATCAGGCAGAATTTGGAGCTGCACTACAAACTTGCAAAAATAACCTCCATTTTTTGAGGAATATGTGGCGCTAATGACTTATCAAAAGCACACAATAACCTTTCACAAAGACATATGACGAATAAAGCGACGATTCAATTGAGACCGGTCGCTGGCTGTCTTCTATCCTTCCTTTCCTTCCTTCTCTGCATACGCCGGATCCAATCGTCATTCAGTGTCGTGACACGACGAACGTGTTCTGGCTGGTAGAAAATCTGTTGTTTGATGCATTGAGCCCATATATAGACCGGGTTTCAAGTATTGTCCGTTTCGCTCAACGCGCGGAACAGTCGGAGCATAAGCCAGTGTCATTCTCGCAGGACAAATGGCTCCGGCCACATTCCTCGGCGCTGGGAGAATGAAAAGCGGACGCGCTGGGTTGCCAATGTGCGAGAGATTTTCGGACACTTCTGTGTCACATTCAACCATTCTGGAAATTGTCTCGAATGAAATCCTCGCCTGAACAGGCAACGCAACCATGAATTATCCCCCTAGGCATCAAGTTATATCCTGCACAGCTTGGAATATGCACTCATCTTAGCCCACACTGACACAGAGAGGTGGTCTGTTCCCAGTGCCGGCTTCCCTCTGAAAAGATGCAACGCGTGTCTCTAATACTGTTGATTTCTGAAATTCTTCTTTTGATAGAACAGATCCGTCCTCGACGATCCCAGATTGATAATCTTCGGGCACCCGTCTCGGTCCTTTTCCAACCTCGTGCACTCGAAGCAGTAAAAGGCGTCGGAAATCCCTTCGCCGCCGCAGACGATGCACTTGTTCTGGTAGTTGCCGAAGGAGCACTCGTCGCAGATTCGCACAAGAGTCGTCGGGCGCACGTAGGAGTCGCAGACGGGGCATTTGCCATCGCACTTGTCGCAAAGACGGCCGATCGAGATGCCGGGGGCTTTACGACACATGACTAAATCGGGGTGGTGGCGCGACATTGTTGTAGTTGTATTTCGCGGGGGGGTTTCGAGAGCGACCAGAAGTACTGTTGTAGTGGTTTCAAGTAGTTCGCGGAGGATTGATTTGGTACGGAGCTTGTGGACGACGCAGGAAGGGAGGATGTAGGGAATAATATGTAGGTCGGCGTACTGGTTGCGGGACAGGAAACGGAAACGCATCGAAAAAGCTCAGCCTTGCGCGAATTTCTAAGCCTCGTTCCTTTTCCCCGCACAAACAAAAGCGGCACGTGCAGCAAGAAAAGATCTGTGGAGCTCCGCCTGCCAGCCTGATTCGATGTTTCTGCCTTTCATTTACATATCAACAGCCTCGATGCCAAACCAACGACCTGTGGGAGTGAGGTGCAGGAGCCTTCCTTGATAGAGATCCAGCCCTTGAACCCACCGCATTTTACGAACAATGATATCCTCGGCTGTCCTCATTCCTGAGGAGCCTCAGGTCGACCCTGCAGACCAACATGGCTCCCTCAAACGCCGCCAGTCCTCCCTTTCCGAATCCTCAGAATCAAATAAACGCCCCCGCCTCAACTCACAGACGTCAACGGCCGAAACGAACAATGGCGAAGCGTCGCCAACGGCGCCATCAGCAACTTCGCCAGCCGCAGTAGGCGCTCCAGGAGGACAGCCATCGGCGATGTCGCCTCCTCCGCCTCGCCGGCGACAGACATCTTCGACTCTGGAACAGGATAAATCTCGAAACCGAAGACTTTTCGGTGCCCTACTCGGCACTCTTTCGCAATCCTCGAACGCATCGAGAAGGTCGTCCGCAGGGACCAAGATAAATATTCCAACAACGACATTAAACGAACGACGTGAAGAAATCGAATCGCGTCAACGGGAACGCCTAAAACGCGAGTCCCAGGAGATCGCCGAATCTGCCCGCGCAAAAAGGCAACAACTTCAGCGCGAGCGACGAGTCGAGCAGTTGCGCTGGGATGAAGAAGCAATGAAATTGCGGCATAGGAATATGAGGGCCGCCGCTGGATTTTTACAGACCAAGGCAGAGCCACGATTGTACTATAAGCCCTGGGAGTTGCGCGACCCGGAGGAAGACGAGATTAAACAGCAGATCGAGGAGGCGGAGGCCACGATTCAGCGGGAGACCGAGGAATTCGAGGAGAAGAGGAAGTCGAGGGAACAGGAGCTGAAGGAAGAAGAGAAGGAGGCACAGCACCCGCCGGGTCCAACAAGCCTCCCTGGAGATACCACGAAAGACGAAGGAGACGATCGCCACGACACAAAAGGCGAGGTTGCCAACGACGCATCTGGAAACGAACAACCAAATCAGATCACAAGTCAAAAGGATGGGGAAGATCAATCCTCCCCCCACGATGCTTCCGGTCCGCTGAAGGACACCGACCCTGCGGAACACCCATCGAAAGCCGAGAGGCGGCGCAGCAGCAGTAGCAAAGAGCACGACGACCATGATCATGGCGGCGAAGAACTCGAGCGTGGACAAGAAGACGATGTAATATACTGAGTATGTATTATTTGGGGTTGTCGGCTACAACACCGTCCAATACCACACTGTTGGATGTTGCTCTGCACAGAAATGAGAGGACACTAGGCTCGTAGGGGTCTGTACAAGTTTCTCAGCGAGAAGTGATTCGTTCAGATTCCGTTGGCCGCCCGTATAGACTTGCAACGCCATGGCAAAATCTCTCGATGAATTGATTCCACTGGGAAACGTATACCCCACACGGTCCAAGCGTGCAAGCAAGATGCGTACCGTAGTGATGATCGTGCTCAGCCTTGCCGGTCGGTGTATACTGTCCAAAGACGGCTTAGTACGATATACCTAGTCTAGGTAGACAGGGCTGCGACCGGACGAGGCTGAGGTTTATGTCATACCTCATACTCGGTATGAGGGACTCCACCACGTGCGGGCAGCCCCGGTTGCCATAATTACCTAGTACTTGTCCCCTCCTGGGTACCCTCCGGGCCGAAGTTCAATCATCAAATCAATTCTCGCGCATTCCTTTTTCCTTTTCCCTTTCCCAATTTTCTCTCCCAGGCGTGAGAACCAAACCAGCGAAGTATTTATTTTGTTGGTCCCTTTTTTTTTTTGTCCCAGGCCAAATTTACGGTTTCTTTTTTAGTTTTGCAGCAGCAGCTTTTGATACTATTTTTGCGCCATGTCGTAATTTTGTCACGTTTTTCTGCAACATTTAATCTTTGTCGACACCCTGCATTCATCTTTTACTAGCTCGTCCATTGAACTGCTTGGCGTTGGTGGTTCTTGAAGGGGAGGTCTTCGGTGCTATTATTGTTATTATTATTGGATCTGGGTGCCAATCTAGTCGTCATATCTGCCAGCAATGGAATCACGTCCAACGACAAGCACCGCGGGCTCCCAAATCTCATCTATCAACGTTCTGACCTTGAATTGCTGGGGACTGAAATATATCGCAAAACACCGCCATGAACGATTGTCCGAAATAGGAAATCGGCTTGCCACCTATTCTCCTCAACTCGATATAGTCGGGTTGCAGGAATGCTGGACATATACCGATTACCTGTCCATACGAGACAGCACCCGCTCTTTCCTCCCGTACGGCAAGTTCTACCACTCCGGCATCTTCGGGGGTGGTCTGGCCATCCTGAGTCGATGGCCAATAATCGAATCTTCCATGTATCGTTATCCTCTCAATGGCCGACCTCAGGCATACTTCCGCGGCGACTGGTTCGTCGGGAAGGGTGTTGCATGTGCCAGGATTTCTCTTCCCGATGGCGCCAATATTGAAGTCTTTAATACGCACTTACATGCGCCTTACGAAAAGGAACCGAACGACAGCTATATCTGCCATCGAACAGCACAGGCCTGGGAAATTGCGAAACTCATGCGTGCAGCTTCCGACAGAGGCAGCCTAGTCATTGGACTGGGCGATTTCAACATGGTCCCATTGAGCTTCGCACACGTTCTGGTGGAAAGTCGTGCGGGCGTGCAGGATGTCTGGCGAGTGGTGAAACCTGGGAGCAGCATCGGTGCAAGCGTCGATCCACCTGAAAAGGAGCGCCGAAAACGCGTGGGCGAAGATGAGACTCCGTCCGTCGAGATAAGTCTCGAGGAACACGGCCACACGTGCGATTCTGTTCTGAATACGTGGCGATGGAACAAGGCCCATCAGAAGCAGCTGGCGCAGGGCCACGACCGGAAAATCTCGGGTACGGACTTGGACCCAAAAGCAAAACGGTTGGACTACATCTTCTTCAGCGGGATAGGTAAGGGTTGGAGAGTTGGTGATGTAAAGGTTGCTCTTACCGAAAGGCACCCGACCCTCCTCTGCTCGCTGAGCGACCATTTTGCTGTGCAGGCGACACTAGAGAGAAGCCAAAGCCAGCCAGCTCCTCCGATCACAGTGGAAGCTCACGCAGCCTTGCACGATTCAAGCGCCACAGATGCCAACCTCCAGACTGCGGATTTTGAGGAGAAGGATTTCGACAAGGCAATATCAAAGATACCCACGCGAAGCCAAGTCAGCCAGGACTTTTACAGAGATATCCTCGTCATGATCGACAAATACACGCTGCGGGAGCGAAAGCAACGACGGTACGGCCTGTTGCATTTCGTGGGCTCCGCTGTGGTCTCGATCGGCTGCTTCATCGCCGTCTGGTGGTCACCGCGGAATTTTGTGTCCTTCATCCTGATACTGCTCAGCAGCCTTGGCCTCATGGCTGGGACGATACATGGATTGATCGGGGGTCTCTTTGTGGGTTCGGAACTGAGGGCTCTGGCTGAGTTTGAGTGGGAAGTTCGAAATGCGCTCCATCTTGCTGGCGGTCCGGCTTTGGAAGATCAATCATTTCAATTGAAAGATTGGTACGATTGAAGACGACAAGGATTGACCATGTTCTAGAAGAGCTCCAGGAGCATCAATGGCTGGGTGAAAAGTGTCCCTGCATTGCTGCGACAAGCGCCCAGCGACCATGGCGCTTAGAGGATCGAGCAACATGTGGCAGCTTGCAGTGGACGAATGGAGAGGAATTGACTGGGGGATCCCAAACACATGCAGGGAGCAGCACTGAATGCACCCTGAGGAAGAGAGTAAATTATTATGAATGTTGTTGGCATGACATGGATTGGGGGGAGGAGTGAGTGTGTGTTGTCCTTGTTGGGCCCGTCATTGGATTCGCAACTCGACACTTCAAAAAGGGTCCGAATTTCCCACCTTCGTCGATAACGCCAACCTCAACATTTCCTCTCTCCATTACACCCACAACCACCTTTTCCTGTTCGTCTCATTATCAGAATCCGGTCGCCTGGTGTTTATTGATCAGCAACTGATTTTTCAGGATCCAGACACACGCACATAACAAGGTACGTAAACCTGTCTCCCACCTGTTGCGTTGTTGTCCCTTCTACTGCCTGGACCTGGTTGCCTGCGAACCACCTCCCACCACTGCTTTTCCATTGCTCCCATGAGTCATCGGTTGTCGCGAGCACCTTATCTATCATTGTTCCAAGAGTTATAAATATTGGACGATACCCCATGAAGTTGTGACCGTATCATCTTTGCCTGGCTCACTGGTCACCTTGTCACCCCCGCTTTTGCGCAGTCCAAACAACCGTTTCACTCACTTTACCAGCTGACAACTGGCCTTATTTAGTTTCTCAGGACAGCCTTCGCCGTCTGATCTGCATACAACTGCGAGAACCTCAAAAACCACACCACACCTACCAAAACCACCACTACCAATGGCGCAAACACGCGGCGCAACCGGCCACTCCAAGCCAAGAGTCTTTGCCACCGTCTCGACCGAGCCTGTGCGCAAACGCAAGACGACGGCTACCACCACGGACGGCGCCACCAAGAAGCGCAGGAGCGCTCCAAAGAAGGCGGGCGCAACAACCACCGGCGCAGGTGTCACGAAGAAACGTGCGCCGGCGACGCACCACAAGAGAAAGCCCACAATTGCGGACAAGGTCGAGGGCGCGGTGGAGAAAGTCATCGGGACCGTCGAGGGAAAGCCCGGCAAGAAGGCTGCAGGCACGAAGAAGATCAAAGGCACAGACGGGAAAGGCAGCAAAGTGTCCAAGAACACCGCGAGGGTCGAAGTATCCTAGATCAAGGGTGTTCTCGACTTTGCACGAGACGAGACATGAGTGTTTCTGTCGCAACAGACATATGATCAGACAGAAGCTGGCGGAGAGTGCTGTGCTGACTGGCCCACTTTGGATCTTTGTGGGAACGCATCGGACTTTTGTTATTTTACCCTTTGCCCCGTGCCCACTTGGCCCCTTGCCTCCCATCTCTGAGCTGGATTTTTGGGGTGGAGAGCATGGTCATCATCATTAATGACATTACCACCGGGATTTTGTCTTGACGCTTGCTCGCTCACTCTGTTCCCGGGCATTCTTGTTCACAATCCCAGACTCCTTTTCCTTGTTCGACTCAGGGCCCGAAACTCGAGGCTCGAGGCTCAAGGCTGAGGATTCGGAACTCAGGGACTGACTGACCTTACATGACATGACATTATATGGCACGGCACGGCATAACGACAATTGGGTATTGTTTACGAGAATTCGCACAGGAGTTTGCAAAGGGCATTGTTATCCATCACATCACATCACATCACGAGGCTGGATTTCTTTGGTTCAGGATACCTCGCATGGATCTGGTCTGGTATCGCGATCTGAGTTGGGCTGGGTTGGCTGGCTGGGCCCATACCATCATCCATGGTAATAAGAAACCCAAAACCAAAACCCCTTAGATAGCAGGTAGCATCCAAGGTTTACCTTATACCTACCTCCCTCCCTCCCTACCACTACCTACCGGTTTAACTGCATGTCTATGTCCCTCTGTCCTTCTGTTCCAGTATCCCTACTCACAGATAGAGATACACAGGGTTCATAGGTACGGACTGGGGTACAGAGGTACAGAGGTAGAGGTACTACGGCAATGAATCGAGAGATATATAGGATACCTCACTCACTCAATTCTATCTATCTATCAATCTTATCTACCTTGGAAACGAACAACGCACGAGGAACTCAGTCTGTCACGGGCCTTTCTTGCATCTCGAACAGCGAACAACGGGAGAGCAGGTTAGTGAATGGACCGGTTCGAAGATTGGACTCGTGTACTTTTGTACTCATTGTACTCGGTACTTGGACCTCGTATGTATTACTTTTCTATCTGGCTCGCACGATATCAAGTGCACAAGCACCGCACAATGCTGCTCATGGGATATTTCGCTCGCTTGTAACGATTCTCCCTTTCCATTCCTCTATTCACATATGCAATTTTGTCCTTTGTCCATGTCGAGACTTTCATTCCCTTTCGTTCGTCATCCATGTCGCTTTTCGATCCATGCTATTTCCGAAATCCCTATTCCCGTGTCGAAATCAAAAACGCCGTGCCAGGTGCCAGGTCAATCTGTCCTTTTCCCAGTATCAACAATGTCGGAGTTACAGTACAATCTCGTCACTTCGTGCGTCTTGTTCCGTGCTTCCTCCAGACTTGCAGTTGCCGGTCATCGACGTGACCGATGAGAGGTCTTGTCAAACATGGGCAACTTCAAGTCCTAGAAAGGACACGCTCATCAGTACCACCACTCATTCAGTCATCCAGGCTGTCTCGTCTATCTCTTCTCCAGCCACCAGACCTTGGAGGTCCTTGACCGCTGAGGCTGGGAAGTGGATGATGATAGGCCTTGGTATTCTGGTTCTGGACGCTCTGGTTGTCAAAGTCCTGGTTTGCGTGGAATGAACCAGGCACGGTGCGGATTGGACGTTGGGGGCTGTGATTTTTGCTCGGTGAGTGGTATCTCGGTGGACGAGGACCAGACATTGGCGCAGCAGCCGGTGGTGGTGTCGCGACGTTGAAGCTGCCTTCTTGGCCGTACGAAAAGTCACGACGTGATTGACGTTTCTCAGGACTGTGTTGGCGAGAAGATGGTGCTTGCCGGGTGCTGTTGCTGCCAATGTCACTGCCGCCACGTGAGGTCTCAGTGTAGTCCGTGCCGTAGAAGAGGGCATCCGAGTCTCTGTTGAGACCTCCCACGCGAGCAGCCTTTTCGTGTCGATATGCGCGGACATCGTAGTCCTGGCCACCTTCCCAGCGGGCTTCCTTGGCCTCTCGTAACTTTCTCTCTTTAGCCGTCTCCTTTTGCTTCCTTGACTGCTTCTCCTTGATGATTGGTGCTTCAGAAGACAGCTCTGTCATCGTCTCAGTCATAGCCTCTGTCACGGTATCCGGAATCGTTGCCGTGTCTTTGTCCGAGTACCCATCTCCCACAACGCTACCACCACCTAGCTTGGTGCTCTTGGTAGCGTTACTAAGAGTCGTTCCATTGGGACCCTTTCGTCTCAAGACGGTGGACTTGTATTCATCCCAGTCACCCTTTTGCCATTTAAAGCCGCCGTTCTTGGCCCAAAAGAAGAACCAGATGGCAAGGATGACGAAAGAAGCCCCGATAATGGCAAATAGGGCCTGGATGCCTTTCATGTTGATATCATTAGGATCAACTGACCCGGCACCAGGGTTTGGGTCTTTTGTATGTTGGGCATCTCTTGCGGTGAGGACATTATAGCTATCTATCGGAGATATCATGAGAGGAGAGTCATCGCTTCGGGGGATGAGAGGATTGTAGACCAGATCCCGTTTAGAAAATGAGGTTGTCGTCGGCATTTCGTTCAGGTCGGTGGAGCGTGCATCGAGTTCAAGGGAAGAGAATTTGAGGTCGGGAATGTCAACATGGGAATTGACTGGAGCCATGATGGCAGGGAAGAGAGCAGTAACGCTCTCGAGGGAAGCGCTTCGTCAGTGCAACGGATCTTCTGTCGTATATCACAGATGTTTGGTGCGTGAGGGGACGATGAGAGACGGTGTTTCGAGGTGTTGTCTTGTAGACAATTTGACGGTGTGGTAATTTTGCAGAAGGTCAGATATGGAATGTCCAGCTGGGCAGATGAGAAACTCACCTCTCCGAAGAGACTTTTGTGCGCGAAATACTGTTGTATGACTGTGAATATATGGTGGCAGGAAACGCTGAAGAGGCTGGGGAGCAAGGCTGGGCAGCGGCCAGGCGAGGCTGCGCCATATATTTTGTCCAGTGATAATGACGCAATTGTTGATTAACTCCGAATCGGGCATAGCTCCGTTTCCACAGCAGCCTCACGTGTCTCTCTATTATTGTCCAAACGACTCATGCCACGCTACCTCGACTCGTCCAAGAATTCCACCAACCCGACTTCGTTATGCTTGTAACCCAACTTCTCTGCGCGTCGCGACACGAACCTCATATTGCTCGCCATCAGCATCGGCAATTCGCCCTCGCCTGCTTCCTCCAAAGCCACACTTCTGGCTTGAGGCTCTCGCACGATCCCTTCCGCGTACATTGTTTTCGCAAAGGCGTCTGATGCTTTCTTCCAGGAAACTTCCGGTCCCCCAATCAGGAAACATCGCTCATAGACAGATCCTTGAGGATCCTCCTCGTGCAATGCCAAGTCCAAGACTTTCAGCATGAAGGGGGCTATGGCATTGACGTGGAGGCAATTGAAGAGGGCACTTCCGTCTCCTACGTATGGCACAAATCCCAGCTCTCTAGCCTTCTCGCGGTAGATTAGTTGGATCACTCCCAAAGCCGGAATTGGGCCAGCAGCTTTGCCATATATTCCAGAAGGGAAGACAATGTAGGTCCCGATATTGCTTGTTTTGCCCGCAGTTAAGACCCTGCATGATGAGTTGTCAGTCAATTATGACAGATACTATGATGCTCAGGGAAGATCATACATCGTGTCAGGCCCACCATTGAGCATGGAAGGGTTGATAAGCTTCATGTCTTCTGGGTTGCAATCCTGCTGCATGTCAGTAAGTTCATTCCGCGTAGTTCAAAGGTGCCATTTCGCTCACGTCCCAGATCTTCGTTTCTGTGTGAAACGCCCCATCCGTCCATCTCTTATCCACAAAATTACCAGTCCCACTCATGTGAATGAGGGTCTTCTTCTCTTGCGGCTGCTGGTTCAAGCCTGCCACAATCGCTTCACTCAAGGGCACATCCCATGACGAACCCACGTTGATGACGATGTCGTGTTCTCGCGCCAACGCAGCAATCTTGTCCTTCTCATCGAAAGTGCCATGCACGATGCGTTTGACGCCTGCTGTTTCGTACAAGTACTTGTCAAGAGTGTTATTCCGCAAGAAGACCGTGACTGGGAGACGAGGGTATTCTGTCTTCAGAGCCAAAATAAGGTGTGCTTGGAGACAAGGTCAGTCAATCAACCGAGTGATGAGTACAATTGTGAGGCAACTTACAGCCAACAAGGCCTGTTACACCAAAAAGCAAAATCGAAGGCATGGTCGATTCTAAATCCGCTGTGACAAACGTTTGAGTCGACGTGTCGATTAGTTTTTGCAATCCTACGGTATGCTCTTGTGGGCAGAATCGATCAAGCTCTTCAGGTCTACTATTGGACTTATATCCTCTTCAAGCCTGACCAAATGTCCTCTCATCGGACCCAATATTCCCTCGAATTCGTCGCGAGTCCATACCACAAACAGTCTACTGGCCGGGCATACTCATCCGCCACCAAGCACAAGCCTCTCGAGTTTTCAGGCTCTAGGCTCTTATAAAGATGGGTGACCAAGCACCACAGATTGCGGATCAGCGGACTGCGCAAAGCTCCCGACAGCCCAGCCCAGCCCAGTCCAACAGCACTGGCTTTCAGCGATGGACTGGTGATTCTTCTATGGAGCTCTATTCGTTCACCACGGACTATGGACCTCAGAAACACGGCTGGGAGTGTCTTCATAAGCAAAAGCCCATGGTGGCATTTATGCGAGACAGCACCATCTGCCGTGCTCTTATTGGTGCACCAGAAAAAATTACCCTTTCGAGCCATTGGGGGCAAGCGGATCGACTAAGGACAGGGCTTGAGAACAATGAATGCTGTGCTATTATCAATCATATATCCATCAGTGATGGTTTTTGGAGGCCGTTTAAAAGATGATGAGAGAGAGAAAAAAACTACTTCTTTCATAGGAGCTGCTGGCTGTAGAAGAATGAAAGTTCAGTGTTGATAATCATCATATTGTGGTTTTCTCTCTCTCTCGAGACTGTCCCTTTCATTCATGACTTTTTCATCACCCTTGTCTGTCGAGCACTTGTCTCTCGTACAGTCAGTCCTGTGCGAATACCTCCTCCCTCCTTCCTCCTTCGCAGCTCCAGTCCCCCAAATACCTCGTGCGTATGTTATGATTTGATCTTCTGACCTCAAATTCGAAAGGTCGATTGCAATCAATCAGTCGATGGTGCAGATCAACTTGCCCATGGTCTGGTTGCTCTCAAGCATCTTGTGGGCCTCCTGGATTTCGGACATCTTGAAGACCTTTTCGACAATGACCTTGAAGCGGCCGTCGATGAAGCGGGGCAGGGCGTGCTCGACGAGCATGTCGCGCAGGCGGCCCTGGTAGGCCTCGTCGCGGCTGCGGAGGCTGGAGCCCTCGTAGCGGAGGCGCTTGCGCAGGAAGCGCGACACGTCGATGGGCTTGTTGACGACGTTGCCGCCCAGGGTGCCGAGGTTGACGATGTGGCCGTCGCGGGCCGCCGCGTCGAGGTTCTGGTCAAAGTAGCCGGCGCCGATGAAGTCGACAATCAGGTCGACGCCCTTGCCGTCGGTCTGCTTGAGCAGGGCCTGCGACCAGTCGCCCTCCTTGTACGAAAACCCCTCGGTCGCGCCCAGCGACTTGCAAAACTCAATCTTCTCGCGCGAGCTCGCCGTCACGTACACGGCCGAGGCGTTGTCCGCCTTGGACAGCTGGATGCCCGCGATCGACACGCTCGACGCCCCCGCGTGCCACAGCACCGACATGCCCGGCTTGAACTCGCCCACCAGGTAGAGCGCCTGCGTCGCCGTGATCCACGTCTCGGGGATGCCGGCCGCCTCCTCCCAGCTGAGTTCTTTGGGTTTGTGCACCAGCATGTGCGTGCTGACGGCGATGTACTCGGCGTAGGCGCCACCGTAGGCGAGGCCAAAGACCTCGTCGCCGATGTTGAAGCCCCGTTCGGGTTCGGAGCCAAAGGCCTCGATGGTGCCGGAAAATTCGACGCCCAGGATGGGGCCCGCCTGCGGTGGTAACGGGTATCCGCCTTCTCGCTGAAGGAGATCCATGCGGTTCAGGCCAAAAGCCTTGATTTTGACGAGAGCCTGGCTGCCCTTTGCCACCGGTTTGGGAGTGTCGGGATTGATGAAGAGGGCGGAAATGGGACCCTTTCCACCCTTGATGTCGACTGCGCGCATGGTTGCCATGGCTCTTGCGGGTGTGTTTCTGGCCGACGGTTGGACACGACTGTGAAAAGTTCTGAGAGCGACCTTGTTCCTACTCCTGGTGGTACTGCTCAAGGGTGATGTTGATGTTGATGTTGACGCTGAAAAGGATCTTCTTGCCCCGAGAGACGTCGATGTCTGCAATATATGTAAAGACGGACAAATGCGCTGGCCTTGAAGAATTGCTATTGAGAACGGGTAATAGCCGGTCACTAGCCGTTGGAGATGCGGGATTTCTAATGCGACCCTCGAGCAGACAGTCGCCGTCGAGTTCATTCAATGTCGATACGGGCGAGAGAGAGGAGAAGGAGGAGAAGAAGAAGGCAGTCTCGGGATGGACGGTAGGCGGAAGTTAGATTTGAGGAATTGGCGAAGCAATGGCAAAGGTGACACCAGGCTACGGAGATATGATTACCTCAAGGCTTCTTCCCGATTAGGTTGTGTTTAAATGCCGCCAGAAAGGTATAGAGGGGGGCATCATCATAGCAGCGCACGGATGAGGCCCTCGGACTCGATACGAGGTACAAGGAGAGGTGCGAGTGGGTGCGAGAAACCCTGCGGATGACATGACGCCATTACTAACGAGACATTTCGGAGGTTTCCAGATTAGTAGTAAAAGTGGTAAAAGTAGCGAAAGTAGTGAATTCCCACCGGATCCAGCATTGCTCTGGGCCACTGGGGGCTTCATGGCCTTCAGCCACCGAGATTCATCCATCATTTCCACATGCATAACTCGCAGCTATCAATACAGGTGCATCCCAAATGACAAAGCAAACTTGACCCTAGCACTTGGGTGGCACTCAGTGGCTTGCTTTCTGTCCCATGTGTGGTCTTTCGGTAGGCAAAAGGCTTATCATTCAGGTATAGTGCCACCACCACCTCAGTTGTTGTCTCAACACCTCAATCCACGATAACCACTCTTCCTGCTGCTTCTCCTCTAGTCAATGTTGTATTGCTTGATCAATTCAATCAGCTTCTGTGATTCTGTCACATAGTTCAAGGGCGCCGCCGATGTGACTTGATATCGAACCCTAGGACTCGCGTTAGTCTCCATGTCAACAACATCATGGGTCGGTTGTTTTACCGTTGTTGTTCCTGGAAAGTGTCAAGTTTTGCCTTGCATTTCCAATTCCATGTCTTGCAGTTGGCCTCGGAGAATATCTCGGCCAGCCTCTTCTCGTCCACCTCCTTGATCTCCATCAGCTCATCCGCGGTCATACCAATGACCAGTCGGCCCGTTTCGTCGAAACAGCTGACCCAGAGTTGGCCAGTGTGATCGCTAATGTTGACCGACATGATATAGCGGTATTCAGGTTTTGGATGGTTCTTGTCACATCGTTCGCAGCGCCACTGACCGGGGTCGATCTCGAAAACTTTTTTGTTGCACCCCTCCGACAAACATGCCGGGTAACAGAAGTTGTCCTGCTTGATGTATTGTATGGAAGCCTTGACGGAGAAGAAGTCGGCATTGTCAGACATTCCCAATTGTTCGTCTTTGACTTGCGAAATGGTCTTAAACGGATCGCCTCGAGAACCGGTTCCAGATGCCGCAGTGCCTTGGATGTTTGCATGAGTAGCAAAATTGCCACTCCGACCCTGGTCCTCATACCACCCTTTCAATTTGTGTGCTTCAGGCATATCGGGATTGGCGCTAACCGACCCAGAACTTAGCAGACTCAAGCTGCGTCCGCCAAAATCTGAGACTTTGACCCCTTTGAAAGCGACCACTGATTCAGGTGGGATGTCAAACGAGGCCGCCGTTTTCCCCCAGATGGTTAGACGCACCGAGTAGCCAGTGTTATCGACCAGAGTGAGCTCTCTCTTATCATAGGGCTTGCTTGTGGTTTTTGACGTGATTTGTGAAGTCTCACCGACCTCCTTGAGCACTCCAATGATGTCAATGGTTGTGTCTTTCTCCACAGATTGCAAGTCTGCGATGCTGGTGAAGTTGTATCGAACTTGAGGAACGTCATCTTGATCCTCGGCTTTCTCGACAGTGGTGTCTTTCTCAAAGTGAAGCTCATAGTCATTTGCCAGGTTTGAAAATTGTTTCTTCGCCAATGAGACTTTGCAAGGACTCGAAATGTAGTAGACGCTGCCCTCTTGAAACAGATCGTACAGCTGATCGCATTGGTCATTGAAACCCGTGGCCCGGATTTCGCCACTTTCGTCCAGCAGGTTGACACTGAAAAGCTTGCCCTCGCCATTACGATTATGCCATGTCTTGATGTCCGACTTGCTCGTGCAACGCGCCTTGATGGTCCATTTATTGGAGTAAGGTGAAATTGCTTCGATAGGGTAGATGTTCGCGTGAGCAGATGACGATGGCTTCGCATGACCCATGGGTCGGTTCTGTTTCGGCTGCTCTTGTTTGTTTCCGTAGAATCCATTGCTCGTAATCGACGTAGGGTATGCCTTCTCTTCATCTTCAGCCTTCAGCTCCAGTGGTTTCGGGTCGCCGAGTTTCTCGTGCTCCCCATACTCTTCGAGGACTTTGATATCGGTCACGATGAGAATGCTGGACAGATCGTTAGTGTCATTGTAAGTAAGCGAAAGAGCCTGCCTTACCGTTTAGCCTTGACCTTGTTCGCAGAATATCCCATCAGTTGCACGAGAACTCCTCTGCGGAGAATCTTTTCCTCTACCAGCTGATTCTGGTGCACGGCCAGCATCGTCTGGATGTAGTTTTTCGTATCGCTGAAAATGACTCGGTGGCGCTCCTGACCACCTTGTTGCGTGGCAATAGGCTTGATTTGGACACATTCTGTTTCCTGTCAATCTTCATCGAAGGTACCACGATCTCGGAGTGTATGGAACCCTCTGAGAACAACATGGCGACTTACGCATGACGGGGTGTTCGACCCGTCCAGGACGATCCTCAAAAATGTCGGCGAGCGAACCTGCATCGACGCGCGCGAGCGCAGTAGCAGGGGAGTTCATGGCTGGCACTGAAAGACGAATGAAACGAGGTAAAGACGAGTGGTGGTAGATCGAGGTAAAGGTTGGTGAGTTGAAATGTTTAGCGACACATAATGATGCCTGCGAGCTCCCACTTCTTCGACGCGTTCTAACGCGTTAAGTGGTTCTCCCCGCCTGGTGCCCGCCACCGGTACAGCAGCCACCCAGCAGCCTTGCAAGGAGAGGCGCTGACTAAAACTTGCCAGGCAAAAACTACCCTTGTCTGACGCCATGTTTTTGTCAAGGTCTCGCTCCACCAATTTTGCCTGTCCTCCGTGTATGGTTCTCAACCCAACCATCCAGAGGGCATCCCTATTGTAGATAGACCATTTCCGGTACTCGTGTGCATTGTCATTAGTCATAAGAACTTACGGACATCTACGACGGTGAAATGCTGTATGTCTTCTTCAACCCGGACCTACTCTGTGACGTCTGCCACGATTCTCAGAGCAGTTTCCTGTCAGACCTTGTCATTTCTTTAGGCTGACCTCAAGGGTGAGACCCTACCAAGTATATCCAACATTCAAAGAGCCGGACAACCAGCATCTTTTGCCAAAGTCTTTAGTCCCAAACTGATAAGTCACATACCACAACTATACAAGTAGACGAGAGTAAGGGCCCAGGGAAAGGAGAACTTACCTGACACATCTGTGTGCAACCATGGCCGAATCTGAACTCGCAACCAAGGCTCCCGAGTCCGATGCTATGGAAGCCCAAGTCGAACCCTCTGCTATCTCATCTACAGACTCAACGGCTCAGACTGGTCCCAGCATGGGGGAACACTGCGTAACAGACCGTCCGACAACAGACAATCGCCAACCGTCTGGCGAGATGTCCAAAATGGGTGACGTTGACGTCTACATCTCGAAACCGGCCGACTATCCAAACACTCCAGCTAAACTCCTCCTGCTCCTGACATCTGGGACGGGTGTGCACTCGGTAAACAATCAGGTCCAAGCAGACATGTTCGCCGCCGAGGGCTTCGTCGTGATCATGCCCGACCAATTCAATGGTGATCCGGCACCGAGCTCCAACAGGACTACGATGCCCACTTCCCCCACCTCCCCTGGAGAACCACCACAAAGTCCGAGCCTCCTCGAGCGCATAAAACTTGGTGCCGCCGAGACGGCGAAATCGTTCCTCGTGGACATGTGGCTGGCCCGCCAAACACCAGAGAAAGTGCTCCCCATCTTACTCAAGGTGATCGAGACATGCAAGGACGAATATGCGGATGCTGTCGCCCATGGACAAGGTATCTATAGCGTGGGATATTGCTTCGGTGGGAAGTACGTGGTTATGCTAGCTGGTGAGAACCCTACGCAACAACCGCCCAGTGGGAAGGATGAAGAGGAAGGGATGGTGGCAAAGGGGCCGCTCATCAAGGCTGGTGCCGTAGCGCACGCGACGTTAGTGACGCGCGAGGATCTGAAGGCCATCAAGGCGCCTTTGACAATGGTTTGTGTCGGTAAGCTAGACTGATATCTTCGTGCTATTCGGATATCCACAGCTGACAATGTTTTACCAGACAACGACCCCCTGTTTCCTGATGAAGTGCTAGATGTTGGTCGAAAACACCTTGCATCCAGCAGCATAGACCATGAGATCAAGACATATCCCGAGGTCCCGCACGGTGAGTTTCACTTCGAGGACACGTCCCACAGTGATCAAGGGGGTAGTCACTAAACATGGCACAGGATTTGCGGTGTACGGAGATTATGATTCGCCAGAAATCAAGAGAGCTCAAGAAGCAGCTTTCCAACAAATGCTGAACTGGCTCAAGTCTCACTGAGGCTTCTTTCTTGTTCAAGGATGTCTGGCGGCGATAGGCAGCTCGCAATGAGCAATAACGATACCCAAGAATCAATAAGGAAAAGGGCAGGATAACGAATGGGGTTTATGACAGCGCGTTGAGCCACAGGAAACTGTTTAGTTGGTTTCATTGCACCTCGCTCAAATACTTCAATGGGCGTTCTTTTGCCCAGGACGCCCGCATCAGTTCAGAACTGGACTCTATCAAGTAGAACCGAGAAAATTCCGCTGTGCCATCGCCATTGCAGGAGCTCGTCTCACTACCCTGTCGGGGGCTCCCGCGCCTGCTAGAAGCCCTTGTCCTCACTCCCGTCATGACTCTGTGCCGGTGACAGGTTCTCGTCGTTATTTCGCTCATTTTTGCATCATCAGTTGCACGAATTCGTTGTCTGTATTGACGTGATTAGTCGTGAAACAGCATACACCGGACAGGCGGGAGAAAGGAGGACAAATTTGACTTACAGTCAATGCGACCATCCCCATCTTGATCAGCCTCTCGAATCATCTCATCCACTTCGTCATCCGTGAGCTTTTCACCAATGGAAGTCATGACATGACGCAGTTCAGCGGCAGAAATGAAGCCATTGTTGTCGCGATCAAACACCTTGAACGCCTCTCGAATTTCCTCCTCGGAATCTGTGTCCTTCATCTTTCGGGCCATCATCGTGAGGAATTCTAAACAAACTCGTAAGCCGAGTCCATGAATGCCACTGATTGTAAGTTGCTCCACCATACCTGGGAAGTCAATGGTGCCATTGTTGTCTGCATCCACCTCATTGATCATGTCCTGAAGTTCGGATTCTGAAGGATTCTGGCCGAGAGATCTCATCACCGTGCCCAGCTCTTTGGTGGTGATTTGGCCTAGCAAGGTCATGTTAGATTTCAAGGTTTGCGGACCTGGCGATGACATCGGCGGGGTAGGAAGGGGTATATGTACCGTCGCCATCTTTGTCCTACAGAGCGATGCGTCAGCTTCCAAGGCAGTGATGAAGAGATCAATCAACGTACAAACAGAGAGAAGGCTTCTTTGAATTCAGAGACCTGTTCTTCGGTCAAGGAGTCCGCCTACAGGCAACAGGTGTCAGTCTAGGCCCATAGAGAATGTTTCACCACTGCAGCCGCAGTTAGGATTGCCATGTGGTGCCATACCATGGTCGAAATCAATCACGCAACGATCGCCGTTGCAGTTGAGGTCAGGTTATGGTGGTGCGCAACGTTGGAAAGGGGGTTGGTATAGTTATGTAGCGTCTCCTAAATGGAGGACGTATTCAAAGGCGGCTGAAGCGGCGGCGTAAATTGAACTGCAGGGTTACGAGTAAAGTTGTCCGTAGAAAGGGCAAAGTCTCGAACTCCACTGGATTATGGCGCTGGAATTCGGGCCAGCTGAAAAACGAAGGATTGGCGGGAGATTCCATGGTCCGCGGAATATCGATTCTCCGAGCCCCTTCGTCACTGATCCAAGTTCTAGGTGTTGCTTGTTCGTTGCTTGCAGACTGCCTGTGTCGCGCAACTCAAGTTTAAGTCTTGACAATGCTTGCTGCTTCCATGTTATTGGCATCCCGACGACTGTCTGAACCACTTGTTTCTTCCTAATCTATTGTATCTGATCAGCATGCCAGTCAGAGCAACCCGAGATCAGACGGAGGACAGTCACATGTGATCCGTTCAATTCCATCAGATCTCAATATGTGGAGAGATCGGACGAATCTGTATAGCCCAAATTTCCTGATGCAAGGCAATCATATCTGACCTTCTTCTAGTTATATCTCCTATCGCCAGTCATATTCCCACCACCCCTCTAAGAAACCGCGATTCCCATCCGCCACAAACGGCTATGCCGACCAGGCATCAGAGGAGACCAGAGGTCTCATGTCCACGGGGGCATACGAGAATGACGGCGATGCAGTCATAGAGATGGACTTGCTTCCTCCCCGCTGGATTGATGTTCAAGATGAGGTCGGTGATATTCTCAAGGACATCACACTCAAAGCTGCAAAGTTGGAGAAGCTGCATTCCAAACATGTCCTTCCCGGGTTCGACGACGAGTCGGTCAAGCTGCAGGAGGAGCGCGAAATAGAACAATTGACGACGCAGATTACGAGAGGCTTTCAAGAATGTCAAAAAGCCATCAAGCGCATCGAGAGTATGGTCAAGGAGGCCAGGGAGACAGGCAACCTTCAAAAAGGGGACGAGATCATGGCAAAGAATATCCAAGTCGCTTTGGCATCCAGAGTACAGGAAGTCAGCGCCACGTTCAGGAAGAAACAAAGCACTTACCTCAACAAACTCCGTCAACTGGGTGGCTTCGAATCACCAGTTGGTCGTTCTTCAACTCCAATACCCGTTCAAAACCCGTACTCTGACCCGGCCCTACTCGAGTCTGACGCCGACAAGCGACTAGGACAATCGGCGCTACAACAAACAGCACAGAAACGACTGCATAGAAACGATACTGCCATTGCACAACGGGAACAAGAAATTAACGACATCGCCAAGGGTATCATTGAGCTGGCCGATATCTTCCGCGACTTACAAGCAATGGTCATCGACCAGGGCACCATGCTCGACCGCATTGACTACAATGTGGAACGGATGGCTACAGATGTCAAAGGAGCGGAGAAGGAGCTCATAGTTGCCACCAATTACCAGCGACGCAACACCAAACGCAAAATCCTCTTGTTGTTATTGCTTCTTGTTATTGGCATGTTTGTCCTCCTATTGATCAAACCGAAGAAGCGAGCTCAGCCACTACCACCTCCTGCATCTCCTGCGAACCCAGACAGTCCTCCTTGAACAATGAAGCACGGTGTAGAGATAGCAAAATATTTGCTGGACACAAAGGACACAAAACGAGGACTATGCACCGCAAGCTCGCCCTCTCATACCGATCCTGGCCACAAACACAGTGCCTGTCGAAAGGCGAGATTCAACAGTGTTACCTCAGTCGCAGGGCTGTGTCGGATGACCAAAGCACTCCCCTTTTTGATCCCCTGGAGGATCACTCCCTGAACCCGTGGTTTATTCCGGCTGAGCACGAGGAGAAAAAGTTGGACAGAATTGCAGGAGACGCAAAGGAGGTCACGCCCAGAGGTTCGTGGCATACAATAGAGGTTGTTTTGAAAGGGCTATATAGACCCTGCCGGGGGGTCTCTCCTGTGGAACGAACCTCGCAGCTCCGTCGTGTTACGGTACGTACAGACGAGGTAGCTATGGCGTAATGATGTGAGTATGGGTTACCCTTCCTAGTATTTCATGCATTGCTAATACGGAAGCAGAGAGACTGAGCTGGTCCTCATTCTATAACGAAACACTTTGGATTATATTCACCTCTTTCCCAAGAGGGCGTGTGTTAATACAAATGCTAGAGCGTTACTGCTTTCCCCTAGCAGCTCCTCTTGGTCGAAGCCTCTGATATGTTGTATAAGGCATATAGCTTATGATGAGAATCTCCCTGTAGGGTGGTTGAGGGGATACTGTTCACCGTGGTATCTTACAACCATCTTTCCACGTCTCGTCTCTTATGTCCTCTGACCTTTTGTAACTCGTAACTTTGTGGAATTTTCAGGAACCAATGGGTACTTGTCATGTTCCTTAGCGACAGCGGGCACTCCTACTGGTGGGAACTGCCCTTGAGATTCGGCGAGATTATTATGAATCCAGAAGGATACTATACATATACGAGGTATCCAATCATAGAACCAGTGGTGCCAGAGCTGAGCCGTAAAGTCTAGGTGGCACCCAGGTGGTTCTGATTAACCTATATTCCCTCAGCTCGTTGTGGAACCGGAGAAACCGCCGAGACAATCGGTTAGTCTTAGGTACCTCGTACACGTAATCGCAAGCCCACTGTCGAGGCCACCCCAAAAACAAAGCTATATAATCTAGGTGTCTCCGAATCCCTCCAAGAAGTGCCGTGAGACGCGCATCAGCGAGTTCTCTGCGGCCTTCATAGCTCAGCGGTAGAGCGCGACACTAGTAGCTCCTTTACCTACTGGAATGTCGAGGTCTTGAGTTCGACTCTCAATGGAGGCATTTCTTTTTGTAGACTTTCCTGCCTGCCTATGTTTAGCAGCTGGTTTTTTTGTTCATCCCTTTTTTCTTTCTTCCATGCAAGGACATTCATATCTTTTTCTTGAGGTACTGACTGGTGGTGGTGGTGGTGCTGGCCAGGTCTGGGGCTGGTTTGTGTATATTAAGCCTGCCAAGGCGCCAAGGACATGTAGTGACCAATATCAGGTACGTCCTTGACCACATACAAATACTGCATGTACCCAGAAAAGAAGTCGCGAACTCAGGTTGATGCTGGTCGATTTGTTTACGCGATCTTCTTCGCGAGGTCTCCTGCAATACAGAGAAAGAAAGCTGTCTGCTAAAGTCATCACACAAGCTCTACAGTTCCAAACTTGTCCTCTTCTGCCGCCTCTCCGTCCATGATGCCATGCACATAAGCTTCACTGATCAGCTTGTACGCTCCGCTTTTTTTACGACGAAGAATAAAAGGCACCTGAGTACCCTTGATGAGTGCGACGACGTCGCCTTTTCTCACATGCTCGGAGCTCAGAACCAAATGACCCGTGCTCGTGACGAATGGAAGTCGTCCCAGACTCTTACCGATGATTTCTGACCCGAGCCTCTGGGACGAGATTTTCCGTCGCTTATGACTTTCTCTGGCAGCCTTAACAACACCACTGGCCAGGAACTTTTGGACTTCCCTTTTGATACGGTAGTCCCTAGATCGGAGAAAGCGTTTCCCGGCCTCCAGGAGCAGCACGGCGTCAGACAGACGATCTTCTCTCTCCATCCTTGTCTGTTTTCCGTCAGAGTAGCCTGCACCTGCAATAGATGATACTGCTGCTGCCCACAGTCGGTCTCTAAAACTCTCGTATGGTCGCTCCCTGTGGTATGTGAGGCGGAGAATTTCGACAAGCCATACCGATGGCCACGAGGACGTCTCTGATAGAGGCACTTCATTACTTGACTTCCTCCTAGGGAAATGGCCGGCTGCCTCAATTATGTCATACGCCCTGCAAGTTAACAATAATCCCTTGGTGACTTGGTTGATTGTCGGCACAGAGATCATAGGAACGCCCCTGTCCACCCCAGACGCTCCAAATTTTGGGTACAGGGTTACATGATCGTTTTCCACGTCTTGCAACATATCAACGAATGATTGAGACCAGTCTGGAACCCAGGACGGTAGGCGAGGCTGTAACTTGGGAATTTGACAACAGGAGAGGAATGACATATGGCCTTGCCGGAGCAGAGCTAACATTACTGACGTGTAGACTTCTGCACAGGTTTTTGTATAGTCCGGAACGATGCCGATTTGTCTCAGGTCTTCTCGATCAGATGCCATGCTCAGAAGTGCAAAGACCTTGTCTCGCGGATCCGTCGACTCGAAGTGATGAGGTCCGTGCCGACGAAGATTGATGGTGCCAACACAGGTGGCACGGAGAAGCGCTGCCAGTGGGAATCGCTCATATCTGTATATCCTCCACAAAGACAACATGACAGTGGGCCTATGGTGGAACAGTTCTGTCGTGAACAATAGCTGCTGCCGTGTAAGCGAAGTTGTGTCCCCCTTCTGTATCATCTCCATGAAGGTCACCCAAAGAGCCCCATATGCGCTGATGGCCGCATTGCACCGACGTCGACTGATCCTTTTGGTGCCGCAGAGCAACTCTGCATTCTCGGGCAGCGCCATTTCCTGCAACATCCATATGCGCCCCCACCAAGGTCGAGTGAAGAACCGCTGGATGCCAGCGGCCGGAAGGAGATGATCTTGCTCGCGCCATCCACTCATGAAGTAAAAGAGGCTTTCCAACTCTTCGCGACTGACAAATTGCAGGTGATTGTCCTCTGTTGTGACCGGGCAGATGGGTGGATGACCTTGTCGACCCTGCGCTACCAGACTCCGCCATATGTCATAATGAACACCCTCAATGGTGTGGACTCCACAGGATTCTGCCCGCTCGCCCAGCTTGTTCAGGTAATCCACGATATCATCGCTGTCGTCCTCGGTCGGCCCGAGCCAGGCATACACCTGCGTCGCTTGCCTGTAGATGTCGTCCATGAGGGCAACCTGCCAGCTTTTCTCCTCATGGTCACTTTGGTCGATGCACAGGAAGTCGATCCAGATGACGAGGTGTTGGCGACGACCTCGCCTCAACTCCATCATCGCGTCGTACAGGGTTTGTGATACCCTGACCTGCCGTCCGTCGACCAGGACCACCCGCTCGTCCTGGCGAGTACCCCATACATAGGACAGCGCTACGTATTGCGGCTTCTCACCCAGACGGGCATGAAAGACCTGACAGGACGGTAGCCTCTTGAACCTTCCGCCATCCTGCTGGTCTTTTTCTGGAAGAAGTCGCAGCAGCCTGATCTCGTTGCTCGAACGGTCCAGCGGGCGATGTTGCATTTCCATGGCTAGTATTTGACCGGACCGAAAAATACATTTATCACAAAGAGCACAGCTCGTACAATTGCCCAGAACGGAAATAAGTAAGGAAGAAGTAATGGCCGTCCAAACCATTTCAGCGTTCTTCTCTCAGCCTCATTTTGATGTCAGCCGTATGGAAGAATCCCGAAAGGCATCGCCAACAAGACACTACGCTACACTACACTGTAGCCTAGGCATCATGGGTTGATCTCGCTGCGCCCTGCGGCCTGCACCCTGATGGCTAATGGAGGGGTGCACTGACGCAGCAATCAATCAGTCAATCAATCAATTTGTTGGTTTTGTTTGTTTCGTTTGGTGGTTGGTTGGTTGGTAGGCTGGTTGGTTGGGTACCCAGATGCCAGGTATGTATGTAGGTGGTTGGTCGACTGATATGTACGGAGTACCGTGACCAACAGACCGAGAAGACACAGCCCAGCCGCAGGGGTGCTGCGTGGAGGGTCATCTTCAAACACATACCTCGTACATATCTAGGTACCCATCCATCTATACATACTGTATATATACACATAGTATGGTATATGGGTACCAGGCTATATAGGTACTCCTCTTCTCAACTTCTTCTAGGTCTGGAAACGACGCAGGAATAGTGGTGATCAAGCATAAACTAGGAAGATCGATTCGATGAAAACAGAAAGAAATCCTCTCTCTCTCTCTCTTTCTTTCTCTGATTATGGTCCCTCAATCCCAAAAAGTGCTATTTAGAGGAAGAGGTAGAGGTATCCCTACGATTTCTGATCTCTGATGATTTGGAGCAACACCCATGTCGGGTTAATAAAAACCAAGTACATAGTACCAATACCGAGGACGCCATGCTAATGTGGCAATGTGGACAAAATAAATCTGCGTAGGTAGATGAAAGACAGACGGCTGCGAACCATATAACCAGTTACAAAGTACCAACTACCAAGTACCAACCACTCACGAATCAAGAGACAGCACTGGCCATGACCAGCGGCCGGACACCGACAACCTGCTTCGTCTTGCCTCCTCCGCCTGGTGCGCCAGAACTGGGACCAGATCCAGACCCAGACGCGGTGGTAGCATTGGTGTTGCTGTCGAGTCTCATGTCCCTCAGTTTGGCAGCCACGTCCTCCTGCCCACCACCGCTCGTGCTCGTAGTGCCCATCCCGATTCCTTCGTCCTCTCTCACCTGCCTCCTCAACCCTTCGGGGACGGGCAACTCGACGCACCTGGCGCCAAGTCGTCCCTTGATATCCTCAAACAACACCTCCATGGGCGCAATGTACGCTGTCTTGCTCTTCTCCCCCCAGGCCAAGACGTGACCACAGAGTCCTCCCGAGACGGGATCATACACCCAGGCGCCACTATCTCCTGGGATGCCAAATCCTCCTTCCACGCACCAGCTCACCGAGAAGGATTGGCGGCCGTGCATCTTCACCAACGACATGGCCTGCGAGATGCGACCCCGTCGGAAGCCGGATGACCGACCGCGGCAGTGTACCCGGAGGCCGGAGAGTGACGAAAGGGGTGTTATAGTGGTGAGTACGGGAAGGGGGTTCCTCCTTTGAGGGGATGCCTTAGACCCGTGTCGTGTTGAGAGTGTCGCTGGGGGAATACTAGTGCCCTTCTGCTGCGAAGTAATGGCGTTCTCAATCTTCAAGCGATCTTCGTGAACCCGAATCAGTGCCCAATCGACTTCATGCTTCATTTCCCCTCGAATCACGCGTCGAATCCCGCTACTGGCAAAGACATATCCAAACGCATGGCTGGCGAGGTGGTCATCATCGCGGTCTTCCTCGCTGGGAAAGAAGTCGTCGTCAACATCGTCGATGGCGGGTTGGGTAACGCATAGATCGTCATCTGAGTATGGCGCGATGCCTGTTCTGTCGCCAATCGAGGCCGCGTCGTCTGCGTCTGCTTCGTCTTCGGACGAGTCCTCGTCAGACCCGTCGTCGTCATCAAGACCAGGAGGGCTGTCTTCAAGGAACCAGAATTCGTTCCCGTCCGCGTCCATGATGGCATAGTCGGGGCGGATGGTGCTGGCGTCGCTTTGGTCATCGTCGTCATCACTGTTGTTTTCAAAATCCTCGTCAGAAATGGCAAGATCGGAAAACCGCGAAAGGTCTTCCTCTGATTGCATGAAACGTACATCAGCTGAAGTGTCAAATTGTCCAGGTATTCTACGTGGTGCTGCCGCTCTTCGAGCTTGGTGCTGTTGCTGCTGCTCACTACGTCGGACGATATCGTCGTCGTCGCATTCGTCTTCTTCGTCGTCGCTCGGAAGGTCGAGCATGTGATGCACTGTCATGCCGTAGGGTTCGCCGTCGACGAGGATGGTGCCTCCAAAGGAGACGGGAGGAAGATGTTCAGCGTCCTTGAAGGCTCCAATACTGGCTCCACTAGTCGGACGTTCCTGGTATTTTTGCTCCAGAGGCCTTCGAAGCATGGCTTTGGAACCTCGGTGCGTTGAGCAACTGGAACCATACCCAGACCGCCTCGGCTTTCTCCTCCTGCCGGTGCCGCTTCTTCTGACTTCGCCGTTGAGAAGGACCACGCCCCATCCCTTTTTGGGTCTAAACTTCTTCCTCAGCACATCACGGACCTTGTTGATCTGTGGGCATTGGATGCAGATGGTTGTTTTGGCATTTTCAGGGGCACTTCCGAACATCATGAGACTCAGGCTACAAGATGCTTCGGGAGAATCCTTGAGCGCGCTCTCCAATATCTTGCCAAGTTTGGGCATCACCATGGTGTTCCACTGGTCCAGGTCTCGCTGGGGAATATCGACATCACTCCATTTGCGGAGAGGCTTCTCTGCTTGTGGTGTGGAATGCTGAATCGCCTCCGCTTTTCGCTTCGAGTTCGCTCTCTTGGGGAGGTCGGGCCCAATGTCTTCAAGCGATATCTGTGGCTTTTTCTCCTCTTCAGCTGCTTTTGCCTCGGCCTTGCACATTTGCTCGATGATGAGAAGCTCAAAGGTCTCAATATCAGAGGCCGGTGGCGGCCCTTCATCATCGAGAGAGCAACATTGTAGTAAGTCCTTGGCCACCTGAAGCAGGAATGCGCCAGCGTCCTCGTAGTTGTTCCTGTACTGCAGCTCTGTGGGCGCTTGCAGGCACTTCTGAACTACCCGCATATACTTGCTGCCGCACTTTGAAGCCAGCTTGTGTGCGTAGATTCGCTGGACTCTCTCCATAAAAAGTCGGCGGTCGTACTTTGGCTTCCACAGTTTCTGTAGAGGGATCCACAGACCAATCTCTAACAAAAGCAACCCGAGACTGTAAATGTCATAGGCAGGAACAACCTCATCGGCATGAATGTCGTGGTCAGGGTGGCGATAGATGGTTGCCGAGAATGGCTCCTCTGCTTGCAAGCGAGCCAGAAAGTCCTGGCAAGATTGTAGTAGATAGGGGTGTCTCAACTCTTTAGGTAACTGGGGGCGATGCATATGCTCTCTGCTGCCGATGAGAAGGATATTGTTACTGTTGACGTACTGGTGAGTTTCTCCCTGGGCGAAGTAGCCCATGATGGACAAAGAGAGGTTGTATGCCAGTCGGAATCTATCTTCGAGAGCTGGCGACGAGCCTTCTGTAACGTTGCTCGTGGCTAGAAGAGACGAAAGGGTTCTGTGTTGTTGGAGAGTTTTTTGGTCGTGTCCTTCGGGTAAGGCATAGACCATTGCACAGCGCGGTCCATTGGGGTCGACAGTGAATCCAAGAAGCCTCAGATGGCCGCACCACGACAAGGATCGATCTTTGCAGAGCTTCTCGCCGAGTTCATGGAGCTCGAAGACGTCCTCGGCACTTCCAACAACATATGGTGGGCAGTCAGCCGTGAGAAAGTCAACGAGGACCGGGCAAGCACCCTGGCGAAAATAGGCGATCGACCTTTCTCTTGAAGTCGCCGAGCCTTCGGCGGGATCATATGGTGGAGGGTCGAATGCTTGGGGCGCGTAGGTGCTGAACTCCAGACCATTGAAGTCGATGTGTAGGGGATGGTCGTAGAGGGGAGCGTAGTCTGTACCATCGGCAGCAAGCGACCCGTGAGCATGCTTCATCCGTTTGGCGTCACCACTCTTCTCGTCAGCCCTCCTTGATTCCTCAAGGCTATAGAGGACGTCGATACAGGTGGTCAGCTGCTCCAGGAGCGCACGCCCGGTCATGACCTCGTGACTAGTCCAGTCCCTCCGCTGGGCCACAGGACTCGCACCAGGGCCGCGTGCCGACTTCTTCATCTCGTAGCGCTCCGGATGCTCGAGTCGGCCACTCTCTTCCAGGAGCCTTTTGATCTCCGACATGACGCTGGCCACCACCTCGCCCAGTCCAGCCTGGTCGATTTTCTTGTCGATGTCGACATCGCCTTGGGCGGAATACGGCGCGCCAACATCGGTCCAGTGCATCCCCCATGCCAACAACCTGTCCTGCTGAATCTGGAAATCCCGTCTCAGGTCCCTCAGCTCGGGCAAGTCCGTAACATTGGCAGCTGCGGGCGTGACTTTGGCGCTCTCATACGACTGCTTGGTGTCTGAGTAGAGCTTGGACAGGCGCTGAAGATACGTGCCACGCCGTTGGAACATGGTGGCGATCGGCGGGCGAGGAGAGACTGGGTAATTATCGTCTGCTTTCCCAGTTCATGATCTGACTTATTGCGTGCGACGAGGCTGAAGAAGGTGATGCATTGTGAGGAATTGGAGCGGTAGAGGTCGTAGTTCGAAGTTGGGTAGTGCTGAATTGATCATGCATAAAGGACCCGAGAAGTCTGAGCGGGGTGAAGCCGAGTATATCGGGCATGGGACGAAATCCTGTTGCCTGTTAATATTATTCGACGCATCAGCCAATCTTCGCCACAGCCCCTCGGGAAGCGCAGTGCCGCCTAAGATTGGCCGCCTGGAAGGATCGGAGGCTGCCTCTGGTTAGGCGCCTGTTCCGACTGGCTCCAGCCACACTTCCCAGTCTCACTCTCACCCCAGAGTTTCCTCGTTTTCGGTACAAGTTACACTGCTGCCTTGCCGTGATCATTTGCTCGTGCCTGGAATAAAGGCGCCCGCGTCTCGACAGCCTCTTTTTACAGAATAGCGACTTTACATACAAAGGACGAGGGTTGCGCTGGCATGCGTGGGGAATGCAGAGACCGAGCTGAAGCCTGGACAGATTGGCCCCTTGCCTCATCAGAACATTCTAGTAATCCGCGAAGCTAGGAAGATAGCATCCTTAGGAAACACCGCAGCATCAGTTCAATTTTGATTCAATTGTTCGATTGTGTTACAATTGACTACTTGTCTTCAGTGAAGAGGTCCACTCAAAAGGATACAAAATCCAGCTTGAGCATTGCTGCGCCTTTGTCGAGCAGGACACAAATGTTGGAAACCCCTTCCGCATAAAACCCAACGTCAATAGTTTTGTAATACAGCCAGACCCATGCGCCGAGTTTCATCATCCATAAACCACCATAGCCCGTTTCCGTTTCTGTCGCGTTGGCGTGACTCTAGGTATTGACCGCGTTAGGAAATCTAACCACCGAAACCGTAGAGGGTTCTGCCTTGTCGCTTGAGGGCATACACAACATCTGTCGTCTGTGTTAGTCTTTGGTCATGTACACGATGTGGTCTCACTCTCGACTTACCAAGCGAAGTGACAGTCTTTCTCTTTGCGTGCTCGGTGTAGGTGACAGCGTCACGAATGACCGATTCGAGGAAGGACTTGAGGACACCCCGGGTCTCTTCGTAGATCATGGCCGAGATACGCTTGACACCGCCACGACGAGCGAGACGTCGGATGGCAGGCTTGGTGATACCTTGGATGTTGTCACGAAGAATCTTGCGGTGGCGTTTGGCACCGCCCTTGCCGAGACCCTTTCCGCCTTTACCGCCTGTGAAGAGTTTCGTTAGTTATATTGTTTCATGAGAACGTTGTTGTGGTCGAGGATGTTGGGTGTTCAGGTGGAGGGTGGCGTGCAACAGCTTCAGGGAAGCTCCATGCGACGAGGAGGTGCAGCGACAACGACGAGGAGGATAATCGTGACAGCCTGATGCAGCAAAGTATTTACTTACGTCCAGTCATGTTTGCAAAGTTGATTCAAAGATGAAAATATGAGCAGTTGGTGAGTTATCGATGGTTGGTTGATGCAAGGTTGATGAATGCGGAACAACCAAAAAGTAGTAGTGGCGCGAAGATGGTCAAAAGTGGGCGGAACAGGAGGGAAAAAGAAAAGGAGGAAAATGGGCAGGAGGGAAACGAGGATTATAAGCGAAAGGGTAGACGGGTGGGCAGTGACAACAAGATCAGGTCAGGTCGGGGCCTTGGCGTTGATCCAAAGTTGCTTGGGGGGTTGATTCAAAGACTGCGAAAAGGTCGATTTGAAAATCAGGCAAAAGACGTGCTCGAAATCACTCACTCATAACAAGGCAAGGATGCGCGCTATTGATTGGCTGTGAGATTCGATGTTGGGTTTGCTTTGTGTTCTGGATGCTGCCGGCTCCAGATCACGAGGCGCTAGTATGCTTAGTCGCGTTAGTGGACCGTATTTGGTTTAGTGAATATTATTCACGTGATATGATCGCGCCTCCAGATCTCAATCGGGCAAACACCGGTTCTTCATCAGTGATATTTCAACAAGGCTATGCTTCACTCTCACTGTACAAGAACAGCGACCAGGACAACAGCTGGTCTACAAGGCTCTCTCTCGGCATATCAGGGCCCCAACATACCACATGACTCGTAGCACACATGGAGCAAGCCGAACTGTGGAATATCTTTCGATTGATCATTGTACAAGCACGAGTCATGACCTACCCATGCCACCCAGAACTCCTCTGATTCCCACCTCCCCCTAAAACCCCTTGAATCCGTCATACCGCTGCTTCTCCTTGTACTTTTTGTACCCAACATAGCCGCCACCAGCCACACCAGCGAAGAGGAGCAACTTGAAAAAGAACCATCCCCAACCACCACCCTGGGGTCTGGTGCTTCTTCCCCTCCCACTTGTCCGTGCTTGCGCAGCCTTATCTCTCCCGGTGTTTGCTGCCACGGGGTTGTACAGGTTCCGTGTCTCCACGCTGACAATGTCAAAGTTATCCGAAAGCTCGCCTGTGTGCGCACTGAAACCCAAATACGCTGTGTTGGGCATCTTCAATGGCTGATCTGCTGTGGGGGTAATGGAGAAGCAGTCGATCCATGCGTCGGTCGACTTGTACTGTAGCTGGAGCGAAAGTGACCTATCTTGGAAATAAGTCAATTTTGCTTTGGTCGGGATAGGAGCACCGCGCAACCCTCGAGCCTGTGTGTCATCCTTGGTCAGTCTCATGTCTGGTGCCTGGAGCTGCTCCTATCTTACCGAGCAACCACCGATCTCGTTCGCTTTCCCGTCGTTTGCCGCATCATATGAAGTCTTGCCGTCTCCCATCATACCCATCACGTAAGGAAACACAACCCCAGGCCTGTTGTTCTTGTACGTGTCGAAGAAAATGCCCAATCCTTCAAAGCGGTCGGCGTGCCCGAATACCGGACCAGGCTGCGCCCTCTCCTTGGTAATCCACATCGCAAACCCATCGCCGTGGAGGTGGCCTTTGCCGTGAATTGAGAACTCGAATTCCACTTCCCAGTTGGTCGCCGTCAGCGGTATTCGGGAGAAGATCCACCCTGACTGTGAGGGCATGTCGGAGGCGAGGCGTATGTACTGGTCGGCGCGGATGATTGTGTCGCCACCAAAATCAAACCACCGACTTGACATGTCCGAGTCGAGGTATGGAGGCGCGAGACTGTGTGTTCGCAGCTGACGAGAGAACACGGGAGTGTTAGCCAGCGGTCCAGCAAACGCAGGAGGATAACTAATTGTGTATCATAACTCACAGGGACACTCTTCATCTCTGGGTCTGCTTCTACCGCCGCTCGCGTGCCCACCGCACATGCCGCCAGCAGCCATAACGACGACCAAACATTAGATGGCCACATCTTGAACAGAACAGTGCCTGTTGCTCAGAAGTTTCGCGATAGCGTGAGGGAAGAATTCTGTCACGGAGACTTCATGGCAAGACCACAGCTGTGTCTTCAATAGTTGTCGCAGGCACCCCTTAAAGGCGCAGAAAAAAGTGAAATTGTCACGTCGGACTACTGTAAAGGTGTTCAGTTTCGCCAGACTATTCGACGCAGGTGAACTGGGGCTTGTGGAGAACACGAAATGGTTTGCCGATGGGGCCCCTGCCAATAAGTCACTCCGGCCAATTGTTATAGGCGGCCAGCAGCATGGCTTTGCGAGCTACCACCGCCCGGCAGACCTGCCTGGTAAAACTTAACTAGGTCTCCGTACAGCCCGTCAAGTGAACATTTCTTGTAGAGGTACTTTTCCCCTGCAACAGAAACGCTATCCAAGCAAGTCCCACAGCACACCTAAAGCTCTATCCGTCTCAGGAACTCAAGACGACAGGGATTGTCACTACATAATCAGAAGACCGTGACAAAATGGCCTTTGGCGGCTTTTTCGGCGGCGGTTCGTCCAAAGACAACTCTTCTTCGTCGACATCATCATCCTCCGACTCTTCGTCCACATCCGTCACGAACCCTCTATCCTCCTCATTCTCGTCTACTGGCGGTACAACGACGACGCCGGGCGTGACACTCCAGCGCATCCAGTCCGCCATCAGCGAGCAATCCAACGTCGCCAACGCAAAGCAGCTAATCTCCAATGTCCACACGAATTGCTTTGAGAAATGCGTCCCCAATCCCGGCAGCAGTCTGAGCTCGGCAGAACAAAAGTGCCTGACCGCGTGTATGGAGAAGTATATTGATGCATGGAACGTCACGAGCCGGACATACACAGCGAGGTTGCAGAGGGAGAGCGCATCGTTGGCCGGTGGAATTGGGGGTGCCGGCGCCGGAGGGGGAAAGGAGCTTTTTTGAGCGGACTCGCACAGCGACGTTGCGAAGGCCAGCTTCATGAGGCCGGGGCTGGAAAAAGCAGGATCCTAGAAGCATCCATATTACTGGAACCTGGTTGACTCCCAAAAGGTGCGAGCCACAAGCCAAGCAGAAGGAGCATGGGACGAGGCCCGGCCGGCCATCTTCAGACTCGATCAATCGACCACTTGCATGATGAGCCGGTGCTCTTTTGTACATGATGCACTGGACACCCGATCACAGCGAGTGCAGTGGTCGCCCACCAAAGCACTTGCAACGCTCTGGCTGCTGTTGACTTGGAGCCTCGTTGATGTCGACTCAGCGCCTTTTCGCAGCCTGCACACGCCTCTCAGATGTATACAACAAAACAGTCTTCCTTTTACTTCTCAACAGAGGTCTTCTGCTGACTCACTCATCGAAAACGTCGTTGTTTGGGGCGGTTGGCGTGTTACGAGTTTCGCCATCTTCCCTTGTATAGACCTATCGATTCCACAACATAGCTGTACAATAGTCTTTACTTTAGGGGGACCGTTAAAAATTTAAAAAAGCAATCAAATTTCAAAAGAAATGCTTGATACAGTTATGGATGGAGCAGAATGATCTTTACGAGTAGTTCATGCCCCAGTGCCGCGGACCGCTTAAGACTAGATATTACTGCTTCTCTGGTCTTTTCCTTCTCCCGACGGACCAGATGCGACGTGTTTGAAGAGGACACAAAAAAATTACTGCATTGAAAAGTCAGAGGCTCATCCAAGGCTCAACTGCTCTGCTTCTGTGCATCAGAGGGATAACTTCTTGAATGGCAAGTATGCAAAGTCGATATCTCAGGGCCACCCGTGCCGATATTGTCCTGGTACAATGCACTGAGGGCTTTGTGCGATTTCCCATATCGCCTTTTGAAGTCATCATAGATATTTCCGCTTCCTGCTTCTCGCTCCCCGCTCTTCGCTTCGTCGTCGCCATCATTATACACAGCAACAACAACATCCACAATCGCCGCGGCCCACTAAACACTGCAACCGCAAATCCAAAGAAACCACGTTCACCACCAGATTTTCATGGTGGCTTCTCCCTTAGCCGTATCCGCTATCATCAAAATTCGTTAATACGAGGACTGCACCGGCTGCAGCACAAATCGAATCCGGGGCCACTTTTTTTTGTTGTTGCTCATGTCGTATCGAATCAGAATATCTGGCCGTCATTCCACAGGGACAAGGCCTGAATTCTGTTCGTCTGTCTCTGGTACTCCGTACTCGGTGGCATTTTGTACGATGCTCCTTTCGATCTTCGCTGTGGCGACGTCATAATCAAAAGTCCACGAAGAAATGGCCGAATCTAAGTAACATGTCAGTTCTAGGGCATTCAGAAAAGCTGGTCATTAGGGTTTCATACGGGTCCTCTCCTTTCTTGCCGTATTCTTCTGTCTCCTCGGGGTATTTGTCGAACTGACTGGCATCACCAGCTCCACCTTTCACTGGCGGGACGTACGGGGCGTCAATATCTTTCTTCAGCAGTCTTTCCCAGGTAACCTCCGCGAACCACGCATGGTTTTTGATGTCTGCTGGACCGCCGTGCAAATTGCCCAATCTCTTTGTCAGATCATTTGTGATCAGCTGAACCAGAAGGTCTTGAGCGTCAGCATGAATGTAGGGAGGGTATTTGACTCTTCCTTTGAGGATGTTTTCGTAGATCTTGACAGGAGACCCTCCGTCCCAGAAGGGAGTGAATCCGCACAGCATCTCGAAGATCAAGATCCCGAGAGACCACCTGGAGACGTCTTAGTGTGAACGCTCAAAACACGGCGACAGGCAAGCTCACCAATCCACGGACTTATTGTACCCTTTTGAGGCTACAACCTCGGGAGCGAGGTAATCTGGCGTACCGCAAAGGGTCCACGTAATGTCAGGCACTTCTTTGGCAAAGCCAAAATCGGTGATCTTGACGTGGCCGTGTCTATCCAACAGCAGGTTTTCCGGCTTCAGGTCGCGGTAGATGATGTTCTGCCCGTGCAGATACTCCAGTGCCAACGTGACTTCGGCAGCATAGAACTTGGCTACGGGATTGGGGAAACGCTGTCGCAAAAATTCAACATTAGCTTAATAGCAGACAAATCAAGCACAAGGTATTACCTGAGATTTTCGAAGCAGACTGAAAAGCTCCCCTCCCTCGATAAAGTCCATGACCATGTACAGGTTTTTTGAATCCTGGAACGTTCCCCACAGTGTGATGAGGAATGGGTGCTTGACACGTTGCAGCATACGTCTTTCGTCATTTGTATGCTCAATTTGTTTCATCTTGACCACCTGGGCCTTCTTCAGGACTTTGATGGCATAGAAGCGTTGGTTATGTTTTGACTGGACCAGGTGCACCCGCCCAAACGAGCCCGTGCCCAGGGTCCTCTGGATTGCAAAGTCCGAGAGGGTGTATTTGCCCTTCGTTTGTCTCTGCACCGGCTTGGAATCCACCACGCCCCCAGTAGGGCTGACAACAGGAGCAGCGTTCATATCGACGCCGCCGTTGCTTTCGACCGTCTTGGCATGAGGTTCTGGAGTGGAGGTGGTTGTCACAGCCGTGGTGGCTTGGGAGGGTACATCGGAGGCGCCTGTAGTCTTGGAAGGGACAGGCGATGAGGTGTCGGTCTTATGTGAGGACTTGTATTGAATAGGCTGATAACTGCCTCCACCTGATTGAGCGGACTTGTCGTCAGAAGACTCCTTGGTCTTCTTTTTCTTGAGGAGACCTCCAAAGGTCGGCATTTGGGTGACGCAGGGAAGCGCACGTTCCCAAAGGCTGGAATGCTAACAATAGGATGATTCACAGGAGCTCGGAGGCCTGTTGGACTGCCCACCGAGTCGCAACGTGGAACGTGGAATTAGTTGAGGGAGGGCAATGGACTGCGAAGTGGGGAGGGGTAGCAACAGCCGCAGCTCGCAGCTCGCAGCAAAAGTAGAAAAGAGGCCAGGATCAATCCAAGACGGTTTGCTCGATTATTCGGTCGGGTAATGGGCTGGTCGCTGGGAAGCTGCAGCGCAGGCTGATAAGCTCCAATAAAGAGTGGAGGGGAAGGTGACGACCGCGACAATAAGATCGGTCAGGATTGAGATCGAGCTTTGGCACCTTCTTTTTTTCGGTCCTTTCAAGGAATAGTGAAGCACAATCGAACTGGGGGAGACAGGTTGTGTATCACAAACACGGACAAGGAATGAAAAGGGCAGGTCGGAGCTCCAAGTTGGAAAGCTGAGAGACGGGATCTTTGAACTTCTGCGTCCCTTCTTCCAGGAGCTGGGGGAGGCCTCTGGGTCGTCACTAGTATTCAGTGGTTAGGTAAAGAGGGTGGTGGAGGGCGAACTTGTTGAGCTTTGGTGTGGTGGATGATATTATTGGCGATGAGGGCACCAGTGATGAGCATCATTTGGTGAGGGGCCAATGCCGGGCGGTACAGGGCGAGCAAAGAGCGAGGGGGGAACAGAGCACCAGGGTTACAGTAGCCGGTGGATTAGCTGTGCGGGATCTAGATTGTGAATAAGGAGAACAAGCACCAACACCAACACCCAGGCCAGCACTAAGCACTGCGGGTAGGACGCAGGCTGTGGCGATTGCAGGCAGGCAGGCGAGAGATGGTGTTTTCTTCGTCCTCAGAGACGTGGGGAAACTGATTACCAGACAATCGCCCTTTCACAGGCTGCTCGTTGCTCGTCAACTCTTGTCGCTCCTCTCATTCCTGTTCATCTGCTTGCTTATTGCCTAGTCAATTCCCAGTTCTGCCCACTCACCTCGTCTCTTTCAGCCACGTATGTCACGGTCCACTAGTATCTGGCTCGTGGTGGTGGAAGAGCTACCCCTCCTTACGTATGTCGTAGATAAAGGCGCCCACTGGCCGACCCAGCCGAGGTTTGCCGGGGCTGTCCGCACCACCGCTGTCTATGCCCGCTATCCCCGGGTGACATAATCCCGCTAAGAACGCCCAATGCGCCCACCACGCCTAACCATACAAAGCCCTATATATACCTGGCAGTCCTGGGTACATAGTACGATGCATGGATGCAGCTCTGTGTACAGGTATTCCTCCTCGCGCTCAATGACGCCGCCAACAAAACAGCCGAACAGATAATGTCCTGTATATCTGGATACAAATCCACCAAGCTCTTTTCCCTCATGCTCGTGCCAACCTCATTTCTCGTGTTACCTCGTCCACAATCTCCTGCGCCTCGCCTGCTGTGCGCGCCTCAAAGTCATATCGTTTCGACTCGTTAATCCTTCGCACTACAATTCGAACAAGCTTGGGGTGCTTGGAGCTGACCTTGCACTTCAGGATATCGGTGAATGCGATCGAGCTGAACTTTGCGTTGGAGCTGGTGTCTGCCGGCATGACATGGATAATGTCGCCATCAAACACAAGCACCCTTTGACTCCCTTGAGCAAATCCACCAAGCTGTTTGCGTGTGACATAATACTTCTTGAAGTTGCTGGCACTCGATAAAAGGTCCTGTTTCTGTGCCAACGGGTGGAGCGGCTGACCTCTCTTGCCTTTTTTGGGACCTTGAATGTCTAGTAAGAGTGGTGCATTTGGCGAAGAGCTCCCCGGCGAGCCTGTCAAAGAGGCACCAGCACCGAATCTTCGACGCACAAGATCCAGTTCAGATCGTGCCCCTAGAGCTTCCACAGTGCGGTCCAAGGGTGCAACAGTATTTGTCCCGGCCACTTTTAGCACGAATCCAGCCTTTTCAAGATTCCATCTCTTACAGACATGGTCTAAAATCTCAGCAATGTAACCATCCGTCGAAATCTCCATAGTCATTGTCTGGGCAGTCATTTCGAGGTTTAGATATCGTATTCGAATCGTCTTTGTAGCGCCCATTCGTGGAGTAGCCTGGGGTGCGGCGGGCGCTGGGAGATCTGCAGGCGTTAAAGATGTGTTGCTCAGCGCAGAGGTGAATGGTTGGCCAGCCAGAAGAATGTTGGTCCGTGACGGCAGTGCTTTTGCTGCGGGAGGAGGAGGTGCCTGAGACTGGGGTGTAGTTCCGTCAAGCGCGGCGACAGGGCCGACTTCCACTGCTGCTTCTGGTATGAATTGAGGCGTTTCCTTTTTGTTCGCTTCATACTGAGCCGCAGAAGCTTCGACAAGCGCAAACTCATCAAATGGACGATCTCTTGCGCGACCTCGACCACCTCTGTTGTTGTTGTACGTGAAGTCCGCTATTGGCCTCGTACGGACGAGCGGTGGGAAATCATCATCCACCTCTCCATCTTCCACCATCCGTAATGTCCACTTGTTGACATCGAGCTGTTCAGGCTTGAGAGGAGGCTCCCGCTTTTCCTCCCCATATCTCCACAGAGCGTGACCGATCGCTTCTGCGACGGTGACCAGACTACCGTCTTTGGAGTTACGAGCAAGTGGCATCTCAAAAGGCTCATCGGCATCGCTAGCGAACGGTGTGTATATCTTGACCCAAAGTGGGTTAGGAGTGCCTTTGCCAGAGAGACCAGCAAATGCCTGTACGGGGTTGCTCGGAGCCCTTTTCTGAGCACCGAGAGCCGCTGTGAGTAGACTCTTGGGCTGTATCATACTAATAGGTCGAGGAGGTGGTAGTTCATGCAGGATTGGCAACGTCCGTTGCCTTTTGGGTGATTCTGGTAGAGATGAACGAGAGCCTGAGCCGGTCAAACTGCCGAGCGTGGGCGGTGTAGATGTAAGATTTCTGTCCTCCATGGTGTTGAGGAGCGATGCAGAGTCCATGGTCTCGCCCAGTTCGGAAGAAATTGCGGATCCAACGGATTCCACATCAGAGTCATCTTGCACATCTCCTGGTTGACCTGGACCTGCGTTGACCCTTAAAGGAGCCTCATCGGGGTTGGGTGCAGATTTAGACCTTTGGCCTGCATGGACTTGGCGACGCTGGAAATAGGCCGGGTCGACTTCATTCTCAGAAGACATATCGCTGCTTGTGGTGGTATCTCGTCTGGCGCGAGCTTTGACAGCTTCGACAGCACCAAGAGAGCCGGTTCGGCGCCTGTTGTCCGTAGGGCCTGCCAAAGGGGATGTCCTTTCCCCGTCAACATCCGAGCCGCGGATGGGAGATGAGTCGGCTCGGTGGCGGGAAGGCATCTTTGCGAAACGAATTTGCTGCGCAGCACGTTGTGCACCGTCGGCCTCCTCGTCAGACTCGTCGGTGAGATCGCTGCTGTCGTCATCCTCAACATGCTCCTTTTTCCTTCTTCGCCTGACGTTAAACCCGGGACCAATAGTGTCGTTGCTGGTTCTACCAGTGACGAGGCCACCTTCATCCTCATCGTCAACCTGGGAGTTTATTTGCTGCAGATCGGAGCCTTCCTTAAGATACTCGCTATTGATCGAGGTCGGAATGGGCGGAGAGTATGTCCGGTGAATAGGGTCCGCTGACCAGCCTGCTGCGCGGAACCCAGGAGTATTCAAGATTGATGAGTTAACGTTGATGAGTCGCTCTGCAGTGCCGTCTTTCGCACTCCCTAGGTAAGATGTGCGCAGAAACCAGATGGCAAAACTGGCGTCTAAGTCAGCGGGATCGATTTCATGACAACTGAGCCAGAATCTCCGGACGGTCCACCGCGGTACAGTTGGGGGGACATCCTTACTCTTCATTTTGTAATAGGGCCATGTTAGGTAGGATACTTGACCAGACAGACAAGTCTTCAGTCCAGGGTCGCGTAATTCCAAGTTGAATCCATCAAGGGTCAAGTTAATCCACCAACAGCGCAGTCTTCGTATCCTTGGAGCACACGAGAGATGGCCATAAGCCGCATAAATGACTTCTTCAACGTAGGAATTGGTATGTGAAACAAGATATCTATGATGTTTGATCACTCAGGACTAACATCGAGGGAGTCCATGTTTGACTTCGCTAGGTGGCAGTTGGCTTACAACTGAAGCACCACCGAAACACGGTTCGACAAGTTGCCCAATTTGGCGGTAGGTGCTGCTGCTTTTGCAGGGGTTGTTCCCCCTCGACGCTTACTAACCAATCAGCGCCACTGCGAAGTATGTCAGCCTTGCAGCTCTGGTGGCCGTAGCCTCGTCACTTTAACTGCGGGCTGCTCTTGTGCCTCTGTCTGACTTTCTCAACCTCATCGTTCTTTGTCCCGGATCAACTTAGGTGGTTTTCTGCCTTTCAGCCCATTTCAGTTTACTTCGCAATCATAATGGAGTGTCCTCATACCTATCTAGATACTCTCCGACCCCCCAGACCTAACCAGAGTGTCTACCGCGAAGACTGCACCCAATGTTTCGATTCCATAGACGATGAAGCTGGTCTTGACGTCTGCCTGCATTGCTTCAATGGTGGCTGCGCAGGAGATCGTAACCACTCTCTACTCCACTACTCCTCTACGGAACACCCACTCGTTCTAAACATCAAACGAACCCGGAAACAAGTCCAACGAGATGAGCCCCCACCAAAGCTCACCAAACTCGCCATTGCCGCGGAAACAGAGGAGGACAAGTATGATACAGTGACAAGAGTCAAGTGCTATGCATGTCAAATACAAGATCTGAATAAGGACTCGGGAAATCTACCTGCAGTTGTGGATGGAGTCATGAAGGCCATGACTTTTGCCAAATCAGAAGAAGTCAAGGCATGGGAGCAAGAGTTTACGCCGTGCGAACACACTCTCTGTCTGGAGCAGCAGCCTAGCCGACAGATTGAATCACAAAACCTGGGTTCATGTTCCATGTGTGATCTAAAGGAGAACCTGTGGCTCTGCCTGGAATGTGGTAATCTTGGGTGTGGCCGCGCACAGTTCGGTGGTATTGGTGGCAACTCCCATGGCTTGGGTCATGCAACAGAGACCGGTCATGCTGTTGCCGTCAAGCTAGGTTCCATCACCCCAGAAGGCAATGCCGACGTCTATTGCTACGAGTGTAACGAGGAGCGGATTGATACAGACCTTGCAAAGCACCTCGCTCACTGGGGCATCAACATTGCGGAACGGGAAAAGACTGAAAAGAGCCTCATGGAGATGCAGGTGGAGCAGAATTTGAAATGGGACTTTTCAATGACAACAGAAGATGGCAAAGAGCTATCCCCACTCTTTGGGCCTGGCCTCACTGGTCTAAAGAATATTGGCAACAGTTGCTACCTTGCAAGCACTGTACAATGCCTGTTCGCCTTGCCGGATTTTCAACAGCGGTACTACCACCCTGACGAACCGCTTCCAGCCACTGAACTCCCTGCCGAAGACCTAGAGACACAGCTGCGGAAGCTCGCTGACGGTATACTCTCCGGCCGCTATTCTCGTCCCGAAAACACCGTCCGTGCTACTCCCGACAATCCGGAAGTACCGCATCAGAAAGGTCTCTCCCCCGCCATGTTCAAACACCTGATCGGACGGGGACATGAAGAGTTCTCAACTATGAGGCAACAGGACGCTTTTGAATTGCTCCTCCATCTCTTCAAGCTCATCAATATCTCCAACGGATCTCGCCCTTCCGAAGACCCCGTCCAGTCTTTTCGCTTTGCATTGGAGCAACGGTTGCAGTGTCTGAACTGCAAGCGAGTGCGATATAGAACTGACGAGCAAGACAACATTTCAATTCCTGTACCGGTCAGGAGGAAACCAGTATCAAACGGTGACAGTGAAACAGCAGATACGACGAAGGGTGCCGAATTCGAGCCAGTGTCACTCAAGGAATGCCTGGACATCTTCACCGCTTCCACTTCCGTGGAATTGACCTGTCCCGCTTGTAGCTCTAAGGCAGGCTTTTCAAAGTCGTCCAAGTTCAAGACGTTCCCCCGCAACCTCGCAATCAATCCTCTTCGCTTCGAAATCATCAACTGGGTGCCAACTAAACTCGATATCCCTGTTCAAGTATCAGATGAGCCGTTGGACCTAAGCATATATAAATCTTCTGGATTGCAACCGGGCGAAGAGGAATTGCCAGAAGATGCAGACGTGGGAGAGTCTAAATCGTCTTCAGCTACATTTATCCCGAACGAGGCCGCCCTTGAGCAACTTGCGTCTATGGGTTTCCCTCTAGTACGCTGCGAAAAGGCACTTCACGCTACAGGCAACGCAGACGCCGAGGCCGCCATGAACTGGCTGTTTTCGCATATGGATGACCCTGATATTGACGAACCTCTAAATCTTGGTGGCAGTAGTGGTGGCGGAACCGGCTCAACTGACGATGCTGACAAGATTGCTCAGCTTGGTGATATGGGAATTAGTGTGCCACAAGCACGCAAGGCACTGCGGGAGTGCAATGGTGATGTCAACCGAGCTCTAGACTGGGTCTTCAGCCATCCTGACGATCAAGGGGATTTCGGCGAAGATGTCTCTGCCGCTGCCAGTCAACCGAAGGCACTCCCCGGCAGTGATCAATTGCCTGCCAAGTTTGAACTTCAGAGTATTGTTTGCCACAAAGGCGCCAGCATTCATGCCGGTCACTATGTCGCGTTCATTCGAAAATCGATTCCAGGAGAAGGCAAGGAACGACAGTGGGTTCTCTTCAATGATGAAAAGGTTGTCAAGGCGGCGGACGTGGACGAAATGAAGAAGTTCGCATACATCTACTTTTTCCGCATGGTATGAGGGTCATCGACAGCGACGAGTCAGGTGGTTAAGGCCTAGGACAGTACGATTACACACACGGAATGCATGGATCAGACGTGTATGAAAAGCCGAGGGAAGGGAGATTTGCTACTCGAAGCAAAAAGCAATGGCCGTGATCAGATATCATAGAATAGAGGGACAGTAACTTTCCAGAAGCTGATATCCACATCATGAGATACAGGTCAGTAGCCAGACATACAAGCGGTACTCTGACAAGCTATGTACATCCGTACGTACGTATGCACATCGTGTAGATCTATCTATCCATCCGCATCCAATGTCATGTGTTAGGAAACCCAGAGTCGACAGGTCCCGTCGCCCCCAGCGCTCACGAGCCACGGCTGCTGGGGATGCCAGTCCAGATCGAGAACACCCAGACCTCCCGTGATCTTGTGCCCGCGCAACACCTTCAAGGGGACGATCTGGGCGTTACTCATCATGTCGCTGGTGACTTGGCCGTGGAAGACCTGGATGCTGCCGTCGTCGCTGCCGTCCGCGAAGAGTGGGTAGCGGTTCGTCGCGGGGTGGAAGCGCACGGTGCGGATGGCCTTTTCGTGGAAACGAAGGGTCTTGTATGGTCGAGGGGAGAGATCCAGGTCCATCCACAGCAGGCGCCTGTCGTATGACCCGACGATCAGGTTGTCCGAGCCGGCGGTGGACGAACTTGTCGGGTGTATGTCGAAACTGCTGATCCAGCGAGCGCCAGGTTGGATGATCTTCAGCAACGTCTGCTTGGACAGGTCGTACGCTCGAATGACACGTTGGTTTGCGACAAAAAGGATAGGCTTGGTCGGGTGGAAGTGTGCCGCTTGAGGAGTACCACCTCCCTTGAGCCTCTTTCGGAAAGGCAGTTGGGTTTGATGTTTTGAAATGGTGTGGATGGCAATGGCTTGTGATGCTGGAACGCTGCTTGCGGGACAGATTGTGACAAAGTGGTTGCCGCCAGAATGGAATGATAGCGTCTTCGCCGTATGTCCCAGGTGAATGACCAGAGCCACCCTCTGATCCCGCTGGGAGGAGGTCGGTCGACTCCACTTGACACTTGTGGATTTAGATGTAGTATTTTCGGATGCCGCAAATCCCCATCCTGCGTCCAGGACCGCTTGCGCAGCGTCGACTTCTGGGCTAAAGTCTGTGCCCAGTTGAGGGTTGCAGAGATAGATGTTTTCGCCGGCGCAGGCAGCTAATATAGGTGTATCCTTTCCAGGTCGCCACCGAACGACATTGACTGCAGCATCCGAGACCAATTTTGCAGACCAGATTTCTCGTGGAGGCATCAAGGTCCAGACCCTGGCAGTGCCGTCATCACCACCAGTAGCTAGGTATGTTCCGGAAGGATCAATGGCCAGAGACCTTACACGACCTTTATGGCCATGAAACCGGCCGGCCTCGTGTGTGGGGAATGGTCTGAGTTCATCCGGATTTGGTAACTTGGGCAAGAGTGAATCAGGGTCAATGTTGAGCTTCGTTCGGCGTACTCGAGGTGCAAGATATAAATCCAGACATCGCTCGAATTTCTCTTTGACGAATCGCTCATAACCTGGCACCTTGCGTAACGAGGCATGATCCGTGGGCAAGTAGTCTTTCTCTCGATCTTCTTCGTCGGCCTTTTCCCAGGCTTCTTTCTCCTTTTTGTCTGGAAGGTATTCTGGTGGTGGGTGATAGCTCTCATCAAAACCCGGAGGAGGCAGTTTCGGGGCGGGCATATGCATGGCATGATCTGCCCTGGGTTGTTCGTCGGCCCAGATATCATACTTTTGTATTTCATCCTCCTCTTCCTCTTCATCTTGAGGCGGCTTGTATGGCAGAATGCGACCTTCTCGGATTGCGCGAACAAGCTTCATGACTCGTTTTGCTTCGTGTTTGGACGGCACAAATCGCCTCTTGGGTTCTGGAGCGGAACTCAGAGGCATTATCTCGGTTTTACTGGTGAACCATTCGACTGTGGGCTCGTATGGGTCGTATCCGTCAGTGGCGACCTCATTCATCTGTACCTTCTTGAGCAGCTCTAGTTCTTCTCGGGTGAGTTCTAAAGGTTTCCCAGTGGCAGGGTCTGTAAGGCCAGTCCATCCTTTGGGAACCTCAATGCTATCAAGTAGCGCATCCAGGGCTTCTCCTCTGGCTGGCCTCATGATCTTCTTCCCGTTTATGTTGTAGCCGATATGAGGGTAAGAGTCATAGAATGACAGTGGAATATTCCCAATCGTGTTAGCTTCGTTGTCTGGGACCGAATAATCCGAATCATCGCCGGGATCTATCTCGGGATAGATATATCTGTCATTCCCGTTCGCATCTTTCACGACTTCGTAGTTGGGTTCTTCATCAAGTGTGCCCGGGTCCTTCTCTTCAGAAGTAGAGGCCACATCCCGGATGCCAATGTCCACCTCTGTAACATCTTCTGTTTGTTCTTTCTTTTTGGGCTTAAATAGCTCTTCATCATCTTCTTGGGGTGACTCTTCAGTTCCTATGGACACTCCATCGCTCTCGTCTTCGGCGCCACTGCTCGTGCTCGAGTAGTCTTCGTCACTGCCACTGGCAGATTCTTCGTCCGCGAGAGTTCCATCCAGTTGTGCAAAATCGAATTCGTCTCCCGACACCACAGCTGCATCATCGTCAACGTCTCTTGTTACGGCCTTCCGCTTCTTGGATTCGACCATGGTGCTGTGCCGGTGCTCAATACTGTGGCTGCCAGACGTTTGGAGAGCCAAAAAATTTCGAGGTTACGGCGAGTGTCAATTTGTGGAGAAGCAACAGTAACTTTTTCTGCCGGCCCCAACCAAAAGGCGGTGTGCGGCGAAATTCCTTGCCTGCGCCTTGGAGTTTTCAATCCATATTTTGTTGACAGCCCGTCTTCTCAACGCACCGTAAGCATTTTTCCTTTCCTTTATCTTTGCGTTGTATCACAAGACTATAGAACCAACAGTTGAACGTTTGCTTTCTATTTTACTCTAATTGTCCCAGATGGGTTCAGTCAAGACACCTCTGGAGAGCGTTCAAGCCTGTTGGGCACGCGTCTCCCAGAATTCCCCTGTCTACCAGTTCTTCTTTTCGGACATCGAACTCGTCAGTGCCACAGATGGCTCCATGGTCGCTCGGCTTCCAGTCTCAGCGACTCTACTCAATTCCAAAGGTGGTCTGCATGGCTCAGTCTCCGCAACCATCGTTGATTGGGCAGGGGGAATGGCCATTGCCAGTACCGGCCTAGAAAAGACTGGATTGAGCACCGATATCCATGTTTCCTACGTCTCAACCGCAAAGCTGGGCGATGTTCTGACCATCGAGGGCAAGGTCAGCAAGGTGGGAAGAAATATGGGCTTCACCACTGTGACCATATACAAAGGTGAAGGGACAGATAAAAGCGTGGTGGCTCAGGGTACCCATACAAAATACATTCTGCGAGATCGGGAGCAGACCAAGGACTCCTGACTCGACAAGATATCATCAACCCGGCGTCTTCTTTGCATCAAGCAGCAACACTCCTCCATTCTGCTATGATTCACTCGGACGTCGCAGAACAAACATACCACGCCTATTGCTTTAGATCTCTGTCGACCTTTAACGCATGCGGGTTCATACGAGAATTATGGCGTGTGACAAATCAAGTCAAATTGAAACAAGTCAAGGATTCAGTCGGTCCTCCTTTAGCCATTCTGTCCACACGCCTTTGAGCTCTCGTGCCAATGCGGCGGGTGTTCGCCCTTCACTGTCGATCAGAGTCCTAATGTCTGGCTCACCCTTCCTGTCTTCAGGGCGCAGTCCTAAACCTTCCATGGCTTGGAGAACAACTGAGGGGAATTTGGCCCAGTCGAGTTGAGACCCAAGAGCCAGCAGTAACCATGCCACCTCTTGTTGATTATATCGGATGGCGACGTGTAAACCCGAGCCCTCGATGCCCTCGAACGTGCCCCGATATCGCAATATATCACCCGTCTTCATGTCGTCTTCTTCATTGTCTTCGTCGGAGTCCTTTACCATGTGAATAATGGCATCGATGTCGCCCTCGCGGCAGAATTCCAAGTAAGCATGTCCTTTTCGCTCTTCAGGATATGCGCGCAGGTAGGCTTCTTCTGTGGCTGCCGGAAGGATATCATAACGCTCTTGAACACCACCCTCGTTTCGGAGAGTAACCAATACCTGTTGCGACCCATCGGAAGAAAGAAGGGATATGTTTTTGGCGCAGTTCGGACATTCTGTGAGGGTGTAGGACTCTAGAAAACATTCCCTGACAAGATGAATGAGCCACTGCAATCTGAGACTTCGCGGCACACATACCAATGGTAATGGCAGCCACAGGACAATTCCACGTCGTCGGGCACACTTTGTATTTGGGCAGCCGCTTTGCTATCTTCAACATCACTATCCGGCTCAACTTCGAGGAGCAGAGGCTCGTGGCAGCTTGAGCAAAGTAGATCGGACATGGCGCAGGCTGTGTTGGTTGCTGGAAGTGCTAAAATTTATAGATAATAACGGGCGATAGAAAATAGCACCAAAGATTCATAACTTTTTTTGAAGGCACTTCTTGTTCAGCCGTCGAATCAACAATTCTCATTTGCGGCAGAAACTTTTTAGATGGGGCGACAGGGGTCCGTCCCATCTAATTATCCGCGCCATGCGGAGGCTTGAACCATGCAGGGTTCGTACGCCCCCTTCTTTTCCCCTGGGCCTTAACACGCGCTCCGAAAGGCCGGCTTATGCGGGTTCAACGGTGTCCTTTGAACTGCCCTGCTACATAAGCTGGCATCTGAACAACACGTCGAGGAACGCCTTTGTCTGCGCTGGTGGACCCGAATGCGATGACTATGAGAGAAAGTGGCCATGGATGAAACACCTCATCCTCTCGAAACGCCTCAAGGCGATCGTGTTCAGCTCGAACTATCCACGGTCCCCGAACAGGAATCACAATTAAATCCTACACCCGCCCCGCCACCACTACCGTCGAAAGCGCTGACGACATCGGCGGTGCTCGATGCTACACTCAAGTTCTTTGCGAATGCGAGCAATGAAACTCTGGGGGCCTGCGCGGTAGGCCTCTGTGCCTCTACATACCTGGTCTTAGGGAGAGTTGGTCTAGTCCTCATCGGCGCAGTTGGCGGCGTTGTCCTTCATGCCACCTGGGAAAATCAGTATGGGGGGAAAGCGGACGGTGACAGTCAAGAGATCAACAGGAGGAGGAAAGAGCTGGGCATTGAAGTAGCGCAGAGAGTGCTGGACTGGCGAGACAAGAGACAGAAGCCCGAGAACGAAGATGACGATAGTCCCGGCGACTCCAAAGTCGATCTGAAGACGCTGGATTACTCTGATTTTGAGCCTGAAACAAGAGCCGCTCTCACCCAGCTGACCGATGCTGTTATAAGAGACTACGTCGAATGGTGGTATAGTCCGCTTCTTCCCAGAGACCAGTCGTTTCCCGCGAGGTGCAGACAGACCTTTAGCAGCTTCGTCGTCTCCTTCTCCAACCATCTTTCGCGCAAACGGACTGCCGATCCGGTCCTCGATTTCTTTGCCAATTCGACTTCCATCATCATTGTCTTCCTGAACGAACTCTCCACCGCCCTCAAGGCGTCGTCTAATCAGGATGCAGAGACTGCCGTGACAACCTACCTACAATTCCAGCCGGACAGCAATTTGGCCAATGTTCTCAGCAGGGAGCAGCAAGAACGCAAGCTCAACCTCGTGGCGGACGATATCCTACAGAACTTCCTCGAGCCGAAGTCGTATAATTGTCCTCCAGTCAAAACCTTCCTTCGAGAAGTTCTAGCAGGACTGGTGCTGGAGACTACCGTGGATATGTGCTCGAAACCGGAGTTTATCAATGGCTGGATTGTTTCCTTGTTGCAGGACGGTGAACCCGAACTCATGAATGTTATCGATGCTGGCGTTGAAGACATGAATGAAGCTATGTCGCACGCGAAGGAGAATGTTGATAACGGCAAAGTCCACGATCGTCGGATGAGTAGGGCTGAAGAAGCAATGCAAGAGGCCATGCGGGAAGCTCAGAGACTGAACGAGATGATTGCTGAGGACGAAGCCAGGCGAAAACGCGGACAGGGCCCAAGCGAACCCGAAGAAACCAGTTCGGTAGCCACCAATGATGTTGGAATGGCAACACCAAGCTCCTCAGGTAGTGATCGGAATCGACAAGGAGAACAATCTTTGGACACGTCGTTAGTCTTCGACCACGACGGCAATGCCTATGAGTCCTCAACTCCGAGTCCCAGCAAAGAACAAGAATCCTTCACCAGCTTCGATCAGCTCGCAGAAACAGTACCAAACGTGCTACCACCTGTGTCGACCGCCCCGGCGCCCGTCGAAACTATGATGGCGGTTCCCTTGACACTGCACAACGCTTCAATTACGATTCTTGACCTTGGCGACATGAACGAACGAGCCGTGTTCCGCCAGAGACCGAACAATGAGTATTTGCTGCAAATAGAACCTGCATCACATCGCTACCCCGGTTGGATGGTGTCTCGCAAGTACCCAGAGTTCGAACCCCTTCACCAGACGTTAACCACGATTGCTCGCATCTCAGGCGTGCCAGAATTTGGGCAAAAGTATCCAAACCTGCCCGCCTGGAAAGGCCAGACGAGTGCGACACTGTCTCAAAGCTTGGAGGCCTATCTGAGATTTGTTGTCAAATATGAGCCATTAGCCGAGACGGAAGCTATGAAGAAATTCCTCGACAAAGAGACCGGTCTCCAAAAGGCACCTGCACAGAGCAAGAATGTTCTGGTACAGGGAGGTGCTGCCTTGGAAAATGTTGGCAAGAACTTCATCAATGTTTTGGGACAGGGCGGCAAGAATATCGCTGGTGGCGGCAAGGCGGTGCTAGGAGGTGTACAGGGTGTCTTTGGAGCCGTGGCAACCGGAGTCGGCGGAGCACCCAAACGGCTGATCACAGCAAGGCCTACGCCGACAAGAAACCATACAGGACAATCCTCCATCTCAATTTCACGAATGAGCCAGGACCTGCCGCGACAAAGCACCGACAGCGTTGAAGCCAAGCCACCCCCCTTGCCCGCGAGACCCAATGCTGGGGTCGCGGTTCAGGAGGAAAATGCTCAATCGCCGATCAGCTTGAATGAATCGGGTCGTCAATCAGAAGAGATCATGTCAATGCCACCACCACCAAGTGTCATGTCGGACGACTACCAACCGATCACGCTCCCTAAACCAGAGACGCCGCCACGACCTCGTCAAGACACCATCACGGCCATTCCATCAACGCCTGCTGAATCATTGAAACGGGCAGACTCTAGCTCTGCGCTCTCCACGAACAATGTGCCAGCACAGACATCGTCGCGACGAGCGAAAAAGGATATTCCAATCTCGGAGGAAGAAACGCGCATCCTGATAGAACTCTTCTTCGCTATCCTCACGGAGCTCTACTCTCTCTCGGGTGCGTGGTCTATCCGGTTGTCCCTCCTCGGGGCAGCAAAGACGTTCCTCCTCCGTTCAAACAATCCCCAGCTCGACTCCATACGTGTGTTACTTCAGGAAAGTGTGCTCGACGCCAATTTCTCCGATAAGGGAATGGCGACACATATCAATACTCTGCGATACAACACTCTCCCAACTACGGAAGAGAGGTCGACTTGGCCCAAAGAGATGACTGCTGAAGAGAAGGAGAAGCTGCGGGTGAAAGCAAGGAAACTGCTTGTTGAGAGAGGTATGCCACAGGCTCTGACCAGCGTGATGGGCACCGCTGCCAGTGGAGAAGCGCTGGGGAAAGTGTTCGACTGCTTGCAAATGGAAAATGTGGCTAGAGGGTTGATCTTTGCGCTCTTGTTGCAGGCTATCAGGGCTACAACGCAGTAGATGAGATTCACTAGGCTCAGGCGCAATGAGAGACACGACCAAAAATGTGATACCAACATGTTTGTACAATATGGCAATGGAAACTGAATTGTTTGGATGGAGCTGGACTGGTGTTTTCTTTGCAGGAGTAGTTTTGACTCTTTGGTGGCTGGTGAGACAACAGTCATGATATAGCGCTGGAGAAACGATGAATGACACGACTGAAGTAATTGTCTAACGCCCCTCGTTATACAATGCCAGATGACAGTCAATGGCTCGATGTATCCTCACGTCGCTTGGAGATGATTGAGGCCATTCGGACAATTTTTTCTCTTCGTCGTCGTCCTCGGCAGCCAATGAGAATGCGTGACTCACTTCCAAATTTGGCCGACGATTTTTATTCATTTTCCATCTCAACCTCAACTTGTCCTTGAACAATTCACATCCCACTCTGACTGAAAAAAAGCGACGTCCAGGTACTTTAGCTGAAACAGGCAACAGGATGGATCTACCCTGAACTACAACCCTCCAGACACTTCCTTCCGCACTGAGCCTGTCAGCCTCTTACCAAAACCCCGACTCGGGTGCCATCTTAGTCTATTCATCCGGGAGAAAGGACTCCCGGTCTATAGGGAGGATGCCTAAAGTCCACCTGCTCGACTACGTCGCGGGCAACATTCGCTCGTTGGTGAACGCCATTGAAAAGTGCGGATGGGAGGTCGAATGGATCCGGAGCCCCCAGGATGTTGAGAAGGCAGATGTAAGTGTTTGCAATCTCCAGTCTCGTGTCTCTTGCTCTGTCATTGTTGCCTTGCAGTACAGGTGCAGGTCTTGCTTTATCCGACCTGCAGATAGTGGGTTCTTCTGACGACGTTGTATGTCTTTGGCAAAGGAGTCACTCCTTGCAGACCGGACGTGGAGGGGCCAGTGCCGGCTGAAGTCCAGAGACACAAGAGTCTTTGTGTTAGAAGTTGTTGGCTGAGATCGGAACTCTGTCTATGCTATAGTATCCACTCGTTGGTTCCGACTGACTGCCCTCTGTCTCTTGTTTCATTTGCCTTCTCACCTGTACTCAATATACCGCATACTGACCAAGTCTAACATTTCTTCCGCTTCTCCAAACAGAAAATCATCCTTCCAGGTGTTGGCCACTTTGGTCATTGCCTAACCTCTCTCTCCAGGGCAGGCTATCTCCCCGCCATTCAAGCCCACATATCCAGCGGCAAGCCTTTCTTTGGCATCTGTGTGGGTCTCCAAGCGCTGTTCACAGGCTCAGAAGAGGCACCCAATGTCTCGGGCCTCAATATCATTCCTACATCACTCAAACGTTTCTCAGCCGATAACGCAGACGGCTCAAAGAAGTCTGTGCCTTGTATAGGTTGGAACGATGCTTCGACGTTGCACCCTGACCTAGACTCAAACCACTCGACTTCAGAGAAAGAACGCAGTTTTTATGGTCTCAACCAAGGAAGTAAGTACTACTATGTGCATAGCTACTTCGCACCCTATGTGCCCGGTGAGCTGGAGGCTAGTGGATGGGTCGTCGCCACGGCCACCTACGGCGACGAGACGTATGTGGGGGCTATCGGGAAGGGGAACGTTTTTGCGACGCAATTCCACCCCGAGAAATCTGGTGCGGCTGGTCTGAGAGTCATTAAGGCCTTTCTTGAGGGCAATACCTGGTCGGATCCAGTCATTCCATCCATTCCCGGAACCAATTCGACCGCGAAAGGGGGCCCCTCACCCCAGGCAGGGAGGTCTGATGGAGGAAAAAACGGTCTGACCAGGCGTATCATCGCCTGTCTAGACGTCCGCACCAACGACCAGGGCGACCTCGTCGTGACCAAGGGCGACCAGTACGACGTGCGGGAAAAGTCCGACGCGTCGACCACGGGGCCAGGACAAGTCCGCAACCTAGGCAAGCCGGTCGACATGGCGCGTCGCTACTACGAGCAAGGGGCCGACGAAATCACCTTTCTCAATATCACGAGTTTCCGGGACTGCCCGATCACGGACCTGCCGATGCTGGAGATTCTGCGGCGGACGAGCGAGACCGTCTTCGTGCCGCTCACGATCGGCGGCGGGATCCGAGACATGACGGACCCCGTAACGGGCAAGAACGTGTCGGCGCTCGACGTCGCGAAACTGTACTTTGCGTCCGGCGCCGACAAGGTGTCGATCGGGTCCGACGCCGTGCTGGCAGCTGAGGAATACCACTCCGGCGGCCGCCTCACGGGGAAAACATCCATCGAGACCATCTCGGCGGCGTACGGCGCGCAAGCCGTCGTCGTGAGCGTCGACCCGAAACGCATCTTCGTCTCCTCCCCGTCCGAGACGACCCACCACACCGTGCGCACGGCCTTCCCGGACGCCCACGGCCGCGAGTACGTCTGGTACGCGTGCACGATCAAGGGCGGGCGCGAGACGCGCGACCTCGACGTCGTCCAGCTGTGCACGGCCGTCCAGGCCCTCGGGGCCGGCGAGATCCTGCTCAACGCCATCGACCGCGACGGCAGTAACCGCGGCTACGACCTCGAGCTGATCGACATGGTCAAGGCCGCCGTCGGCGTGCCTGTCATCGCGTCCTCGGGCGCCGGCGTCCCCGCCCACTTCGAGGAGGTCTTTCGCAAGACCAACGTGGACGCAGCACTGGGTGCTGGCATGGTGAGTTTCTCCCTGCTTCTTTTTCTCCATCATCATAGCCATCACTCACTCACTCACTCACTCCTCCCTCCCTCCCTCTCAACCCCTTTCCCATCACTCACCCCTCCCTTGCCCACCTGCATGTGGCCTTGTTCCTAGCCGCTATTTCTTTCTCTGCATCCACAACCCACCTTTTCAAATTCGAATTGGAGATATCCGCTTACTGACATACAACCCGCCCTGCTCTTCCTGCGCCACACAGTTCCATCGTGGCGAATACACCGTCGCCCAAGTCAAGGAACACCTCGGCCAGACGGGCCTTTTGGTTCGACCATTTGAGACGTTTTGAGACAGACCGACAGACAGACCGATCGACCCGGCCTCGCTCGCTCGCTCCCTTGCCGTACAAGCCGACATGGGTTTTTCACCACCATAGATATCTAGCATCTAGATGGAACTTGGATTGTCCTTGTGCCTGGCATTATGACAACTAGAGACGCCGCTGACAAGAGGGAAAAGGGACGTGAAATTTGTGCATAAACAAGCGGGAAGAAATAGATTCTATTTGAATATCTCGTCTACTGCTTTGCTCGCCTCATATGCCATGCCGTGTTATAGAACGCCTCTGCTATGCAATTCAGCGTGGAAAGGAATCGACGCAACAGGCTTGATGATGCTTGGATAGTGGCCGTGACGCTGTCGTTAATCGCAGCAACATCCGCGGGGTATGTGTTGGGCCTGCCAGAAACCATTGAATAGCATGGTCGTGTGCCCCCTTGGTCTGGGTCTCTTGGTCCTGGCACTTGAACCATTCCTTTCTCTCGCCGCACGGAGAAGGGCTTTCAGTGATCCAGTAGCAGATACCCCACATGATCAAACTATAGCTCAGTCATCCGTAGACCGTGTAGTGATGTCCTGGATCGTTTCCTGCTTATACCGTAAATCACGAACAAGGCCTGCTTCCCACGATAGCCTAAGTTCGTAGCCGCAGCGCTAGCTGCTTATCGCTCAACTTCTTTGTGAAATAGTCGTGGGTCAATGGGAAACCACTAATAATAGGTATAGCCCAAAAGAAGATCCGGGATGTAGGACGAAGAAATGTGGCGATGGGCGTTCACAGAACTCGAAGTGCTGAACCTTCCTTTAAGCCTAATGTGGGACGGACGGAAATGGCTTCTCGAATATCTCTACCGCCTTTCTGGAACAGTCTGATACATCGACTTCTCGAAACTCGAGCTTCGTCATAAGTTGCCGAGTCCTGGTGTTTTGCCTTCACGAGTCCTTCTTGTTCTGTACAGATCGTGACTCCGAGTCTTTACCCATGGCTATGATGGCATTGAGCATCCTTTCACGAGTATCTTGTGTTAGTTTATCAACGTCCGCGGCCGTGAGGCCATTTGTAGGAATAGGATCAAGCACTGTACAATGCGTTAGTGCGAGTCCGTAGTTCATGCACAATTTCCAGTCGAGCAATCAACCAACCTTTGACTCGGATTGTTCCAGCATTGAACCTCTTAGCCTTGGGGCTCAACACACTGCTATAGTTCTCTGCCACAATCGGGACAATAGGTACACCACCCTGCACAGCTAGATGGAATGCCCCCTTCTTGAATGGGAGCAGCATCGGCTCCACCGAGTAACTTCTCGTTCCCTCGGGAAATATGACAACGCTCTGTCTCTTCTCTCGCATGGTCCTGGCAGCACCCTCGAAAGCCTTCAAGGCTGCACTTCTGTCCACCCGATCAATGAAAACAGTGCCCGAGAGCGTCATGAACCAGCCTAGGAAGGGGACGTTGCGGAGTGACTTCTTGGCCGTGACGGAACAGTACTTTGGCCATATCCAGCCTAGTAGCAGTACATCAAGCTCTGTTTGGTGGTTGAGGATGAAGACGGCGGGGCGGGTGTTGTTTAGGATCTCGTAGCCGTTGTCCAAGATGTCGAATTTCACCCCCACTGTGTAGGTGCAAAGATTCTTAAACGCTTTCGCTGTCGTCCATTGTGCATATGCAAAATGTAGACCAAAGACTCGGAGGACAGCAGAGGAAATTGTGCCATACGCTGCGCAGGCTATGAGGCTCAGATAGGCGGCCATGGTGCGCGCGACGAAACCGAGGATTTTGGGAGGCTTCGGAAGATAGGTATAGAGAGCGAAGCAGGATAACATGGTGACGAAGTAGAAGCCTAGGAAATAGAGAATGTAGCGAAGGAGGAAGAACATTTTGGTGGAGGGTAGGTATCGATCGGGCGGGTCGGCGAGGAAGCAGGACCTAGCTATGTATCTTGAAGGTGAGGAGCCACCAAGGGCTGCTTCTTCGACGACTAGGGTAATGATAGAATGATCGTAGGTGGTCTCGAGGTCAGCGACATGAGGGTTACAAGATCAGAACCTTCAGCGTCATCTGCAGTAAATGGTCACAAGGTATGAATTTCTTCTCAAAGTTGGAGAATAGGGAGGGATGGTATGGGATGGTGCTTTCAATATTCAACCCCACACCCACAACTTTGGTCCCTCAGCAATTTTTTTGGTGGCCTCTCAACAGCGGGCAGCTGCGTCATATCAGATCGGTCTGGTGGGCTACACGTGACTACGACGCGCTCAAGCTACAAGGCTGGCAAGGCTTACGCTAGTCACGTGGATTGGTGTTTCTCAGAGACATCCAACGCGATGGAGGCGGCGCGCTGAGGGAGCCTAGCTTGCATTCCCCCTCCAATGTCAAATCGCGACTCACCTATTCCTTATGTCATAGCAGAACAACTTCCCCCAGGCTAGATCCGTTCACTCTGTCACTGCGATGCCTGCGTAAGGTCTTGTCTGATTTGTTCTTAAAGAACAATTGCTAACTATCTGACAGAGTAGGTGACCAGCACAAGCCAAACGGCAGCACGACAGCCAACCCGTTCGAAGAGCGTCCGCCACGAATAACAGAATATACTGCTCAAGAGATTGCTACCCTGCAAAGTCGGCTAGACAAGCAATTAGGACCGGAGTATATCTCCTCACGCGCAGGACCAGGTGGCTCAAAAGTACACTACCTGGCAGCGGACAAGGCCATCAGTCTTGCCAATGAGGTTTTCGGCTTCAATGGCTGGAGCAGCTCCATTCAAAACATTCAGATCGATTTTGTCGACGAGAACCCTCAGACGGGCAAGATTTCTCTCGGTCTCTCCGTCATCGTGCGGGTAACCCTGAAAGACGGCTCCCACCACGAAGATATTGGTTACGGACAAATTGAGAACTGCAAAGGCAAAGCAGCTGCTTTTGAGAAGGCTAAAAAGGAGGGTACCACGGATGCATTGAAGAGGACTCTGAGAAATTTTGGCAATGTCTTGGGCAACTGCGTCTATGACAAGAGCTACTTGTCGAAGGTCACAAAGATGAAGGTGGGAAGCACCAAATGGGACGAGGGTATGCTCCATCGACACGCAGACTTTGCACCTAAAAAGGCGCCAGAAGAGAGAAAGCCAATTGTCTCTACACACGCACAAGAAGAAACGCCAGAATTTGAGGACAGTTTCGAGCTTGCAGACTTTGAAGAACTTGATTTTGATGGTGTCGACATGGGGCATCCAGATGAGGTCTCATTACCTGCAGAGCCGACAGATTCGACAAATAAGTCGGGTCTTTCGGCTTCAGAACGAACTAAACCACAGGCCAGGGCTGATCTGATAACTACGCCATCCAAACCACCAGCCAGGGCAAGTAGTGATCCTCGAGTGGCGCTCCCAAAGCCTGCCCAGACTCTTCCACCCACTACTGTCATACCTCAACCTCTGCCCGGCCAGCGGCACCAAGCGGCTCCAGTCCCTGTTGCAAAACCCTTGACAGGAGACTCTCGACCGCCTATTGACAATGTCTCTCGGGCGGCTTCACCTCTACCTCCCCACCATTTGCCTCCCCAGCAAGCAAGTCAAGGCGTTGGCTTTTATTCAGCCAGGGCTGCTGAAGTTCTGGATGAGAACAACAACGTGATTCCCGCTGCAGCGGCGACGGCACCTCGATTCAACCCACATGCTGAGAGTCCATCCATCCGCAAGACTTCCGGGGTCAACCATAACAGGTCTATTCCCTTGAAACGAGACTTGACTCCAGACACCACCAATCTCCGGACGAATGTCATCAACCCACAATCCGATCCGATGAGACGATTGGGTGCTCCTGGCCCCAGCGGACCGATTCCAGGCGCGCGAGGGCCTAATACCTCTGCATACCGACCTCCCACGAGACGAGGACCTTTGGACTCAGGCCCTGGGCACGCAGTGAGCTCAGTTGACCCTAGTGGAGTTGACCGCGTTTTGCAGGCAGCGAAGAGAACACCGCTAGGAGACGTGAGCAATGTCCAGCAGCATCATGTAACATCGATCACTGCCGACGGGGCTGATGCTAAGAGACAGCGAGTAGACGGCACTGAAGAGGTGGTCACCGGGAATCCAAGGATTAGTGGATAGAGAGTGATGACCATCAAGAGAGGGCGGGAGGACTCTACCAAGTCAAGTATTTTGGCGCAGACTGCTGCCGTGGTCGGCGATGGGAGTTGTCGGTTCGGAGGAGAGTGCATTTGTGTGAAAAAGTCTCGTCTCTGGTTTTGGAGGTCATCGTTCGAAATCCCCCTTAGCGATCCTTTTTTGCGCCTTTTCTTCGAGCGCGTAAATGACCAAATCTTGTTATGATCATGTACCACAACTACATATGCGTAGATTGTAAGCTTTCATGTTTTTGCACCAGCGTCCGCCTTGCCGATATCGATACCGAATCTTCGTTGTTTTTGTCCTCCTGCTGCTGGACTATTCGTTCCGTCGTCGGGCGAGGAATCCCACCACCCCAGGCTGAAGACGTAACCCTCAAACACTCTCTTCAGCTCGTCGTCGCTCATAAACTCCGCCCCGGCGGGGATGATCTTCCTGTCAATGACCTCGCTGCCGGCGAGCAGGTTCATGGTGCCCACGATGCTCCACGGACCCTGGGGCAGGACACGGCGCATGTTGCGCCGACCGTACACGAAGAGGCCGCAGGCGAGCATGATGCCGAGGAAGATCTGCAGGATCAGCTTCGACGTGGCGTTTTGTTTGAGTCGGAGCCTCTCGACGCCAGAGACGGACCCGCGGTACTGGGGCGCCGTTGCGGCTTCGGTCTGGTTCAGGCTGCGGCGCATGGTGCCGTGGATGAGCTGGGCCATGTACCGCCGATACATGCGCAGAGTGGCGTCAACGAAGCGCTGTGTGTTTGCAGGGCCCGTCAGCTCGTCGGCTGGGATTCCATCGGGGCCATAGTTGACTTGGGAGTAAAAGTAGTCGGTCAACAGGGTCGGGGCCTCCCGGTCGAAGGCTGCGAAGGTCTTCGTGTTCGTGAACCAAAACGTGCTATTGAACGCCTGAAGCCACCTTGCTGAGCTCTCATCGACTTTCGGCTCCGACGTGACCTGAAAAGAGCCGTCCGAGGAGACTATGAAGATAGTCTCGGCGTGAACCTCTTCCAACCCCTGAATGCAGGTCATTGCTGTCACATTCTCCGTCGAGGTGACATTTTCGACAAAGTAGCCAGACATGAATGCCAAGGATGGGCATCCAGGGGGATTGCTTGCCGCCCCCAAGGTATACCCTACGTTATCATCGGTGAGGAATGCGTCTGTTGCGCCCTGGTTGTTGAGAACCACTTGCTCATGTATGGAAAGACCATCCGGATCCTCACAATCATGCTGTACATCAGTCGCGAATGTAATATTGGTCACTAATTCATTGTCTCCAGTCAAGAAGTGAGGGCATGTCGGGGGTAGATCGGCGTGGAACGTGATGTGGTTTTCTCGACAGCTAGGATCAGCATGAGCACTGGGTACTCCCTGCATCGTCATATTCATGTTCTTTTGGGGGACCAAGGTGCAGTTAAGTGATGCCCTCATAGCCACAACATCGGCGTGAAGGGTTACTGGGCTTGCAGAATCGCCTAGCTGTTTCAGCGCCTCGGCTCCTAAGGAAGAGGCCTCGATCTTCGGAAATGCCAGTCCATCGTATGTGAATGCTGGGTAAGACGCGTTGTTCTGTTCGATCAGCGTGAAAATAGCACCAGCCGCCCCATCTGATGTAGTTCCGAATGAGGGCACAAATTTGTCGGACGCGGTGACGGAAACACCGAGAATAACTGGGACGGCTTCAATAGTATAAAGGCCCGAAGCGATGATTGTCAACAAACTGCCAATCAGGGCGGCCATTGATGCAACAGCAGCTTCCATATGGCGCTCACGAACCGCTTTCAACGTGGACCAGATTGGGAGCTCGCCGGATGATGTCCTCAGCAATGTCTGTTTTGCCGGCGCACTTCCACGAGTCAAAGCCTGATACGGGGCAAGTGTCGCTGCAGCGAAATCGATCGCATCGTACATGATTGCGATACATATCAGAACGACCGAGGTAAGGATTGTCGGTAGTGAACGATAGATGGCAGAGCTTGAAATGGTGACCAACCCATTGTGGGCGTCTGATTCGCGTTGCAAGACTTCCAAAACCGCAATGACCGTGAGCGGTAGCCCAAGAGCTGCTGACATGAACCAGGGTGTGGTAGAGCTAGTTTCCCACCAAGAATGATTGCTGTGTTCGTCGGCTGGTCTTTGTTGACTTCCTTCCTGCACGGCGGTCTTGATGGAGAATTCCGGGTTTGCACGCTCACTGACAAAGGAAGAAGTGGCCACTAAATCCTCGAGATGAGCTTTGGACTGTGCACTTGAGTAGCTCGAGACTGTCTCCAACGACCTCTGAAGCGTAGGACTCGCGGCAAGTATTGCTGCTTGAGCGCCAATAGAGTTGGGCTGCCGCGAGACCACGTCTTTTGTGCGCCATTGGAGAACAGCGACAGCGGCGAGTGCCAGCAAAGCAAAGCCTGCGCACATGGCCCACACGCTCAGCTCTCGGACTTGAAGTCTTGGTTCCTGATATACAACGCTGGCTGTGGTTGTGGCGTTGTCACGTTTGCGTAGATATGAATGGGCAAGTTGAACACCCACGCCCTTGAACGCTTTTTCGGCAGTGGTTTTCAATGTTGTGGTATTTAAAAGATCAACAGCGGATCCGCCCGCGAGGATGGCGAAGAAGTTGGCAAAGTCATATATCTTCGGAGCTTCTGGTGTAGGGGGAAGGCTATTTACGAAGACTTCATTCTCGAAAGCCATACTCAGATTGTAGTATGAGTATCCAGGCAGCACATCTGCCACGCGCTCCAGTGGCCCGGTCGTGTTAACTCCGCCCTTTGAGGTGGGATTGGCGGTATCGATCGTAATGTTGACCTTGTCGATCGTGTATCCGCGAGAACAGACTAGTCCAACCGATTCGGCCAAGTTGACGTTCCAGGCAGCGCTAGTATTTTGGGGGTGCCCTGTGACCTTTTCAAATGTGATGTCTATCAAGGTGAGCGCGTAGAGGTTGGAACATGGATCAAGATCGTCAATCGGCGGACCGAACGTGTTCCAGCTCTCGTCAGAGATGATGGATCGCCCAACAGGGCAATTGGGTGCCTGGCACAACTGGTGGTAGGACGACATCGGAGGACAATGAGCAGGAGACAGCGTAAGCCTCAGTTCTAGGAGATCTCCGTAAGGGTATGAACCATCGTTCGACCAAGTAAAATTGTTGCCAATAACTTCCGGTGTGACCACTTCGCAGTCGAAGAAAGGGAACACGCCGTTCACCGTTGCTGTCACAGTTGAGTTTGCAGGTAGAGATTGTAAGTCAAGAGTATCATATGCGACACTCGCTGACGTGCCGTATTGATAATTGAGCCCCCGTTCTTGTATGCCGTAGAACTCCATCAGTTCGGTGTCGATAGCAGAAGGCCCAATTGTGAAATTCGTGCCCACGAATTTTGAGTTCACAAGAGCATCAGAGACGACTTTGGTGTCGGAGGTCGGTGTAAGCACAAGCAGACCAGTGCTGAAGACGATGACAATTCTCAGCAGCAGCATGCCCATACCACTCGCCACCACGGCCCAATCGTGGTTTGGTACAGCTTTTGCCAGAGCTAGGGGTAAAGGAGGCGAGATATAGTCCAGGAGTAGAGATTCCTTGGCCGGCGCTGGGCCATGCCGAAGATGTGACCATGGTGCCAAAGTTCGGCAATGGAAGTCAACCAGTCTCCAGGGCACAAGGATCACAACGAGCAGTGCTGTCGGACCATAAGTCCATGCATAATGATTGCTTGTGATGGCAGTTCTGATTCCATTCTCGATTTGCGCAAATCGCCACAGGATGATCAGGCCGGCGATCAGGGCTAGAAAGAGTAAAATGAATCCAAACAGAATTGGTTTGCGTAACCAAGTCGGGTTCCACGTTCGCGGAAGAACTTGCGCGTCCTTGTTTTGGGGGATGTCATTTTGCCAGACGAACGGGGCTTTTCTAGATGCTTCAGAGTCCTCCCACTGATCCGGGAAAGGAGAGGTCTCGAAGCTGTGACTGCTGCCAACCTGTTGCTGTCCGGCGATCTTGCCGTGATGCTGGGTCGGATTCGGGGCATCGAGATACGTCTGAGGATCGTATGCTGTCTCTGTGTGATTGAACTCTGGAAAAGGAGGCAGAGCCCAGGAGGATCTGTCGTCGAAGGAGATCATAGGGTATGCGTCATCTTGTAAGGCGCCATCATAGAAAGCACTGCTGTGTCTTGAGTTTCGAGGCAGCGGCTTTCTCTTCACTGGGGATGTTTGATGAAACGACCTGTTCGCCATCGCGATAGATGCGGTGTTGAGGATGGCGATGATGACAAACAAGAGACTGGGAGCAAAGCCAATACGCCGTCCAGACAGGCTGTCTGCCAGATAAGGCTGGCTCTCTGCTCAGACGTTTTTGCGCCACGCGGCCGGAGGGCCAGGTCTCAAATGTCAATGCGGTTCAGGCGAGCCAGATTTGACTTTGAGCCCTGCAACCGATCACCCCGCTACTCGCACAATATAGGGTAGGCCGCACTTTGGGCCCTGGCATTCTCTTTCCATGGCGAAAGTGCCCGCACAAGTAGTCGAGATTAGCTTGAGTTGTCTGTTGATCTTGTCTGGACCCCACAGGAAGCGGCTGGAAAGGCTGGCCCTGGCCTGGCTAGATGCCAACATCTGATTGATGGACTCATCTTTAGTGTCACATCGCGTCCGGCAAGACGCCTTGCGCTCAACCGTTCCAGAGTAGTCGGGTACGTGCAGGCAAAAACACAGCTGGCCGCGCAGCCTGAGTTTATCATTGGTAAATTGGTCACACTTGTCCCCCCCTCAAAACCGTTTAAGGTTCGAGGCAGTTTTCAGAAAGGTATGTTTGATTTCAACGGTCGTTGCTAGCGTTGGGGCAACGCTCTTGTGGCGGGAATGTGTCTGGGGGCAGAGCCGCCTAGTGTATCGATGGGGCTGTTGAGAGCAGGCGAAGTTGATATCCTGTAAAACAAGGCGCACAGCGAGCAGGTGATGGTGTTTCAAGGCGTTTCAGAACGGGACGGCTCGACGCCACGAAGCGACGCTCAACAGCGAGAAGAAATGCGATGGGCAAGGAACCCACGTGATTTCGGAGGACCGGAACACTTTTTCCGCATGCGGGATCGGCACGGAACAATGTTCTGCCCGCTTCCGTCGACAGGCCAAGCTGGTGCCACGGGTGCATAAGAATTCAATACAAAGCTTGATACGAGGTACCAAAGTCATCTTCTTATCAAGCCATGTCAACCCCCACATTCTTCGCTATCCTGTCCCATACGTATTTTCGACTGTCATCTATATTGCCATCACCGCCGGTTTCTGTGGGGCAAGGCAAATCCTTCCGGCTGTCGTTACGGCCCTCTCTCCCCAGAGCTGCCAACGAATGCGCGTTATTCCTTTATGAATCAACGGTTTAACCAACGTAAAGCTTCTGCCTAGAGTTCTTCCATTAGTCAGAATATCCATCCTTATCTACCTAGCCTCTTGCCGAGAGATCATCGTATCGACGTATCAGGAAAGAAGGATCAAGTTCTGGTCCCTGACGCGCATAATGCTTGAGTCTCATGGCACGTTCGTGTTCAGTCAGATGCCAGGGCGTTTGGTAAAGAGAAATACCGTACGAGGTACAAACAAGGCTATGCTAATGACCGGAGTGAAGCAACAGGAAGCTACACAGAAGTATCAGGTAATGATATTATGTCCGTGAGCGCGCAATTGTCCAACGACAGTCTCTCCCATCCCAGGTAGTGAGTTCTTTCGGCTCGGTAACCGCGGCCCACGAGATGATCTGCATAAATCAACTCAACACAGGAATCGACTGATGCCTGTTTAATCATCTTTGCTAGATGTGGCAGGTCGCAGAGTATCCTCCTCGCATGCAACCTACTAATCTAAACCAATCATCGCTATGCATTCTACATCGGATTTGAACGACTTCTCTAGATGTACCGATATCCAGAACCTCCACAAAGGTTGGGGAAGGTCAAGCTTGGGGGTAGGGTACACGGATAAACGAGCTGGAATTTATATACAAAGACCCATGCTTGCCAGTCAGGTCTACAAGACTTTGTCCATCTAATCTACACTAGATCCGGTGGAGAGTATTGGCGCTCGCAATGGCCGGTCAACTACTGCTGTCAGTCTTGATTTTGCCATGTGTGCTGGCTGTCTCTTTGCCAGTGAAGCTGCACCTGAAGCGAGCTGTTGACTCGAGTCTTGCCAATATCCATGTGTCTTATGACAAACCCATCACCACAGAGGTCGCGTTCACGTATGGTCCTTGCAAGGCCAAGACTCCGGGAGAAGCGCACCATCTTGTTGCCCGCTCCAATTCCTGTGATCACGATAGGCTTTTGTGGAAAGTCCCCGAAGAGGCTCCCTCAGGTTATTGTCTTTCAGCATGGGATGCAAGACAGAACCTTCTTGGACGAAGTGCCCCGGTGTCCATCGCACCCAACGCAAAGACCACGCGCAGACGCCTCAAAAAGCGCCAGGCCGACTTCTCAATCCAGATGGACAACTCGAGCGGTATTGATGCGGAAGGTCCATGGTTCGACGGAGTAGTTGCCCTCAAGAACAAAGAGATCAGTGCGGTCAATGTCCAAGAAGCGAAATCCAAAGAAATCGCCATCGTCGGTGCTGGCATGGCTGGTCTCATGACTTGGCTGGCCCTCAACCAATCCGGCATGACAAATATTTCTCTTATTGAAGCAGCTCAGCGGCTGGGTGGAAGGGTCCATACTGCTTACTTCGGCGACCCAAGTGAGAGACAGTATCAAGAGATGGGCCCAATGCGTTTCCCACTATCGTACACGTCATCTGAGACGAACCAGACGATACAGATCCAAGATCACCGCATTGTTTTTGATCTGGCTGCTGAAGTCAACAGACTGAACAATAACAATACCAATTTCACGGTCAATTTCATCAAATGGTACCAAAGTTCGCCAAATGGACTATACTACATTAACGGCGCCCGGAAACCCAACGGCCAAGTTCCGACGATATCAGAAGTGCGAGCGAATGCATCATTGCTTGGGACGACTTCTTCCCAGCCAGACGACCCTAAGCTGGATGCACTTGACGAGCAGCTGAACATTATCTACGATAACGGTAGTTTCATCGACCAGATGGCTCGAAACATATACATGGCGCATAAGACATTCCTAGACCAAGGACTTGGTGGATTGGGTGGCGACGACTTTTCCGAATTCGCCTATGCTCACAATGTCCTGGGTTATGCGCTGAATGAGACCTTCGTTGAGCTTGGAGGCTCTGGAAGTGAGAGTTTTTGGGATAATCTCTTTGAATCAATGGTGAGCTGGTGCCTGCCTTTATCCACACTGACAATCTACTTTTGCAGGTTGACCCAAGCCACACCATTTTTGAGATCTGGTCTCGACTGACGGCGCTGACATCTCGTTTTACTTTAGTACTTCTCTGCAACTGACTGGAGGACGATTGATGGTGGCTTGACCCGTCTTCCCAGTGCCTTCCACCGTACGTACAACTCTCGCGCAGCCTTACAAGGAATGACTAACGTATAGGTAACGCATAGCTCTTGTGGACGATGTGACGTTCATGAATCGCAAGATCCAGCGAGTTCAATACAACGAGAGCACCAAGAAGGTGACATTGCAATGGAAGGCTAAACCACTCGACAGTACGTTCCAGAACGCAAGCTATGACCTAGCGGTCGTCACTGTTCCTATGCCGCTCGTCCGAACCTGGCGTCTCCCGGCGTTCTCGGATCTTCTGAAGACGGCCATCGACAGCTACCCTTACTCCCAAGTATGTAAGGTGGCACTCCAGTTCAAGACCCGCTTCTGGGAGCATTTCGAGAACCCCATCTATGGCTCCTGCAGCACGACCACCGATATCCCTGGTATCGGGAGCATCTGCTACCCAAGCTACGATATCAACTCGACTGGGATGGGGGTGATGCTCGCAAGCTACACCTCCTCTGACGACGGGTTGCGCTGGCCGTCGATTTCGGAGGACGTTCACGTCCAATATGTCGTGGACGCCATGGCCGAGATTCACGGCCCTGTGATCTACGAGCAGTATACTGGGGCCTTCAACCGGCGCTGCTGGGTGCTGGATCAGTACGAGACCATTAGCTGGGCAAGCCCGGACATTGGAATGAGGAAGGCGTTCATCCCGGCCTTTTTCAAGACGGAGCAGGGTATCATTATGAGCGGCGAAGGGACCAGCTATACCAGCTCTTGGATCTCGAGTGCTCTGGAGAGTGGCGTCCGAGCGAGTGTCCAGCTCCTTCTTGAATTGGGCCTGGTGGACGAAGCAAAAGCCGTAAGTACAGCATTTCCTGGGCTATCCGAAAAACTCTTCCATGTCTCTTGCTATTTGTCATCTCCCAAGCCAGACTAACAGAGGCCCCAACAGGTAACCGAGAAGTGGATGGCCAGATGGATTGACATATAGATCCCGGGTAGGGTAGGGTAGGGTAGGGTAGGGCAGGGAATCGGACATACACGCAGATATCGCCGCGATCGCCAGCCGCTCAGGTGATTTCTTTCCTGCCCATATACCGAGCAGTATCAGGCGTGAAGACAAGGCTCAATCACATACATCAATGATGATCATCTATCAGATTTTACAGGACGCTTCTCCTCGCCTTCCCTTGCCTTCTTCCCTTTCTCCCTGTCTTCCCTTCTCTTTAACTTCCATCTTCTCTTCTCTTTGATTCCCATCTCAGATGGAAGCGCGAATGAGTCTCGTTCACTCATTCTCTGGCTAGTATCTTTGACTACGTCGTTTATTTGTCGATTTCATGGATATGTCGTCCACTTGGGGAGTTGGCCCTCCTGTCCCCCCTCGAGTAGAGTCGAGATGGGTTGCGTTGAGTACACAGAAGGACAAGGACAAGGTTGAAATTTACGGGAAACGATGGGAGGCGTCGAGAGTCACACTGGAAGGCCGACAGGTCGAAAGGGAGTCTGGAGATAGGTATTATTATAGATCAAGGTATACAAGTAGATTCAGGATCGATGGATGGATGGATGCAATTCTTGGTTGAAACACCCACCCAAGCACACCCCCGGCCTTTGTTTGTGTCATACATCATGCATGGACGCTCTGTAATCGCCTCTCAAAAAAAGAGAGAAAAAAAAAGGGAGATTGAGGTTCATATTCTCGACAGGACATCAAATTCGTTACCACGTCAGTTGGGCGCGGCGAGGCCAGAAACGGCGGTTGAGAGTCGACACCCCGGTCCTGGTGTCGGGCGATCTGTCTGCCGCTGCTTCTTGATTACCCGTCTCCCTCTGGGCCTGCGATCGAAGTGATTTCTGGAAACCCTCGAGGTCAGTGGCGATCATGCCGACCAGCGGGTGCGCATCGGTCAATCTCTTCCGCGCCCTCTTCAGAGCCGTTTCGCAGGCGTCGCGCGCCTCCCGCGCTCTCCCAAGCCGATGGTGGAGGACGGATAACTTCCACAGCGCATAGAAGCAATCCGGATGTTCAATGCCCCTTGATCTCCCGAGGCGGGTGACTGTGTCTGAGAGAACTTCGAATGCCTCGTTGAGGCGACCCTGCCGAGAGTATACACGGGCCAGCTCACCTTTTCCCATCAGCACGCCCAAGTGATTCTCATCTAGACTTCGGATGCCCGCTTCGATCCCGCCGTCGAGCAGTTCTTCCGCCTCGTCGAGCTTCCCGATCTTGACCTTGATCTTTGCGAGCCAGCAAAGCGCCCAGAGCGTCCAGGGGTGCTCCTTGCCGAGCTGCCTCTTCCTCTCCTCAAACACTCCGGTCATCAGTTCCTGAGCCTCGTCCAAGTGTTTCAACTCGAGAAACGCCATGGCCAGGTTGTTCTTGGAAGTCAACGTGTCCAGATGCTTCGCGCCCAGCTTTTCCTCGCGTATGGTGAAGACCTGCTTGTGAATGGCTGCACTCTTGGAAAATCTGTGCCACGATGCAAGTGCAACGCCGTAGTTATCCATGGCAGCCAGCGTGCGGTCGTCATTGAGTCCCAGCTCGAGTTCCATTTGTCTCATGCTGCTGCCAGATAGCTCCAGCGCCTCTTTGTACTGTCCATTCAACCAGTAAGATCGTCCCAGGTCATCCATCGCCAGGAGGGTGTCGATATGAGTTTCACCCAGGACTTGCTTTCGTGCATCAACGACAAGCTTTTGCAGGTCAATTGCTTCATCAAGACGACCGAGTCCCCAATACACCTTGGCTAGACCTAACATGATGCTCATCGTACTCTTGTGGCGGGGACCAAGAAGCTCGTGCAGCAGGTCCTTCACCTTTGTCAAGTAATCGGCCGATTGTTGGAATTTTCCACATTCCGCATATACGTATCCGCTCTTCGCCGCAGCCAGAGATTGCTGCATTAGAATCGAGAGTGCTGTTGGTAACAGGAAAGGTGTCAGGGATAAAGAGACCTTGGACAAATAGGTCTTGTAAGGCCCGATCTCAATAGGGCAGGCAGCTAAACAGGCATCAAGATGGGGAAGCAAGCTTCTGTGAAAGATTTCTCGGCTCTGCCTGACACCAAGGTCGTCCTTGGCTAGGTCATCAGAAGGTAGCGTGATGGCCTCCGCGAGGAGATTGAAAGCCATCTGAGCGTATATTTGCCGGCATTCCCTCAACCTATCCTGAGCCCAAGCATGAACTAGGGGATGCAATGAGAAAGTCCGTGCAGATCCATCCCAGCGGATGAGAGATAGTGATGCCAACTCGGCAATAGCGTCTTCTGCACGACATGCCTCCAAGACTGCGGCTCGCGTCTTGAGGAAACCAGGGAGCAGGACCGGAGGCTGTAGGCGTTTATGAACAGGGCTGAGGAGGTTCGCGACCAATGAAGGTCTGGGCCGACGCCCAAATGATTGGGATCTGTTCTTAACCGCCGTTGTAAACACATCAACTCCGATACGTTCAAAATGATAGAATCCCACGACATTAAGTATTTCAATGGCGTCCTGGCAAGCAATAGAATTCTGTTCTTCCAAGTAAGCCAATGAGACTTCAAAAGTCGGGTACGCTGTCTTGAGTTTTCTATCCTCGCCCATATCGGCAGAATCCATCTTCACACGGGAAGGCTTGTAAGATTTCCGACAAGCGTTGTAAAAATCGAGATAGTCTTGCAGGCGTGAGCTGAACTTTCCCCTTTTGATGTACGTTCCTGCGACCACCAAAGCCAGGGGCAAGAAGCCAAGGGTTTTGCATATCTCATTGGCGAGCGATCTGGTGGCATCATCCACGGGCTTTGGAATGTCCGCACGACTGAGCAGCAATTCTAGTGCTTCGGTGTCTTCCAGACCTTTCAGTTCCAAGGATCCGACAGTGGCGACCTTACATAGGTCCAGATTTCTAGTTGTGATGACAATATAGGCGTAGTTGTTTGTTTTAGGAAAAAGTTTTCGGAGGCCAAGCGCTGGATCATCGGCGTTGTCGATGACGAGCAAAAAAGGGTATGAGAGATGTGACAGGATATGTGCGGCAGCGTTCTCAGTAGCCTCCAAACCTCCCTTGGTTCCGATGTCAGCATAAGTTCGTTTGATCTGGTCCTGTGATGATGCCTTGACAGTGAGAACCCCCTGGAATCTAGAGAATAAGTTAGCACTGTGCCTATCTCTGAGGATCTACTTTGAGCTCACCGGTTCTTGTGCTTAGTAGCAAACCTAGAACAAAGTTCGGTCTTACCGGAGCCTCCCATACCATATATGACGAATATTTTCGGCCCCGGTGGCTGTGAAGATGAAAAGATCGCATGTTCAAGAGTCTTGAACTCTTTTTCACGGCCAACAAATGTAGAGGTCTGTAGCAACTCGTCAAGCGGTGGATCGAAAGTGCTACTGATGCCCTTCTGCGAGAACACAGGGGTGTCACCACCACCCCCTTCCCCTGATTGACCGGTCGTGGGTGACTTTAACGGGGAATCAATCTTGGCCGACTCATACCGCTGCAACGCGCCCTGGTTTTTTTGCTCCTGCCACTTCAAAGCGATCTTTAGGGGAGCGTCTTGGATGAAACCAAGTAGAGGAGCTAGAACTGTGCGGTAGCCTGGAGAGGACCTGCTCGAGAATTTGGTCATGTTGATATGGTCTGCGGGAATTCCCGAGCGTTGCACATCCAGAGCCGGGGCTGCCGAGGATTCCTTGACATGAGTTTCGATCTCTTCCCAAAGGAACAACATGTTCAGGTCATTTTGAAGACCTCTGAAGGCGCGATTGACGTTGGTCAGCGCATCCCGGGGTCCATACTGAAAACTGTCTGAGGATCTCAAGAGCCGTTTTGGCTGGAGCCAAACATTCCTATCGACTTGGTCATGAGGTGTACCAAAGAAGACGATTGCATAAGTGCAGGTGTAGATATCGCGGTAGAAACGAGTGTGTTCGCCCCTCTGATCATGAGCATACAACAATGCCTGCTTGACGAGGAGTCCACCCAGACCATGGCAAACGAAAATGATGGGTCGTTGAAGACAACGGGTAAGAGAGCGGTCGGTGTGAAGGGTAGCAACGAGGGTCTCTGCTGTTGGATATAACGGGTCAACACCACCGTGACCAAAGAATGACTCCGGAGAGCCATTGTATCCAAAGGTCAACACCCGGACGTTCTTGACATCTTCAGGAAGCAGGTCTCGAAGCCAGAGAATATTTGTCTTGGGATCTGTCCAGGCACTGATAAGATCCTCCTGAAGTCCGTGCACTGCAACGATGCTTCCCTTGGTCAGTCTTGAGAATTCTAGGAGATGAAGTGGGAAATGCTTACTCGACAACAGGCCCCGTCAGCTCCTGTGGCCCATGGGGAAGCTGTGAAGACTGTACCTGGCATGGATACAAAGTGATCAACTCGGTCGGCATGCTCGAATCTTCAAGGCTGTAGAGTTTAACCCTCGTAGCAGAAAGCCGTAGAAATCTTCGAGACAGCAACGAAGATATGGTAGGCGCGAAACTTTTGGTCTCGGGCATACCTGGGCTTTTGCCCCGAAATAATGCTGTAGAGATTCTGCCGGCTGCCAACTGCCCAGCCAAAACACCAGCGGCCAGACTCCATGGTCAGGGCCATTTGGGCTTCCCGATTTGGCTTCCCATTTTCGTCTGTCTCATAGTCCCTGAGATGTATTTCAGCATCTCGTGGAGTGCGCCACCCCCCCAAAACAGGTGTGCAACTGGGTGCTCAGGAGATTAAGTAGGGGTCCTTTTGAAACATACCTGGTGAGCGGCAAATGCTTTAATTGGCCATTTGTCGAATCTTAAGCGCCCATATCTTTATATTTGTGTCGAGTTCCACAACGTCGTCCCGAACCGCCGAGTTGCGCCAGGCGCTTAACCATTTCCATAACCTGCCCACTTCCCCACGTCGATGTTACCAGCAACTCTTGTCGACTTAGAGAATTCTGTATCCTTTAATGCACGCATCGGCAATCCAAAAAGAGACAATGTCGGAAGATGGCATATGGGGAGTTCCTCTCTGGTCGAGAGTGAGCATGCTCCTGCTACTATGTCTGTTACTCTTCATCCTTTACCCAGTCGTCAACAAGCTGGTCGCTTACAGGGTAAGATCTCCAAGACGTGAAGGAGGAAGAGGCCGTTTGATTCTGAGCACTTACAGAGAGATTCGGCGCTTGCCCACCGCATGCACTGCATGCCACCTCCCGAGCTCCCGAACAAATGGCCCCTGGGGATCGATTGGGTGCGTGGACTATGGACCTCGAATGCTGAAGGTCGTCTTCTGCCATTCCTCTGCTCCATCGCAAAGGACTATGAGCCTCGCAATATGCTTTCTCAATACCTGCTCTTTGGCCCTCGTACCTTTCATATCCTCGAACCCCGGAATCTAGAGGCCGTCTTGTCGTCAAACTTTGCGGGTGAGTCGCCATTCGAGGAAAGGCATCGGTTGCTCGTTCGTCATTTGGGTATGTGTGTCTGATGCGTGCCAAATAGATTACGGCTTTGGAGTCCGCGCAGAGATTTTCGCTCCTCTCCTGGGCCAGGGTATATTTACGCAAGAAGGTGCTGCCTGGAAACATTCCCGGGAACTTTTGCGCAAGCAATTTGTCCGAGCACAGTATCAGAATCTCAGCCACTTCCAAGAGCATGTTGACAATCTGTTGAGCCATCTCCCGGATCAGGGAGTGGTTGATTTGCAACCCTTGTTCTTTAGCCTCACCTTGGACACAACTACTGCTTTGTTGATGGGAAAGTCGGTCTACAGCCTGAGAGCAGATATTGATCAAGACGCCGAAAATCGAGACTTCTCCGAGAGCTTCAATCTGGCCCAAGAAGGGCTTGCAAAGCGGTTCCGCATCGCTCCATGGCACGCTTTGTATAACCCACCAGCCTTTCGGCGGGCTTGCAAAACTGTCCACGCCTATGTGGAACGGTACATCGAGCAGAGGCATCTCTCCAACGAGAAGAGCCAAGACGCGTACAGCTTTATTGACCAGATAGCCAATGAGTCGAAAAGCCGAACCGAGCTGAGAGACCAGCTTCTGAACGTCCTTCTCGCAGGTCGCGATACAACGGCCTGTTGTTTGTCGTGGACATTGTAAGATTTGTTCTCTGACCCATCAATCAAATTGCATCAGCACGCTGACAGTTGTCATGGGACCAGTCGTCTTCTTGTCCGCCATCCACAGGTTATGAAACGCCTGCGAGCAGAAGTTACCACTGTCATGGGCGACGGTATACATCCGTCGAGAGAACAGATTCGTAAAATGCCGTTCCTCGCGTGCGTCATCAAGGAGAGTGAGTCACATGATTAAAGTCTGCCGGGTATGTTCGCCTCACAGCTGGCTAATGAATCCCAGGTCTTCGTTTGTATCCGCCAGTGCCTCTGAACAACCGACAAGCTACCAAAACGACCCTCTTACCAACGGGTGGAGGACCTGACGGGAAGCAAATGATTCTGGTCAGAAAAGGTGAAGTAGTCGTGTTCTCACAGTACGTCAATTCCCGTGTAAAGAGCATATACGGGCCGGACGCAGACGACTTTCGCCCTGAAAGGTGGGAGGACAACGAACTCGCAAAGATTGGCTGGGCATATTTCCCCTTTAACGGCGGACCGAGACAGTGTCTGGGCGAAGATTTTGCACTTATGGAGGTCTCGTATACCATAGTGAGGCTGCTTCAGGCATGTTCCAGCCTTGATTTGCCGGACGGCGAGATCGTTGAACGTCTAGGCCAAGAGAAACAAAGGTTGACGCTCGTTTTGTCAAGCGCCGACGGCTGTAGGGTCGAGTACGTCCGACGATAGCAGGTATTTTGCGAGAATGTTGCTTGAATGTTCCATTGGCCGAGAGACAGCCTGACAGAGCTTCTATAGCGCTTGTTGTAGCTCGTAGTGGATCGCAGAGGACTACCTTCTGCGGCCAGGATAGACTTAGGATGGGTCGCTGGGTATTTTGTCCTTCTGCTGGTCTGAAAAGGGCTGGCTTCAGAAGGAGCCGACCTCGACCCAAAACCCTGTTTCAGAACTTAGAGGTTGGGTGGAAGCTGGTTTCCTGGAATGTCTCTTCACCCTGGTCGACCTCGATAGCCGGCGTCTAAGCCTCATAATAACCTTCGAGGCGTCAATCGATAATCACGCGGTGTGCACGCTTCTGTCTCAGGCGTTCAGACACACGGCGGTCCAGGCCCAGGTCAGGGGGGTTCCTGACTGCTGCCTGCTCCGCTGCCCACCAGAGGTCATAAAAGTTTCGAGTTGTCCTTCCAGTATTCAAGTACCTTCTCAATAACGCATGAGCTTAAAGCAGAATTGACGGGAAGTAATCCACATGGGTCCGAATATACGAGAACAGCAGGTTTTTGGATTTCGCGAACTGTATCGACCTCAAACGGAAGAGCCAGAAGTAGAGTACGTGAGATTGAGCCGGATACCCCGAGCCATTTCCTATTGTTTTAGTATACTGAGATAGTCAGCATCGTCGCCGTACACGGTCTCAATGGTCATGCCATCAACACCTGGACTGCAGAGAATCCTAGAAAGGGAGACGAGCCCATCTGCTGGTTAAAGCACCAAGACTTCCTTCCAAAATACATCAGCCGTGCAAGGGTGTTAACTTGGGGTTACAACGCGAATATCTCGTCCCTGAAAGGACCAACAAGCTCGAATCGGATACTCCAACATGCCCAAAGCTTGGTACAACAACTGCAGGGGGACAGAACTGTGAGCAGATCCTGGAGTTGCCTGGGCATGGCAGGACATTCAATTGCTGACTGCAATTTTCCAGCTGAACGGTACCAGCGAGAAGCCCATAATATTTGTCTGCCACTCTCTCGGAGGCATCGTTGTCAAGAGGGTAGGTTCAACCGCTGCAGAGGCAGTCCCTCATCCATATTTGCTGATCAAGGTTGACATGTCCAGGCACTGGCATACTCAGAAGGTCGGACAGGACCGAAAAACTCGCATCTCCGCTCAATCTTCACCTGTACCTACGGTATCATTTTCTTCGGCACCCCACACAATGGTTCAAGCAAAGCACAGCTTCTCAATAGCCTACAAAAGGTCACGAGGTTGACAATCCCGAGGAGAATACTGCGTGTTGAATCAAATCTGGCAAAGGCCCTTGAGGAAGAGTCGGAAACGCTGCAAAACATCACGGATCAATTCGTCGCCTTGATGTCAAACTTCCATCTCATGTTTTTGTGGGAACAGGAGCGCACTTCGATTCCTGGACTGGGTGCCTCGTATATTGTGGATGAAAGCAGTGCTGCTCCTGGCCTTCCCGATGTTGAGCGCTGCGGTATTGCGGCAGACCACCGAGAAATGTGCCGCTTTGTCAGTAGCAGCAACCAGGGTTTCCTCACTGTTGTTGACGCCTTACAGCGATATAGTCGGGCAGCACCGGAGGAGATAAAGACCAGGCATGCGCAAGAACTGTGGTTGTCGAAGGCCAGGCAGCAGGGGGAGGTTATGGGACTGATGAAGAAGTTGGGCGGACCACCAGTGCACCCAGATGCTCTGCTACCATTTCCTGTTGAAGAGAGTGTCTCTTCTGTGGCGCGATTTATCAATCAGCGAGAGCAATAAGTTGCACAGAAAGGACACAGTGGGTAATCGTAGTAGGAGGGGAAATTGGTGTACAAACTTGATGACGATGAGTGGCTGCGCTGATCAACAAACTGCGGAATGACATTGTACGGGGGAGAATCTTTCCCGGCGAATTTTCCCAGAACAGACGCCAAACATCATTCACTGTTGTCCAGCTGCTGCTCACACCCAAACACACGCTGATATTCAAGTCGTTTCTTCCTTAGGCAGGCTCTAACTCGCAACTGAACACGCTGCAGTGTCTGCGCCTCCCCACTGCTAATATGTCATTACCTCCAGAGCGCATCAGCGTGAAGCGCAGGAGACAGGAGGAACCTGTCGAGGCACTATGTATTTCCCACTGCCATCTACACCCTCAGAGTATGAGCTAATCCAATCCCACTAGACCTCGAACACGGGAATGGCCCAGACAAAAAGCGGAGAGTCACGGAATTCTACTTTAAACGCGTCCAGCCCAATGTGATTGCCCCCGTTTCTCAGCGAGTCACCAGCCCTCAAGCGGTGTGGTCAGAGCCTCCTGCTCCTGGCATTCCTCCAATTCGTCTCAGCTCACCGAACGATCTGAAGAAAGATCCAAAGGAGGCCCGGGAATCCCTCGCTGAAGAAGATGGTGCAGCACAAGAGAACCGTGGGAAAGCGTCTGAGAACAACACCGCGGATACCGGTAGCGGTTCGGCTCCAGACTCACCTGCCCCAAGTCAAGCACTCCAGCAAACACGCCGTTTCCACCTCACTCGTCACCTTTCATCAGTGCTTAGTCCAAGCGCTTCTGGTGGGATTCGCAAACCCAAGAACTTCATTCGCCCCCCTCTCGCTACCTTTGTTGAAAGACACGCTCCCATCTTCAGCCACGAGCAGAATCCGCTGTATCGTCAAAAACCCGTTGATAAGGTGCTGGAAATCCAACGAGATGACGGGGCAAGGGTTTCAGAATCGGACGGAGTCACAGAACCGACCCTGGAAGACTTGAAGGCATCTAGGCGAAGCACGACGAGTACGTTTGTTCAGGCAGGCTCCCGAACAGCCAGGAACGGGACTTCTATCAGAGACCATCCAAGCACTTGGGATTTCGAATCTGATCAGCTTGCGGATGAATTGGCCGCCCTTGCGATGGAACTCGATCCGGACGTGCAGCAAGCGGCCGAAGTGGTGCTTCCTTCGCCACCTCCCTTAAAACCCCAGGATGTCATAATGACTGCTCGTACCCAAGAGGAGGAATATGTCTACGAAACTTATGTCCGGGTGGAGTACGATGCTCAGGTCCATGGTCCAGACACTACTACAAGTCTGCACTCCAATTATGGAATCCTCGTCATTGACGAAGAAGACGAGGACCTCTGGCAAAAATACATCGATAGTGACGACGACACTGATTGGGACGAAGAGGACTCAAATGGTAAGCAACCAAGATATTCGTAACCTTGACATTCTGACTCTGGACAGCTGAGGATAATCCCGCAAATGACTACCCGGAAGAAGAAGTCAGTTCAGACGATGAGTACGGGTATAACCCGTACAAATATCGTACCTATGGATCTGACCAAGAGGACTTCGGCGATGATCATGCTTTTCGATAAAGACTGGCGACCGTTCCTGGAACCCGTATCAATCAATAATGCAACCGCGAAACCCAGATCACCGCCGACGAGGACACTAAGCCGCCCCGGTCTACTCATTACCACACGAAACCACCAATCCTGAATCCTAGAATGACTTGTCACGGGAATTTGGAGACCACCCCATCAATACCAACCATGATTGTCATCACGATGTGACGCTGGGCAATATTTCTCCCACTCATATCTTGTTCTCCTGGGAATAAATCTCGTAAGTCGGATTTCGGCAGCCATCTTCTGTGGCAAAGCACGGCAGAGGAGGTCTCAATTGATCCTCTGGTCGCATCCAGGCAAATCGCTCGGCGGTTCTGTCCACCACTCCAAACCTGCCGACACGGTCTCCTCGATATCTACGTCCGGATTTTGCTTGTTCTCTCACTTTTTCGACTTTTGCTTCGTGGAGAATGCGATAGAATTTGCATTGGAGTCCAGATTTCTTTCTGACTTCGCCGAACTGACGGAGGAACTCTCTTTCGACGTCGTCCCAGGCTTCCTTCAGGTCTGTTCGGTGATACCAAATGAAATATCGTTGCTCATCCGTGTATTTCTTGCAGCCCCGGCGAGGACGTCTGCGTTTTCGTCCCGCGATCAATGACTCCCAAGAGCTAGCGGACGTGGCCTCGCTTGGACAATAGTCGGTGAAGTCTCTGCTGTCCGTGCCATCGTCTATTGACTGGAGGTCGTTGGGTTGGCTTTTCTGGTCGTCGGTCTTTTGGTCCTCGTCTTGACTATCGTTCAAGACTGATGCAATGCTCATTTTATCGAGCCTACCACGGACTTTCTGTTCCCCGTGGTCATGATCGCGGGGAGAACAAGACATTTGGACTGTGCTTTCAGTCCAGGGGAACCAGGCAGATTGATCAGACCTGGGAAAGTGAGATGGAATCGATGAGGAGGGGAGAGACATGATCCTTCTGTTTTGAGGAGAGGAGCACAAGGAACGCAGCAGAATCCATGGCGGTCAACGCAGCGACCTTAATAGGCCCTCAAGTCGACCCGACAGAGTGGTTCACGCCAGCGTGATGCATACAACTTGTATTTCTAAGGTATTGCCAGGAGTCTGCGACGTACAGCAATCCAGGCTGGACGGCCATGCGCCAGACTAAGCCTAAAGATGGACGGCCTCTGACCCTGAGGAGTAGGAAGTCCGAACAGTCTACCCGACAGATCAGGGATCTGGTGTACACCAATATGAACGTAACAGTATTTCGGACCGGCGCCTCTCAATCACCAGGTTCCATTTTTTGTGGCCTTGTAAGGCAGTCCAGCACGAAGTCTCCACAATTTACGAGCAATACGACGAAGACGACTTCAAAACTTACCTGATAAGCCGGTTCTTTCGCGGCACTGGAGAGTGTTGTGCATCTCTTTCCAATGGGCATGTCCTTATTCTCGACTATCCCGGCTTCAGTCTCGCGGTGATTGTGGAGCAGCAAAGCACGGGCCATGAGGTCAATATCTCGTAAAGGCTAATCAATCAGAGCAGAAAGCTACCCTGCACAGTGCTCTAGGAGCCGGAAACCCCTAGCTTGTTACACAAACAAACAATGTCGCGATTATCTCTGCCTAGCGTCTCTGCCGAAGAGGACGACGGTGGCAGTGTCTCTGCAGCTGCTGTTGGATCCGAAAAATCGAGTGTGGACGACAGGTCACATTGGGCTTTAGAGAGCTAATAGACCCTGGTCCGGGAGCAGGGAGGCTAGCATCCGCAACCGACAGTCGCGTCGCTCTGATTGCATGAATGGAACACATTAGATGCGGCAGCCTCCTGGACATGTGCCGACTCCACTCAACCAACTTGACTGCTCGCATTGCATCTAGGTCATCTGCTCTTCATCCTCAGCGAGTTCCCCAGATTGGGACCACAAGGACCGCGCATGCAGAATGATGACGATCTTCTCTGAATCTCGCTTGCCGTATGGTTGATCGCTTTGGACAAGGCCACGAATATCAGAGTGTTCCCAGACGATGAAAGCCAGGTCGATATCGACAGAACATCATTGATGGGGGCTGGTGTCTGCTATGGCATTCCCTTGTTCGAGGCCAGATGGTATTTCGCTCCGCTTCAGTACTCTTGGTTTCGGGCTTGACTAGATTGTGGAGGCTAGCATGGGGTCCTGACGGCGACTTTTCGCCTTGCAGACGCAACCCCCTCACTTTTATCTGTGCCACGGATCATTTCGAGGTCTGACGCCGTCGATCTGAGTTTTGAGAGTTGGTCCAAGCGCTTGTTCAATGTCAGAAGAGGGGCCCTTCCCAATCGCCATGAGGATATGGCTTCTACATCCTCGTTGCGGTTCAGCCAGTGAAACAGCTTCATTGAGCGGAAAACTAGTCACGCCTCGAGAGACCAACCAACGAGCTGGATTTATGACATGGGAGGGAATGAAGCGCTAGCTCAACACCAGTATGTCGATATTGGTACAGCTTGGGGCGAGCATAGTGCGGAATCCGAGCTTTGCCGCCCACCGATCTGGCTCAGAAACCTCGCCTCGGTCGTTGCATCTTTCTGCATCTTGTCAGGGATTTTATTGTTTGGGGCTCGGGATATGCTGGGCCATCGCTCGCTCTGCCCGAACATATCAAGTTTTCGTCTGCAACCCTGCATCTTTTGACTTTGTCCTCGTCACCATTACTGTCGTATGCCAAGGTCAGCAAGGGGTGTTGACAGGATTGGGACCCGCAGCTGAAGGAGTACTTTTGTTGCTCCTCACCTCTCTTTCAATTTTGAGGGTGGCGTGGCTAGCCTAGGTTGTGATGGTTACCCGCTCATCTCTCCACGCGACCTGATTTGGCGAATGCTCAAATATCGCATGCCAGGTTGACCAGCTGGAAAGCCATGCTCCCGGCCTTTCTGCCTGGCCCAGAAACTCCCTTGGCCTTCCATGACTGAATGTGTCGGCTGGAGTCTGGCTCTCCCACGCCATTGAAAGAATCGCACCCAAGCAGGAGATTGGGTTTCAACCGTTGACTTTGTTCAGAGGTCAAGTTCGGAGCCCGGCAACCCGATCCTCAGGCTGTACCCACAGACCATGATACACAGTTGCCAACAGAGGAATGGCATTGGTTACCAGACTTACGAGCGCTTAGCTTCACGCACTGCCTCCTGCACTATCTGCTGGTACCCAATGATATGGAATGCAAGGGATATTTTGACACCACAGACGACTGGAACAAGGCAAGGATTTGTTCACACTCCACCCTCTACACTCCAACTGGAGGTTTCTGAGTTGGCGACCTCTTCAGGCAAGTGTTCCTTCTTGGCTACTAGGGGGCCTTCTCAAGGCAGTCGGGCAGGAGGGACCATTGGATCCCTTCCCATCTCTACACCGCAACCAGCATTTCCTTCCGAGGCCAAGTGTAACTGATCAAGATCTGGCAAAACAGAGCAAACCATGTCTTGTGGGGGTTTTTTTCATGGCTGAATGATGCGAAGCGAATCGGTCAGGACGCCTCAAGAAAGACCTTGGCCTCCCGACCACCCCAGCTCATCCGCTTTGCGACACGCAGCTGACTGGACCTGCAAGCGGTATTATTCTCTGCTTGCTCAGTGGCATTGCCTCGAATTGGATTCGCTGAGATCTGGGCATCACCTATCCATCGGTATACGCCGCATGTGCAGCATCGAAGGAGCATGTGGCCGACTAACAACTACTGTTTCGTGCACATGGGATTCAATGAATGTCGAGACCGGGATCAAGTGCCGTGCTATGCCATTCTCCACAATTGGGGTTCTCTGAGCGAGGTACTACATGTCATGGCATGGAAGAGGATATGATAGCATGGCACTTTCATGTGATCCATGAACCGGGCGGCTGGCAGGACCCACCGACTTTTCCACAGATTAGTCCCTGAGCGGTAAGGGTATCTACCTACCTACCTACCCGGGGGTTGAAAGAGTCTGTGAGTATATCTCTCTGCCAGTTTATCAGTGTCTATGTACCTGTGTGAGTGTGCGACCATGTGAATGCGTGAGTGCGTGAGCGAATGAGCGGTCCCAGTAACGTTTTTCATCTACATAATTACCAAAGACCCCCAGCCTTGGCGCCCACCCCATCTTAGCCAGACACGCTTAAATTAGTGACTTTAGACTTGAGACTCGAGAAGGGCTGTCCACAGGCATATATTAATACTCAGCAACACGGCTCGACGGTTGGATGGACAAGACCATAAAAGAAATTGAATACCGTGTAACGTGAGCTACACGAGGCGATCAGTCTGTAGATTGATTGTGCGTTGTTGATGCTTGATTCTTGATTCTTTGTTTCCCTATTCTCTCACTTCTACAAGGTGTAATTACTCGGTATATTTCTTCTTTGTCTAGTAGTCACTCTACCAACTTGCCTGATCTACAGAAGTTTACTGACCGGGACACAATCATGCAGACGGCAATCAGGAAAGAAACAGCAAAGAAACAAAGAGACACACCATCACTTTTGATTGTATTGCTTTTTATTTTGTGTGTGGAATTCAACTTGCGCCGAAACCAACCCACTGTACAAAGATTGTCTCGCTCATAAAAGCTTTCTAAAAGTGGTCAATATGACCCACGCCTGAAAAGAAAAGACCATGCGGTTGGAAGAGTGTACGAGGTACTCCAGCCCACCACAGACGACATCCCAGAAGAGACGTCCTCGACAGGCACTCTCATTCCTATATGCCCCTTTTCTTGACGCCCTAGCCTCTGCCTCTTAACCGGTTCCCCATGCCCCATTGCTCTTTTCAGCATGCGTGTCCTCCAGCCTTGTTTGCCCATTCTCTGCGGATCTGCGCACGGCACAGAATGCATCACGCGAGATCCAAGGGAGCAGCAATCCAATAGCTGCAATGAATCTCTCTCATAGAATATAGAAACGTAAGGCGAATAAAGTGTGCGTGCAATAGGAAACACCAGATAGCCACCATAGATAGGTGACTATGATGCGACATCATTCCATACTAGGTTCAAGAAACTCCTCTTTTGCGCTCGCCGGGTATCATGGAAGTTGCCCCTTTCCGATATGTATTGCACAAGAATGTTATATGCTCGCCAAACTTGTCAAGTCTTTCGAAACGTATTGCACCAAATGAGATTCGTGAATTTGGACGATGATCAAAGGGATGAAACATGGCAACAAGGCATCAAGCAAGTTTCATCATCGAAGGGTGATCGGTCTTTTGGTGTGCAGATGAAGTTCTCTATCTCTGATGGAAGTTAGCACTAGAAACTAGGTTGGAAAGGGTTGCACATACCCGACGACCTCTTCCTCCAGAATGGACTGTCTGCATTGGTGGAGAGAAGAAAAACTGTTGTTGAGGATAATTGTACATGTTGGAAGGCATATTCTGCTGAAAGCTCTGTGGGGGAAAACCAGTCGAACCGATGACGGGACTCATTTGAGCCGAGAAAGAGAGAGGTGAGGATGATGGGTTCTGCAACGGTCGAAAAGGATCGACGGTCGTCGGCGGCGTTGCGTAGCCAGCATAGCCGTTGGGCATGTACCCGCTGTTGGAACGCTGAGGGGCTGCAGCTGGGAAATTCTGATATTGAGATTGTGGGGTCATTTGTTGGTATGGAAGCTGCGAATATTGCTGCTGCGACTGGAACCCGTTCATCGTGTAAGGTGCGAAACCGAACGAGTCGGCCGAGCCCGTCCGAATTGGACTCATGCCATTCTCGAAAGCGCCACCGTTGGGGACGAAGGTGCCACTGTACTGCCGCTGAGGAAAATTGGGCTGTTGCGGTCCCGTCATAGGGACATGTTGCGGCTGAGCCATTGGCCTGGCACGATCGTTCAGGTTTGGGTGCCCATGAGAGGGGAATTGTTGCATAACAGGTTGGCTAGGCCTCGATGACAACCCAACTTCGTCCATGATCCGCTTGTATCCTTGGTTCGGCTGAGCCTTGATCTTGGTGAGAATTTTGGAAACATTTTGGACCACCTCTGGTCTCATGTGATCGTCAAGGAAAGGTGTGGTCAGAATCTTGAAAATCAGCGTCACACCAGAGGTTTGGTCGCACAGAATCTGTTCGAGCACATTGTCATTTGGGCTGAAAAATAGGGCGTTCAGAACGAGATCACGAGCCTCTGGTTCATTTCGTTGATTGATGACCTTGAGCACGGTGAGATAGGCCACCTTATGCGTGCAAAGTTGCACGAGGTGGGGGATCAGTCTGGGGGCAAGGACTGAGCGCCGACGAGGAAACGTGCAGGTGTCGAGGAGCCAGGTCAACAGCAGTGCCCCATTGGCATTCTGGGCAAGCTGCACACTGTGCAAAGCAATAGCCGCTGCCATCATGCGCTGCTGGTTCTTTGTAGCATGATGAGCCTCCAAGCAAGCGCGCATTGCCCGGGCCCCAAAACGTCCTTGGGCAATTTCCCATAGTTGGCTAAGCATGGTCTCGAAGATGTAGTCATTGTACGGTGGTCCAAAACGAAGACAGCACTGAAGAACATAGTTGCCATATTGGTCGAGGAATAGGGGGATAGTGTAGGGGCGAAGCGAGTCGACAATCAATCGAGTTTGTGTTTCGGTCTTGCACACTTCGATGATTTTCTGCGCAGCCCAGGTTCCATTCTTGTGCACTCCGATCTCAGCAAGATGGGGTGCGATGCAGGTCAGCATTTGTTCTTTGGTTTGCTCAGAGCAGTATTCAAACAGCTTCTGGACCACGGTGTTCCCAAGATAGTCCGAAGACAACTCTGCAATCTCAGGCAACATGTCGATAGCAATCTGTTCAATCTCTTGCAAGCCACAGGCTCCGTTATCAATCCGCTTGCGTATGTCCCGGAGCCTAGGAGCATCATACATTCTTGTAGAACTCGGTTCTGGGATAGGAGGGATCTCTTTCTCTAGACGAGTGTAGTGAATGGCACTCTCGATATTTGCAGCGATGGTCGGTAAATCCGACTGTTGCCCACCAAAATCGAGAATGATTTGCAATATGTCCGGCTGCAGTTCCGCTAGGCGGTCAGGAGCTGGCATACTCAGCGTTTGCTGCATGTTTGTAGAACCAGCTGGGCTGCCAGTAGTGTCCTGAGCTTGCGATGCCCCTGCCTCAATATTTCCGTTCGAGCCAGGGGGAGGTGTGGCATTCGGCACCGGGGTCAAGGAGACGGACGCATTCGGAGCCTTTGCAAACCCGATTCTAACGGGGCCGGCGCCGGGGAAGATTTCTTTTCCGTTGAGGAGTTGTCTCGCGCGGACGGCATGCTCGACCGATTCGAAGTTGACGAAACCGCAGTTTTTGTGAGTGAGTACCCTGGTTGACTCAATCGGGCCATACCGGTTGAAGATGGCATCCAGCGAGGACATTGTTGTGGAATTCGGGATTGAGCCTATCCAAAGGGACCGAGAGACCTGGACTTCTGATTCATCCATTCCTTCGTATGATAAGTTCACGTTTTCCACGATGGACATATTCTGCAGAGTGTCCGCAAGAGCGGCCTGGTCCATTGCATTCGATCCCGGCATATCAAACACCATACCAAGCTTGTCTGCTGGTTGCTGTGACAAATTACGAAGTGACGTACGTTGAGGTGTTTCGACAAGGCCGGCAGTTCGAGCTCGCGGGCGTGCAGCACTGGCATTCACCGCAAATGCCTGAACCGCCTGATTATGCAGACGGACCTTCTCCTGGACCAACTCATACTCGGCTTCCAGGGCGGCTGCTGCTGAGGGTGTCAATGACCCGCTAGCGAACAACGGAAAGTTACTGTTCCCTTCTTGAGCCTCGGTGGCATATTTGGATTGTGTGTTCACAGAGAAGGATCTGAATCGACTGGAATTACGCATTCCAAAGCCAGCCAATACATCGGACAAACTGGGGTCCTGGCCATGAGCAGAATCATCTGCGACTTGGCGAAGGCCGTCAGATTTCGAGTGATGAGGTGGTTCGGCCAGACCAAGATAGTCAAGTGTGCGGACCCCAGAGTCAGACATGCCGTCCTTGGAGTATCCAGACGGTTGAGGGGATGTGGGATCTTCAGCAGAACTGATACTTGTCAGAGTAGCTGCCCGAGTCCTTGTCCCCCAGCTCGAACTAAAAGCATTCTGACCAAAGGGGCCAGAAGGACCAAGCAGACTTGACCGCTGAGGCATGCTTCCGGCACGAAGCCTGGATAGAAAGGCTGAAGTTCCGGGGTTGGCTTGGTTAGAGGCTGTCGAATAGAACGCGGTTTCGGCTGCGGAGGTGGAACCGGGTCGGAATGGACTCGTGGAAGGAGTTGGACGAGAAGTCTTTGAGGTTATGACATTCACTCCATTAATCGTACCGACTGGGGATATTCTGGAGGGCAAGGTGCCAGCTCGTCCGCGTCGCGCGGGACTATTTATCCCAGTCTCGGTGAGAGGCACCAAATCTGGGAAACCATCCTGGCTGGGGGATTCCGGGATCTCAAACAGTGGGGTTGAAGTACCACTTGTTGGAGGACCCCAGATATTAGGGGTTAAAGAGGTCTGAGACTGTAATTCCCGTGTACGCTTTGGAAACAGCCGAGAAGCCTGTTCGTGAAGAGGAGAGCCAGCTCCTACTCTTGCATTGGAAAGTCCTGCCAGTCCCGAGGAAGATTTTGAACCGCCAAAAGGAGATTTGCTGGTAGGAACCGAGGAAGGCTCGCTGATAGGAGTCAACCCGGAGAGGTTTATATTGAGTTGCCCCTCAGGCCGTGTGACGGTGGGAGGAGCCATCGTTGAGGTCTTATAAGTTATGTTGTAGATTCTAAAGACCACAGGGACTCAATGCCGCAGACCCCAATATGTAGTCGGCCTTCTTTGGTCTAGGACCACTTTTCAACGACAAAGATATCGTGGAGGCGATATCGTATGCTCGTTTTTCCTGCTTCTTGGTAATGTCCAGAATGTGTAAGGATGCCTTCGGCAACCTGCGGGCGGGTGCGTATAGCTCCCAGATGTTTTTAAACGCAAGACTCGGTTCCAGAAAGGCAGTGACCGACTGACGAACAAATGACTCTGTATGCGGAATAGAAGTCAAGGCGAGGTAAGATCGTGATTTCGAGAACAGGTTCGGGATCGCAGGATATTACTTTAGAAGCTTTTTGGGATCGTAATCGGGGAAGGAGAGACAGTCGGTGGCCGTATTAACACAAGTGATGGAATAGAGAGAATCGAACGAAGCAGCTCTCCAGGGCTGAAGGGGGCATTAGAGGAAAGCCGAAGGTGACAAGAAGCAGAGAAGAAGTAAGGTGAAGCAGCAGCAGGATGGCGGTGGTGGTGGATGAATTAGGGGGCAGAGGACATGCTAATAGGTAAGGTGAGGTTTGGGGCAGATCGGGAACAGGGTTGATGGGTTGCGCAGACGCAAATACAGTTACAGAGAGACACCACGTCAACGGCTGGGCGTCCTAGGTGGTTCGTTAAGTTGGTGATAGGCTCTGAGCCACGGGCCACAGGCCACAAGCCATGGAAGGAAAAAGTACGGGGAAGGGCAGCAACCATCAGGATCCGCTAACGAGCGGTCGAGCCCTAATTAATCACCCGATCTGTTCTCACCCAGTTCTGCCGGACTGGACGGCACCCTTCTAAGCCTAGTTTAGCTGTAGGTGAGCCACCAGAGTCCTCTGAAGAATTTTCGGAGCCCTGTGTCACCCCCATTTATGTAAGAGGCCAGGCCCAACCTAGTGACGGAACTCCTTGCTGTGCCTGCCAAGCAATGGGTCCCAGATCAACCACTGCGAGTTACTCGTATCGCACATCATTTTTCTCCCACTACAACAAGTACTCTGAACTCAGTTATCAGACCGCAACACGAAAAAGAGGGAGCATGTGGGTATGGTCCCTCCCAAGATGATTTCAACACTCAAAGAGCCTATTGTATGTATGCTTGCGTGTTGACCCGCATTTCAAAACCACCGAGCTGATCCCGGAGTCGGCCATGAAACACCCTCTGTCTGTCCACCATGCTCAGTCAATTTTACATCCACCATCCTGGACCCCCAGACCCTTGGGACGAAAGGTGTGACTGACGAATGCCCCCTTGCCCTCAAGCTCGACGTAAGCTTCCAAGCTTCCCAGCACAAGCTCCTTGCTGGGTGGACGCTTATGCTCCAGCCACTTGGCCGTTCGATTCGTACCTGTTCGACCCTGTTGGCGTTGAAAGACAACATGAAACACTGGTGCCCGGGACCCCCAACCAACCATCCAGCTTCAGCTCTGGTCATCCACCTTTTGAGTTCGGCACTGCAAAGCATGTCGCTAGCTGGGCCTGAGCGCCTGTGTGCCCTGAAAAAGCATCCGTGCTTCCATCTTTTGCGGGGATTATACTGGTTCGAACCCGAAATACCCCTGAAGGCTGCATAATGCGGATTCCTCGCATTCCTGGGCTTAGGCAACCATCAAATAATAGGTCAGCGACAGCTTCTGCTTCTTATGCCACTATTAATACTATACCTCCTACCCTATATCACACTGAGCGCGCCTATGAACCATGCTTTCACAGTTTGGCCCCGTGCCGAATCCATGCTGATGATCACGTGTCATTCTCCCGATGTTGGACTATCTAATTACAAAAGCATTTCTTTGAGGAGTTGGCTGGATCGGCCCGTATGAGGGTGCAGCTCCGGAGAGCATGTGGCCGGGCTTGGGCTGTGGCGAGGCAATGCCAACATTATGCATGCTAAGCTGGTGGTAACTGGCCTCATCGGCTGAGCCGACATTATGCGCGTCGAAAAGGTCGATACTTAATAGATCTCCTGACGAACATTGACATATAACATTGTAGGATGAGAAGCAAGACCAGGCAATGTTGGACCATTCTTGCGATTGCCCCTTTTTCTCTCAAAGAGTTTTGGAATTCCCAATTCTTTGAAGCATTTCATGACTTCAGATCAGCCACCAGGTGTAGTAGAATTCCCATTCCTGGGTACCGTTCTTTGGAGCATGTCTCCATGGCCAGCGCAACAAGTGACACCAAAGAGAGTCTCTAGTGGACTTGACGGAAATGTCTTGAGAGCGGTGATCTGCAGCGCCTTGCCCTCATGGGAGCGGACCTGAAGTCAATCTGATAGAAGCAAGTATCATGACCGCTTGGCACATTAGCGACTGTGTGGGAAGTAAAGGTGTTACACGCGGCAGTTATGTTTTCGTTTCAGATGCAATGACGGGTTGACCTGATGACGACCGGAGAATGGCAGGTGCGAGGACTTGAACCAAGCGCAGAGACGATGGCTGATATAGGAGTGGTGACATTCAGTCCTGAACCACTGAGATCAGCTCCTGGTATCGCCAAATGTTCGACAGTTGTGGGGCTAAGAATAAGAGACGCAACGACGGCGGGGCGGAAATAGGCTCTACTTTGATTATAGATCAGCTACTCTGTAGATAATGCTATAGCCTGGATACCTTGGTGTAAGTAGTCGTGAAGGTGACCTGTGTTTTGCGCAGGTGGGAGGAGGGGTGGGATCACAGATCAAGCATAAACTCGTGGATCGACCTTTCACCAACATCGAGTCTGGCCAAAGTTCACGCCAAGATCGGCCTCAGAATGGGCCATCAACTGCGCTTTTCATGACTTCTGCTCAACCTCAACATCTAAAAGGTCACTTGTGATATCTCATTCATACCTCTACGACAACTTCGCTTGACTAACTTCCTCGGTCTTCTGCTGCGTTTCGCTTCTTGTCGAGTCCCATGTGCAAAGACAGTTTCTCTGCTCTCCAGTTCTCACACTCGTTGCCATCACCTTCACTTTCACCCTCATCCTCCGACCTTGACTTTCCCGCGACTCCAATCGGCGATGATCTCCTACAGCCAATATGAACGGCATCATCGAGCCTTTACCTGGCCTCCTTGATGATCCTCTATTTCAAATTCCTGATTTACCTGCCCTGACTGACTTTCAAATTGCCCCTCTACGAAATCCTGCTCCGAGCCGTCATGCAAATGTCCCTCTACCCCTCGAACCTGTGGCCGACAATAGCCTGGGTAATGGACGGACGAACAAAACTACTACACATCCTGTAGAAAGTCCGGAGAGGAGGAGGGCGCCATCAATAACTCCCAACGATGTTCTTCTTGCACGAGAGGCAAAAAGACCACATCTCGCTATCAGCGAGCTGCTGGAAGCCGACCATGGCCCGGACCCTACCCCAACATATCTGCCTTCATTCATCAGTCTGGCTGTGGTGGAAAACTCGCCTGTCCAAGCCCCCTCGTTTCTAGAACATCCTCAGTCTCTCAGGCATTTGAGATTGGACGCGGACAACGACCATGTTGCTCTTGACTGGGCCAGGCATCTTCCTCCCCCAGCTCAGAAAGAAAACCGTCACAACAGACCGACTCCGCTCCTCCCTGCTATGGTTACAGGATTGCATGAGCCTCCTCCCTCTGCAGCTCTCCTGCCATCCATTGACCTTGACTCTCTACATGCGACCGTCACAGCATTACACGAGCCTTCAGCTCTGTTACCATCGCTTGACTCTCGCCCAACACGTGCCACGATTACAGGACTGCATGAAACTCAGCCTGCTGCGCTGTTGCCGGCAGTCTATCCAGAGTCGATACACACCACGAGCACGAGGCAGCATGAACCCCGTCCCACTTCTGCGGCTCAGCCGCCACCGATTGATGTCGATTCGACACAAGGCACTACCCGGCTGGCACCAACAACAACATCGAGGATTCATGTCAGAGATATGCTCAGAGACTCCGTTGGGCCAGATCGTGAACCCAGTCTACCAGATCCCGAGCCCATTCAACCTGACACTGACCCTTACCCCCAAGAAGTTGACCCTTACCAGCAAGAGGCTGACCCCTACAATCCAGAAGCTGATCCTTATTACCAAGAATCTGACCATTACCGTCAAGAATCTGAGTCTTATCACCCGAGTCCTGAAGCCGATCAACCAGATATAGACCCGTCACCCGAACCCATTCCTCCTGGCCGCGTTATTGACACACGTATTACTTTTACCAGGGCCTTTCTAAGGACTGAAGAACTCTCCCCCGACGAGATCCGCCAACGCATTCCGAAGGTGATCCATCCCGTTTGGAAGGAGACAAACAAGAAGATCTTCAAGCGTCGCGCCAGGCGGAGATGGACTGATGCTGAAACCGCAGACCTCATGGCCGGCGTGAATAAATACGGCATCGGCCGATGGAAACAGATTCTAGACGATCCGGATTTTCACTTCAGGGATAGAAATTCCGTGGATTTGAAAGATCGGTACCGCGTTTGCATCAACGACAGGCCCTCAAAGTCCGAACCACACCTGGGAGTCGACAGTCCTATTGCAGAACCATCTCCATCCATTGAGATACTGGGAATACGACACTGTCGTGAAGTGGCGGAGCGACTGGCAGACCGCGGTCAGAGTTCGAAACAACGTCGTAAACGCCGTGCTTGGACAGACCTCGAGGATGAGAATCTTTTGGCAGGTGTTGCACGACATGGCTTCCAGTGGACCGCCATTCATGACGACCCGGACCTGGATCTGTCGCACAGGCGAGCCACCGACCTCCGAGACCGCATTCGAAATAAATTTCCAGATGGGTACAAGCACGCCGAGTCTGCGCCGTTAAGGTCAGAGGTCAGGAAGGCGGAGAGAGAAGCCCAAGCTGCAGAATCAACTACATTAGATACGGACGTCCCTGGGCAAGTGCCCAATACAACCAAGGTCTCCGCGAAGGGGCGACGGAAATCTGGGAAAGTGACGGTAGCAGATGAAAGTGTGACTACTTCAGCTCGAAGAAAACGCCGCTCGTTTCCACCAACTGCGTCGGCTTCCTCGGTGAACAGGCTAACGCGCGATGAGCTCGACCAAGACCGTGAAAATATGCAGGAGGAACACGAGAGAGAAAGAGAACGCGAAGGCGAAAATGAGCAACAACAATCCCTCATTACATTGCCCAGTTTGACACTCGATCTCGATGATATGGACTGGGAGGACAATAGGCTGCCACCGTTGCATGACGGGGATGAGGATGATATCAGCGACTAGCACCGGAAAGTGGCATGTGCATTGGAAGAATTGACAAGTGACAAGAAAGGAACCTCGAAGATTGACATCAGGCCTGAACAAATATTTTGGAGCAAGCATTATGGTATTGGCGGCACTGGACGGGACCGGGCATGGGAAGTTGCAGAAGGCGATACAACGCGGCTCAGGAAGCGACAGGACATCTGTGTTCTTGTGTTCCCGATTGTTTCCTTGGTTGATGGGCAATTGCGGGATGAAAAAAGAAAGGACAATGGGTTCATGGAATGGAAAGGGGACTGGTGAAGGTGCTATTATTTCGATTGTGATACCCCTTGGTTTTTGGTACTCGGACAGGGCGGGGATGGGAAATTTGGAGCGGCACGTAAGGCTCTGCCTGAACATATCTACATATTAGGTACATGCGTCCGTGTGTTATGTACTTTGATATCTTGGTAATGAATACTTACAGAGGCACCAGGGCCAGAGGCGGCCGTGTCTAAGAGGTATTCTTCTGTATTACTACTAGCGAGCCCGAGGTCGGAGAGCCTCTGCCTGCTCCAGCAGATCGGATACTTGTATAGAATCTACAATCTATGTGTATATTACAGATACTACTACTGCTGGAACACAACTGAGCAGTTGGTTTGTTGACTGACTGACTGACTACCTTAGCCACCCTCTCTTCTCGCTTTTCCCTTTGTTGAATTACTCCACGAATTCGCTTGAAGCTACTGGTCGAGTTGAGTCGAATCGGGCAGTGTCGATGAAAACACTTGTCTATCTATCTATTCTGCCGTCGACATGACATTTCGGTACCACAAACACGGGGTTTGAGGGAGGAGAGGCGGGAAAGAGCTGGAGCTAGTCGGGTCTGCTCGGTCTTCTTCGCCTTTTGGGCTCTGGCTCTAGCAGTACCTTCGTCCATATTTCGTTAGGATTGTCGCTTCATATACGGTGTAAGCAGGCAGGACGTAGCCAGTGATACATGGTTGGGACGGGATGGAGTCATGTTCAACCGCAAAACGGGAGAAGCAAAGGAGAGAGAGAGATGGAGATTTCAATGGGCACGTAGGTGCATGTATGGTCAGTCTGATTTTTCTGCTCCCGACTCCTCTCTCAGCTATCTTGACCTGGCCATTTGTGTCTTGCTTCTTCGGACAATGCGTATCACACGAATGAGGCATCCGGACGTCCTTTGTATGCGCCGGACTCTCCATGCGGGTGTAGACTTCTGGTGAGGTGCTTCGCTGTCGTAAGAGAGCCGAGAACTTTTCGATACGCTGCATTCCTGCCTGACCAACTCGCTCAGTGTGCTGCGAGGGTCTCGAAACTATACGCCGTCACCAGTACTCCATGGCAATCCCACTCCCCCATGCGTACGCTCAAACGAAAGAAACAAATACACAGAGTCGAATAATCCCTTCGGAGATTTGCTCGCGAAAAGCCTCGCTTCCAATTGTCATTTTGCTCGTCATCTCGTCTGACCATTCTGGCCATGTCGTTTCCTGAGGCAATATTTCATTTTACCAAGAAGTAGGCCTTTTCACCAAGCATTACGATCCCAGTTCGGATCTATTTTGTCTTCAGTCAGTCCAAGCTTGTACCACCATGGCGGTGTCAATTCCCTTACCTTGTATAAATGCCCCGAGAACCTTGCTCCCGGTCTGCAACAGCGGGTGTCCGACCACTATTTGTAGGAACCTCTGAAGCCCTTCCCTCCTGTGTTCAATCACATCATCCGAGAATCTGTTCGTGAATACTTTTCCAGGTAGTGGTGGGATTGTGACTCTGGCGCTTTCTCGCTCCAGGATATCTCGAAAGTACTCGAAGTCGGAGTATCGGCGGCGGACGACCGAGTGACGAAGTTTGAAGGCCGGAATGTTGGTACGGGTGTGGATTTCATAAGAGGTATACATGTTACGAGGAGAGGAACCGTGAGTTTGTGGATTTTTCACCTGTGAACGAGGGGGTCAGTCTTCATGGTCACTGAGGAAAAGTACTCCTGATTCTAAGATGGCGACTAGGAGAGCCCTTGCGGCGCATGAGAAATCGCAGAACGTACCTCAATCTCGAGGAAGTTTTCTGGAGGGCCGTAGATCTCCTCGAAAGTTTGTTGGCGAGACTCTGGTAGGGCTTGCATGGCTGCGGGGTTGAAGAGGACGCAGGCAGCTGAACAGGGTGATCGGTCGCGTGCACTTTGGACACAAGGTAAAGGCGATTTGAAGGCACTCTTAACTCTGTAGGGCGCTGATAAAAACAATTCAGTCAATAGAGCTGAGGACGGGTATGTGAGGTTAGCCGTTGGACTGATTTAGGGCGTCACCCAGCGTATCTTGGGTGTCCGTCGAGAAGATTCCTGCAAAGCCGCACCTGACTTTTGCCGCTTTCCCAATCGGGCCACCCCGCATCCTCCTGCGCCAAGGCCCGTTGAGTGGGTCTCAAATTTCGCTGCAGGGGAGCCAGTGATTTTTTATATTTTTATATTTTTATATTTTTCCTCACTGTTGATCAGGAACGACTGTAAACACACCCCAGATCCTAACAATGGGGACTGACACGGCGTCCAAAAAAAGGAAAAGAGAAGTCGACGTCGAGCTTGTCAAAGTCTACGAGGACCTGGCCGACAACCAGGAGGAAGTCCGTCTCGCTGCGGCCCATACGTTGCTGTCCAAAATCTACAAGCCTGGGATCACGAGCCATGAGCAGACCCTGACTATTTTGAAACGGCTCTTCCGTGGACTTTGCAGCAGTCGCAAATCTGCGCGTCTCGGATTTTCTGTCGCCTTGACCGAACTTCTTTCTCAGCTTACAACTGCCGCGGCCGATTCGTCCGAAAGTGTTGTTTCCCCATCGGTTGTCATTGATATCCTTGAAGCCCAGACCTTGCCAGAGAAGGGTACTTCTGGCCAGGACGAGCGTGACCACTATTTCGGGAGAGTTTTTGGTGCTGATGCCGTTTTGAAATCGAAAATCCTTTTCGGCAAGAAAGCGGATCAAAATCAATTCAAGCGCCTGCTCGACATTATTTGTGCTTTAGCAATTAAGAAGCCGTGGCTCCGTCAGGAATGCGGCTGGGTCCTCTACAATTGCACGTTGTACGATTACTACGAGCTGCCACTACCCTTCTCTCTACTCATCTGTGAACAGCTGGCTGCGAACAAGCTGATACGTACACCAGAGGGCGTGGCAATCTGGTTGGCGACAACTAGGCGCTTCCCTAATGCGAAATTGCCCAAGTCGGCTTGGAAGAGCGGTCATCCACTGGCGAAGAAAGACGTGAATATCCTTGCCGATATCCTCAAAGATGCGAGGATCGAACGAGCGGAGGCAGATGGCGATCTGAAATCCCAAGGCACTGCGAGATGGTCTGCCAAGCTGCATTTTGCCTGGGATGTTGTGCTTGCTGAAATCTTCGGAAATACGTCGAAACGGCCTGAGAATGGGAGTGATGTGAATAGTAGCATTCGGAACAAGGATAAACTACCCTTCGACCTGTTCTGGAAAGTTGTTGTGGATGAAAGTCTTTTCGCACCTGCAAGCAGCGCGGAGCGGAAATCCTGGGGTTTCAGTCTATGGGAAAAGATCTTCGAAACAGCCCCCCGAGAACTATTGAACTACACCTTTACATCGCGAGCGAGTCATTGTTTGGCCAATTCCCTCAAGAGCACCGAAAGATTTCTCCAAAGGTCGGCTCTAAGATTAACCCAGGTCATTCAGGCTTGCTTGACCAATGTTGAGCCCTGGGATCAACGCGCCAACCTCGCCGGAATTTACGTTCGGGCACTGTTACAAAGTGTCTCTTTCGGCGACTTTGACCATATCACCAAGTCCAAAACTCTACAAAATCTGTTCGAAGGAGCAACCTGGGATGTGTTAGAGGGCATCAGTTCTGCTTTGACCGACCTTCTGACTAGCTCTCATGAGCAGGACACGAAGTCGACACTTTTGCAACAGAAAGGGCTTGTAAATCTGCAGTGGAAGCTACTCTCAGCAAGGCTCCGCCGCTGGGAACAGCTCCAAATATCACAAGTTGACACCATCGACGACAAGGAGAAGGCACTTATCTCCGGAGTACTTCAGTTATGGCTCAGAGAAGTCTGCATATCGCCAACTTGGGCGAGCTCGCAGAACCTCAACCGTGATATGTGGCCGAAACTGCTGCCAGAGGTTCGTGACTTTGTAAAGGAGCGTCTGAGCTTGTCCTTTGAGCAAGCCCTCAAACTTGGGCCTCTGGGATGTTGGTTGTTGAAGCATGTGATCCTCCACATTCGCGAGTTGGAGGTCCTCGACATCCAGATGACTGCTGCCTTTGAGGACGACGTTAAGGCTATCGTGGAGACAGCGTGGCAAAGCTTGGCAGATATTCCGATTAATACTCAGACAGTCTCGACAGCCAGCCGAGCCGCAGCAAAGGCATCGAAGACATCGAAAACGCCCACACGAACGGCACTGTCGTCATCTGAGGGATTGTGTCTGCTCTATGCCTTATTGCTATTCCAAATCTACAGCGGAGAGATAGAGGCTGTGCAGATCTTACAGGAAGTGCTTGAAAACTGGGGTCGACGGAAAGATAATCAGAAAAGCAAGGTTCCGACTGACAGTGGACAAGAGTCTGCCGACGCGATCATGGAGATTCTCCTCAGCTTCTTATCAAAGCCGTCCAAGTTCTTGAGGCGTATCACTGTCCAGATCTTTGATGCTTTTGCCCCCTCTATTACCGCCACTGGCCTGGAATCCATGTGCCGCATTCTTGAAACCAAAGAAAACCTTCGGGGACAACAAGAAATGTTCGAAGCCGGAGATATTGGGGATGAAGGCGAGGAGCACCTTGCCTCCGACTCTGAAATGGAAGACCTAGATTCGGACGTCGAAGTCGGTTTTGTTTCGGAGTCTGGCGAATCTTCCGAAAAGGAGGATTCTGCTTCGACATCGACATCCGATGATTCTGCGGAAACTTCAGATGCCGAATCTGCAGACTCTCAGGAGTCAGCGGACGATGAGGCCGAAGATGAGGAGCTTGCGGCGTTCGATGCACTGCTTGCATCTGCGCTTGGCACAAGACGGCTCAATGAAGGCGATCTCAACGCTGCGTCAGATAATTCTGAATCCTCTTCCGACGCAGATATGGATGACGATGAAATGATGCAACTGGATTCCAAGCTCGCAGAAGTCTTTCGTGCGCGAAGTGAACAACAGTCAAAGAACAAAAAAAACGAAGCGAAAGAGGCAAAGGAGACCATTGTCAATTTCAAGAATCGCGTGCTCGACCTTATCGACTCGTATCTAAAGCACCAGGCACAAAAACCACTGAGCTTGGACTTGATACTTCCTCTTCTCAGGCTTGTGAGAACCACGCCAACCAAGCAACTGGCCAACCGTGCTTGTAGCATTCTGCAGCAGTTCTGCTCACGGTGCAAAGGACCCAATGCCCCCGAGCTACTGGACGACTCTTCCCGCGAGCATGCCATTGAGATCCTTAAGTTGATCCACGAGGAAGCGGGCATGGAGTCGTCACATGCGCACTCCAACGCAGCAAGTCTGTCGAGTATTCTTGTTGCAAAGGCTCTCGTAAGAGCCAGTCCATCCGATATCAAAATAGTTGTGGAGATATACGCGTCGACAAGATTAAGGCAACTAACGGACAAGAAATGCAGAATTGTGTCGGGCTTCTTCACCGATTGGAACAATTGGTGCCAAAGTATCAGAGCGAAGCTAGTGGAGTGATATGGGGCTGGTCATCCATAAAGAAGATAGCAGCATCAAGCACAAACGATCGAATAGCGAGAAACATCTTTCCAAACTTGTCATGCTGGAAATCCATCCGTGCCTTTTCAGAAGCAATACAAGACCTCGTCGGCTGCTCGGCTGCGTGTGGAAAGCGTATCTACAAGGCTTAAGTTTACCATGGCCATGCCGACAACGTGTCGGATGTTGCGGCTGGGATTTTCCTGCAATCGAGACCAATTTGAGTGTGACTGGGGCCTGTAAGCCATGCAGGGATCTAAATCAGGCCTTTTATGAATCGATCGACCATGGGCCTGGCTCATCTTGCATCGGGGTGTTTCCTGGTGTTGTCAATCAAACATTCGCTAGGGATATGAAGCGTGGATGAGGTGATGAGTAAGGCTCCCACCTTCTCAGGCTGCCAAGGACCTTGGCAGAACTAATCCCAATTTAGCAAAAGGTCGAAATTAATACGAGCCTCGGGGTTGATTACGAAATACTCGGGCACTCCCTCTCTTCACCCATTCACCCACTCTCCTACTCACCCTACCAAACTACTTGTCAATCGAAACAGGACCGACAATCGAAGACAAGATGCTCAAAATGTGGGAGTCTGAGTGAATTCCGCTGCTTGGTGCGTTGACCATTGGATGCCATCAGTTCCAAGCTCCATGACGCGACTCCAATCGTGTGGGTTTCAGCCTTGTCCGAGATGTGTCCCAATCTGGTATCTCATGCTCGCTGAGGCTATGGCTTACTGATGCATATGAATCTCCCCCACTCTGTCAAGGCCCTAGGCTGTGCCTGTGCCATATTCTATTCCATTTGTTCTTCTTCAGCACCTTTTGTCCCGATGTTCACCTGATACTTGCTCGAGCCTTTCCCGCTGTGTGGTTCTGCTCGAACGCGTTTTCTGTGTCTCGTCCTTTGTTTACTTGCTGCGTGTCACTGAACTGCAGGCCAGGGGCCCCGAACAGGGACTGTAGCATCTTGGATTTACTGGATTCTATCTTATTGCGATGCTGAAGTGATCCTCCTTCTGCTTCGGCCTTTCACCTAGAAAGAATCTAACCCTTCCATTACCCTGCTTTGGGATTCTTCACCATCTTCACATCGGCAACATGGCAAACTCAAAGCCACCCTCAATGCTGAAGAGGCTTAACGACAAGCTGGGGTTGAAGATCAATCTCCCAACCGTATTGTTGATGTTCAAGTAAGTGGTTGACTCGTGGCGGGGATAATGCTACCAGGTTGATTACACGATGTGTTGCACCACGGCAACCTGCCTACACTCTCGTTCCGAAGCGTTGGGTCCCATGCTGATGGTTCTGTACTAGAGGAGCTGTTGCACCTACAATCGGCCTCGCTATGTACGTTGCCCTGAGGGAAAATAACGTCGATAAGAACTCACACCCGCCAGATATCAAGATACCAGTGTCGCAGACCATTATTCGACAATCGGCTACCTGATCCCGATCATGTCACTCTTCGTCGTTCCCATCCTGCCCAGAGCCAGATTTCTGCAGAATTTCTTCGTCACTTGTGTACGGTGTCAAACTTGCTCTTCTCGAGATCTGTGGAGCTCACTGTTACTAGTTTTTAACTTGCTTCGCTGCAGCAATATCTCTTCTCTACATGTGGACGGCGATCAAAGCTCGCAAAAACACAACACATATCTCCGCGGAGCAGCGGAGCAATGGACCGGTACCGGGAGCCCAAATCGTGCCCTACAACGCTGCGGCGAGCGCATGCCTTGCTGTGTGGTTCTTCTTCTGGCTCTGGGCTTACAACACGTATGTGCTCCCTTCATCAGCTGTCCCCAGATCAATGTGGCGGTGCTGATATCCTAGCTAGCTTTCGCGCTTTCCGACCGCAATATTTCCTACCTTTGATCGTATTTGGTATATATATCAACATTACGGCTGTATATGGAGCCATATTCCCGGAAATGGAACAAGTGTACTCTTTGAGTATGTATCGGTATCCTCTCAGGAGGACATCCACTGACTCTGTGGGGTCTTAAAGCTAGGCGACTCCTCGATACGTTCTTCGTCGGTTTCGGGCTTGCATTCGCCGTCCATTTTCTGGTGCTACCGATCACATCACGAGATCTGGCAACAATGATCCTTACGGAATATCTCCACGTCCTCAAAAACGTCATTGATGCTAAAGGAGCTCTGCTCATCTCTTTGCCGTCTCGCGACTGGAATAATGCGAGCAGAACGAGCAGCTCGGGAAGCGACAGTGATGGTGAATCAACCGAACGGTTGACCTCCTGGCCCGAAGCTGATAAGTGGAGAGCACTCACGGCGGCGGCGAGCGAATGCCAGGTCAAGATGCAGTCAGAGATGCGCTATGTTAAACGTGAGGTTACATTTGGGAAACTGTCTGGCAAGGATTACTCGTGCATCACAAAACTGCTGAGGAACATATTGATACCGATTGCCGGCCTTGAAACTGTGATTCAGGTCAACGACCGCGTTGAAAAGCAGGGAGGATGGACGTCGATCAAGTCTTCAAAAGACGGTTCGAATTCAGCATTAAACGAGGCGGAGAGGGAACGATGGAGTTGGCTATTTGGCCAGGTCGACGGGGCCTTCAAACTACTGTGGAAGGCAATGATCGAGGGTCTCGACTACGCATTCTTCACCCTGCAAATCACTAAGAAGCCAGCATTCACGACCAAAGAGGAGCTTGAGGCGAAAGCAGCCGAGTCTCCGGACGGAAAAGGCTTTGCAAAGTACCTTGAAGACACAATCAACAAGTTCTTGGCTGAGCGAGAAGAGCCTCTGAAAGAGTGGTGTCGCATGAACGAACCCGACGAGACCAGTGGTCACTCGGGTAGTCGATCTTCACACATGCGGCATTCGTCCCAATTATACCTTCTCCTTGATGTACGTATCACCCAGTCATACTGATTTACGCTGACCTCTCAAGCTCGAGTACTGCATCGTACAAACCGCAATGGGAATCCTCGACCTGGTTCGGTTCGCGGATGCGAAAGTTGCAGACGGCACAATGAGAAAGAAACGGCTGATAACTCCTACGGGAAAACAGTGGAAGAAGTGGGCGTGGGCAGTCATCAGCCGCGAAGACAGCAATCTGGACTACACCACCTACAGCTATCGAAGCGGCACCCCTACCGTGTACCTAGGCGATGCTCTGGGGGTGAACCGAGATCCTGAACACCTTCCCCCGGTGACCTGGTGGGAAAAGCTGACTGACTACTTCCGCCTGATCCCTAGGCTCTTCGGCTCCAAGGAATCATGGTTCGGTTTCAGGGTGGCTGTGGGAACTATGATCATCGCGGTCACGGCGTTTTTGCGAAACTCGCAGGAATTCTACATCAAGCAGCGCATCATCTGGGGCGCAATCATGGTTGCCATCAGCATGACCCAGACGGCGGGCTCAGGCATGTATGGGCAATTCGTCAGGATTTTCGGCACGTTCCTGGCCATGGTACTCTCGTACATCGACTGGTACATCGTCGACGGGCACACAGCCGGGGTCATCGTCTTTCTGGGCCTGACCGTGTTCCTCTATCACTATCTCATGGTGACGAAACCGAACGACCCTGTCATCCCCATGATCGGAATGATCACTGTCATCCTGATCGTGGCGTACGAGCTTCAAGTCAAGCAAGTTGGCAAGGCCATTTCCGAATCAAACGGCCAAGTCTTTCATCCTGTTTACGAGCTGGCGCCCTACCGACTTGCCTGTGTGCTTGGTGGAGTGGGCGTCGCCTGCTTGCTCACGTACTTCCCGAGCGTGACCACGGCGAGGAGCGAGATGCGGAGAGACCTGGGCAATACCCTGTATTTGCTAGGACAATACTACAGCTCGTCGCACAAGTCGGTCTCGTTACGTCTGAAGGGGCTGGAAGGAGACGTCAAGGACAAGAGAAGTCCGCTTCGGAGGCTGGAGAAGGCCCGCACTCAGCTCTTTGCGAAGAATTTGATTCTCATCCAAGCCATGAAGAACCATCTCAAGTTCATCAAGTGGGAACCGACCTTTGGAGGTAGGTTTCCCCGGGAACTGTATGAGCGGATGCTCGCGCACACAGAGAAGTAAGTCCATCGTTAGCCATGGAGAGCCCCTCGAATAGTGCCAGCAGCGCTAACTTGTCATCCTCCGCCCAGCATCCTTCGCTTCACAGCAATGATCGCCTGGACGACCAAAACCTTCAAAGAGGTTCCCGAATCGGTCGGCCACCTCGGGGCGTCCAACCCCGCCGCCGACACGGACGAGAGAGGCACCTGGCTCAAGGACTTTACTCAGCTCATCTCGTCGCTCCAACTGACGTCCCACAGTGTCACGACACTGCTGGCCATCATCTCCGGGTCCATCGGCTCCGGCAAGCCTCTCCCGCCCTACTTGCAGCCGCCCGAGCGGTTCCACATCGGCGAGATGCTCACCTCGCTCGACTCGAGCATCCTCGACACCAAGCACGTCTGCGAACCGGGCTACTCGGCCTTTGCCGTCATGCAGGTCTGCACGACCATGCTCAACGAGGACCTGGCCGATCTGTTGGCCGAGACGAAGAAGCTCGTCGGCGAGGCTGAATGTAATCTCGACGTGGTCCAGGAGGATTACGAGCGGGATATCGGCATGGTTCCCCGCGAGATCCGGGAGAAGGCGGATTAAAAAAAACTGTCTGGAGGTGAGAGAGATGAGGAAGAGGGGGAGCGACGGAGGGAGAGAGGAAAAGGACTTGGAGGTGATCGTCCTAGAGAGACACTGCCGCTGGGAACTGTTCTACGACACGAGCTGTCTCTATCTCTCTGTGTGTGTTGCAACGCCCAGAGTCACTGAGCCTGGAATTGCATTGGTAAGGGAAGTCAAGGTTTTACATCACATCATATATTTTTATGTTATATGTTCCATGTGGCGAGGCATCGAGCCCGTCTAATAAAAGAGCACATTGGTTATGGATAGACAATCACAAGGTTCGATTGAACATTATGTACTCTGATCGTTTCTGGCGTGCCATAAATGGATGTCCTGATGTCCTTGTCGAAGCTCCAGATGTATATATAGCGTGTATATACATAGACTCTGGACTATACTTTCTCCGCTACTGTTTTCGTTCACTCAGGGAGTGAGGCCGTTTTGATCTAGCACCGCGTGAGCAACTACGGTAGATATCGATCTACCTAGCGGTGCTTAAGGGCAGACGATATATAGAATGGGTGCCTTACTGAGCACACCATCCTCTCAAGGTGCCCAAGGCTCTTGAGTCTCGGAAGATGTATAAGCCTGAGATAGCCAAAGTATTGTCGACACGGTTCCAACCTACATAAGCTTCATCCCTTGCACCGACCGTGACTCGTATCTGTAGATTATCGATCGATCGACCTAGGTCGGTGGCTGCCACTGGAGAATTTCTTCTTTGACCCTCTCATTAAACCGTTTCATGGCGGAATCCATGGAGTCCGACATGTCGTTAGTCTCATCCCACTGAGGGACGTGGTTGAATGTGTGCCCGCTGTCGCACAGCCGCCCGTGACTTCCAGGTTTCACACGAGTTGCGTAACACGCCTAGTCGAGCAGAACTACTCCTCGCATCCGAGAAGCATCCTTTTCTTATATTTCGAGTCTTGTTGCTACTGGACGCAAAGGGATACTTATGACTACGGAATCTATCTATTGCTCAGTACTACCTATCTCCAATAAGGCATCCTTGATAGTGGGTTTCTCGGTCTCGGCTTAGAGCCAATTGACTTAGGAGGTTAGGCCGAGGATTAATGGCGACACTCAGACACGCTGTGTACGGCCCCGTTTGGTTCATCAACCTTCTGACCGCTTGGGGTTCAAGATGTACCTTTAAGCGATGTTCTACTTGTATGCTCTCGATGCCTGGATGGGGGATAGCTAGAATTAAGGTACCGACTTCTCCATAAAGCTTAACAGTTAGTACGCTACGACGGAGAGCTTACTCAACGCCTTGGTGAAAAGATGTTCCCTGTCCCGTGGCGGATTCTATACCACCCGTCTCGCCGTCTTCGATGGAGGGCTGTAGCCGAACTTTGATGGGTTCGATGGTTTACCTCATACGGTTGCTTGAGCGCGTCAGCCAGGCACCGTCGGTCCCCTAGTGTCGTGCTTACTCAGATGCTGCGCTAAGTTCTGCCGGCACTTCTGGCGCCATTCGGCCCAATGTACGTTTCCGCGTCTCCGAATAGGGCCCACCTCCATTTCGATAGGCTTAGAGCCTCATTAGGCCGAACAGTTCGAGTGGCTGCCCCTGGCTTTAGTATCTGGTTTCGCACCTTGTTTTCCACATCAGTAACCACAATCCATCATGGTAAAGAACAATAGATGACTGCTTTAGCCTGGAAATAGACCAGACTAACCGACATCCCGGCGTGGTGAAATGGGCGGGCAGTACTTCGACTTCGTCCACCTTGGGACTACCCACAAAGCAGGCGATCAATGATCCATGTAAAAGTCATAGCGCTGTTGCCCATACCATCTTTGTTTTAAAATTACGCGACATTGACTTTGTTGACGCTCAGTTTCGTCAGCCAGGTGAAAAAGTGCAAAAACTGACTCCTGCCTATGGGGAGCACAGTACCGGTTCGCCTAGCTTTTCAGCATGGTAGGAACTGATTATTTCCGTCTATAAATCGTACTGCAAATTATCATACTCGTAGCTACCACTTGGGTGCCACTGTCCACGATAAGTGCTACCATAACCCGCCACAGAGGACCCGGGCAGCCTGGTCGGGTACTTCCACACTGATCGACAAATAGCCGAGGACCGACCCGAGGACGGCGGGGCGTAAATACCCCCTTACCTACTGTTGTGGCTCAAAGTCGCTGCCACGTGGCTGGCGGCGTCTTGCCGCCTTGACTACCCTATTTATACTACGGAGTTACGGAGTACTAGAATACGATGTGTCCTTCAATTAGTGGTTGCTTTTTCGTAGACACTGTGCAGGCTGAGCGCCACACCACGGCTTGACCAGCAGCTGAATTGTCGTCATCCTCTGATTTGACTGTCCTACCTTCGGCTTCACACCACCTCAACTTATGCCCCCTGCGGCCACTCAGCTCGGTCGCTGGCAAAATCCACCAGATTCCATGAAGCCTCGTACCGTATTTTGCAGCCCAGAGCGTTGCCTGCATTGTTGGCCTGGATAACACTTTGCCGCCGCCCAGTATTCCTCACTGCCTTCTCGCTCTCTCAACCATCTCCCTTGTCTGTTGCAGTCTCACCCCTACGTCTCTTCTCTTACATTTGCTTGATGTGCTGATACAGCCGGACCAATATCTCGTGTTGGACTATCTCTTGCCTGATCATCGCGCATCTTGAGGCTCGGGATCTACCCTCAGCCGCATCTCTTAGCTTTTTCTGTCCTCCCAAGGCCTTCTGTGAATCTTAGAAGAACCTTCGCATATTTGCTTAGAGCTGCTTGCTTAGAGCTACCCGAAAGCGCCAGCACGTCTATCTCTCCATTCTCGGGAAAGAACTACACAACGCATAACAACGCAATCCCAATCCGACTCTACCTACGGTCGCTAAACCTCCGTCTTACGACCCCTTCCATAATGTCCATCCGCACCGTTCAAGACTACAAAATTGGCTGGATATGTGCGCTAAACATCGAACTGACCGCCGCCATAGCCATGTTGGACGAAGAATATGAGATGATGGCCGGACATGACCCGCAGGACCATAATTCTTACGTGTTGGGGCGTATTCATCAGAATAACGTGGTGATTGCGTGCATGCCCGAAGGAGTGGATGGGTTAGTGCCGGCGGCCAATGTAGCCAAGGACATGGTGAGAACGTTCCCCGCGCTTCGAGTCGGCTTAATGGTGGGCATTGGCGGTGGGATCCCCGATCTCTCCAAGGGAATCGACATTCGCCTGGGAGATGTTGTGGTCAGTAAACCAGAGAAAACTTGGGGAGGTGTGGTCCAATATGACAAGGGTAAAGCCGAGGACGGAGGGGAATTCGTGGTCAAGGGGCAGCTGAACCAGCCACCAGCTCTCCTATTGAAAACACTCGCTCAACTCCGAGCACGACATGCTATGCACCCCAGTAAGGTATCGGATTATATTACCGAAGCGATCGAACGAAATCCTATGATGGAGGAGACCGGCTTCACTATTCCGAGCGAGGCTGATTGCTTCTACTGCCGTGTCTGCCATAGGGATATTGAGAGCCCAGTAGGTGACTGCGAAGGCTTGCACACCAAGCGAAAGCAGCGGAAAAATAGCAGGCCAGTGGCTCACTATGGAATCATCGCGTCAGGAAACCAGGTGGTGGAGGATGCAGTAGTGCGCGACCGACTGCGGAATCAATTTAATGCCTTCTGTGTCGAAATGGAGGCGGCAGGGCTGATGAACGAGTTTCCGTGTCTTGTGATCCGCGGCATTTGCGATTACGCCGATTTGCACAAGAACGACGCATGGCACCGGTATGCTGCGATGACCGCTGCAGCGTACGCCAAAGAATTTCTTCAATACATTTCGCCAGCGCAGGCCAGTCAAGAACAGCCTATCAAGGACGTACCAGGTGAGTGAGGCTACAACAGGAGGAAGGAGCCCTGCCACACAGTAATGATGTTCCATCCCTGCTCCAAACCCATGATGCCAAAGCGGCGACTCTATCTAGGCCCCTTAGCACGACCTGTTTCTATCTCATTTTCGTTCTGCCGGTAACCGAGGAAATTCTGACCACGGCATGTCAAGGTTTACTTAATGAGATCCGCCTTACCTCAAACGCCCAACTCGAGGCCACCAAAGCGCAGACCCGGCAAAGTAAAACCCAATATGAAAGCGAATACCACCACCGATGCCACCGGACGTTCAAAATCAGCCCGTATGAGACACAGAAGGATATTAATCCTGAGCAGGTAGCTGGCACTTGTCAATGGGTATTGTCTCACCCTCAATACCAGCAATGGCTCGGCAAAACCCATGATGACCTCCTCTGGATCTCGGCAGATCCGGGCTGCGGCAAGTCGGTCCTCGCTAAATCGCTCGTTGATATAGAGCTACGAAATACTAACAACCATACGGTATGCTATTTCTTCTTTAAAGACAACGAGGAGCAAGATCATATGTCGACGGCTCTATGCGCTATCCTCCATCAGCTATTCTCTCACCAGCCGGTGCTCATTCGACATGCCGTTCCAGTCTGGGAGAAGAACGGCGATAAACTCGTGAAGGAGGAGGCCGAGCTATGGCGTGTGCTAATTACCGCGGCGAGAGATGAGCAGGCTCACGACGTGACGTGCGTTTTAGATGCGCTGGACGAATGTCGAGATAAAGACCGTGGGAGGCTGATCGAGATGCTTTCCAGCTTTCATTTCCAGGCATCGACCGCTTCGTCCACAAGAAGGCAAGGACGACTGAAATTTCTCGTGACCAGTCGGCCCTATGATGACATCCAAGCGGTCTTCCAAAAGACACTAGTCAATCTGCCTACGATCCGTCTACGGGGAGAAGAGGAGAATGACCAAATTCACCAAGAAATTGACTTGGTCATTAAAATGCGAGTGGGAAAACTAGCAACAGACTTAAAATTGGATGGCGATACAAAGGATCAACTGCAGACCCAACTTCTAGGGATGGAGCATCGCACGTACTTATGGCTGTATCTCGCGATTGAGAGTATATACCAGACTTTCCGTGACTGTATGCGACTTGAAGAAGCGTCAATTGAGTTACTCCCGTCGACAGTGGAAGACGCATACGAGAAGATTTTAGCCCGAGTTTCTCAGAAGCAAAGAGGCAACGTCAAAAAAATCCTCCAGATTGTGGTTGGTTCACGGCGGCCACTCCACGTCGAAGAGATGGCCATCGCTCTCGGAATAGCCACGTCAACGCACCCGCAGTCCCTATACAAGGCCAAACTCGATCCTATCAGGCTATTGGATAATATTCGTCAGTGGTGCGGTCTTTTCGTCTTCATTAATCACGATCGAATATACCTGATTCACCAGACAGCTAAGGAGTTTTTAGTCAGTGGAAGCGGCGGTACTACCTTGCTATCTAGGTGGAGGCATTGCCTTGATCCGCGAGGGATTGAGAGAGACATGGTTCGAATATGCGTGGAATTTCTGTCCTTTGACGATGTTGCAGCAACCGTACAGTCCCTTATCCCCCGAGTCCAAGATTCCGCAAAACTTGACGGCCTTTTAGAGGAAAACAATCATATCCAAAGCCTTCTGGTCTACACGGCAGAATACTGGCCATCCCATCTACGACACGCATACTTACGTCAAGATGACCCCTTAGTATCTCTAATTCTAAGGTTATATCAGGTCAACAGTAGGTTCCACTACATCTGGTTCCCAATATTCTGGAGGACGACGAGGCCATACACCTACCTTCCAGAGATGAGTCCGATACGACTTGGGGGGCTGCTCGGCCATGAGTCCATATTGAAATTGATATTCCAGCAGAAAGAAAATTGCGATATCGATGAACCGGATAGTAACGGTCGGACAGCACTAATCTGGGCAAGTGAGTATGGTCACGAGAAGGTAGTGCAGATACTCCTCGACGCGGGTGCGGACATTAACGCCCAAGACAAATGGTATACTACTGCACTCCAAGCAGCATCAAAAGGTGGTCACGAGAAGACAGTGCAGATACTTCTCGACGCGGGTGCGGATGTTAACGCCCAAGGAGTATACATGAATGCGCTTCAAGCAGCATCAAAAGGTGGTCACGAGAAGACAGTGCAGATACTTCTCGACGCGGGTGCGGATGTTAACGCCCAAGGAGGAAAGTTTCGCACCGCACTTCAAGCAGCATCAGAAAGAGGTCACGAGAAGATAGTGCAGATCCTTCTTGATGCGGGTGCGGATATTAACGCCCAAGGAGGACCGTATAATACTGCACTTCAAGCAGCGTCATATCATGGCGAGAAAGGGGTACAGATACTCCTTAACAAGGGCGCGGATGTCAATGCTCAAGGAGGATACGCTGGTAGTCCGCTCTCTGCAGCATCATTTTCTAGCAACGAGACGGTGGTGCAAATGCTCCTTGACGCTGGAGCTGATGTTAATGCTCAAGGAGGAGAACTCGGTAATGCACTTCAAGCAGCAGTATCGTCAGAGGATAGTGACGAGACGGTGGTGCAGATACTCCTCGATGCTGGACCTGATGTTAACGCTCAAGGGGGATTCTATGGTAATGCGCTTGAAGCAGCATCTTATCATGGCAACGAGACGGTGGTGCAGATACTCCTCGACGCTGGAGCGGATGTTAACGCTCCAGGGAGACACTATGGTAATGCGCTTGAAGCAGCATTAAAAGGCGGTCACGAGAAGGCGGTGCGGATGCTACGTGAGAAGATGCCATAAAATTAAACAAGGTTTTAGTATGATCCACTATATACAGTATTGAAAACTAGAAGTCTCTACAAGATTAATTAATAACAAAGGCTTCGAGCCACGGCAGTTGTACCCTCCTATATCTAGAGGGTTGTGGTTTGCGACCAACTGAACTGGGGCGAGGCTCTTAGCTAGAGGCATCAACTCATACGGCGGTGGGCATGGTGGTGAGGGTAACGGCTATCGCACAGTAATGGCAAAACAATATAGAGAGTCCTGATCACATAGATTCCATGACTTGATTGATCACTGTTCTCGACTCATTGATTGACTTGTTGTACAGAGGGATAGATCCTGTTGAAGGATCAAGGAAAAAGAGAGATCCAGCTAATCAGTGGCCAGGAGTGTCACCCTGTACAGTGTACAGGCAAATTCCACCGATCACGTTCCAGCCCGTAGACTCTCCCATTACAATACGTAAGAGCAGACCCGGTCGGACACGAGTCATTGATCCTCTGTGGTGAGAATTCTTTGCAGATCTCCAAAGACTGGAATGCAACACTCAGTATCTCCCCTAATTTCTCTGCAAGGAAGACTCACAGTCAAATTTTGTCATCAAGAGTTTTTATCCAGATTGATTCTCTGATGGTCACACGGGACCAAGCGCCTCAGACAGTCCCGTTGGCATTGGTGATGCTGAGTTCGAAAGAGGTTGCTGGGTGGTAAGTTGGTCTACCCGGTTGGTGTGAAGTGGTCGACCTTTCGAGAACTATCAGGTCCCGTCTTATCGTTGGCCTGACATAATAGTGTCTTGGCCGCTCTGCTATAACTCATGTGCCAGGAGCGGACTGGTGAGATCGTTCTGCCTGGCTCTGCGGCTTCTGCCCTATGACGGTATATCTGCCGTGGATAAGTACAGGACGTCAAAGGCGCATCGTGGATACTTACACGTCGTACATGGCGTGGATCTCCCTGTTTTTCAAGTCCTTGCGGACATCGACCAGCAGTGATTCCAGCTCATCTTGGGTCCATCCAAGGACGCCCAGGAACAGCCTCAAGCTAACAGCCTGTAGGCCCTCAAAGATCTGGGTCCAGTTGACCAAGCCCATCCGCTTCAGTCTCTTATCACGCGGCCAAGGACCAATGGGCACTGGAACCCTGACCGCCTGAACATTGACGAAGCCGGAATCCTTGACCCATTGCTCGAGATGCTTGCCGACGCGTAATGTTCTGCCGATTTTGCCAGCCGCCTGGTGGCACAGCGCGAGCCAGCGGCGGACCGCGTGCTCTTCGGTCAACGACCCGTCTTGAGAATAGTAGTTGAGGTCAAAATCTTGAAACTCGACCCAGCCGCCCGGTTTGAGATTGTCATAACACTGACGCATCAGCTTTGGCCAGTCTGCTATCGACCCGACCATGTACCGGCAGTGAATGAAGTCTGCCTGCTTACTGTATGTCCACTGGTCCTGGACATCGTCAATCTCGAACTGGACATTGGGCGGAACGATCTCGGACATGGTGGGACTGATGTCGACGCCAACCACCTCGGCTGAAGGATACGCATCGGCGAATTCAATGGCCCAGGTTCCCGTGCCGGCTCCGAGGTCGAGAACACGGCCGGGGTCAGACTTCAGCGGCGCCAGATGGAGTCGGTTCTGGTTGATGATCTTAAAGAGGGCGTGGGCTATATCGAGCCGCTCCAGTTCAGCCTGGTACATTCAACGAGTGAGTTGAATGTGAGGAAGCTTCAGGCACTGCATCACCCACCTCATCATTTGGTCGATGGTATGTCCCATCCTTGTAAGCGTGGTATCGTCTGCCATATTGCTCTTTATTTTGCAGCACGCTGGAACGCACAGACGCGGTCGTCTCGCCATCGTCCCTGATGGGATATGTTAGGTGCTGACTATCGATTGGCGGAGCAGATTGGCACTCACAGCTCTGTGACCCCTTCGTCTTCATCCAAGGCGATCTGCGCAGTTTCATCACTAGCCATATTGATCCGCGTCTTCAGGATGTCTTTGGACAGAGAGGATTTTGACGTCTGGTATAGCCCCCGCTGAGGTACTAGTAGTCGACGGGAGATGCGAGGTAAGTCCTCTTGTGAGCCATGTCAAAAATTCCTGCAAGTGTTATCACATCTGGCCCCCCCATCTGGACGTTCCACCCTCGCTTCCTTGGCGTGGGCTTCGAGATGTAGCCGGTACAGGTCGGATATTGCTCTTTCTGGTGCATCTGACCAAGTTTCGGCGTGTCATAGGCGTTGCGATATCGACAAAATACGACTGCGGAGTTGGGTGGGACGCATTAGCTGCGCGTGGGACTGCGGTGTGAACTGCCACCCGGCGGCAAGAAGCGCCTTGGTGGCCGCTTGATGTGGATAGACGAGGTCCTGGGGTGCCTGACGGCAGTGAATAGGAGCCATCCACGTTTGAAAGGGTCCTCTTCTCGTCTCACACTTGATCCCTCGATGTCATGCACGAGAACGAATGCGGCATCTGGCTTCTCCACGCCCACGCAGCAAGCGAGATGACAAGCTTTGAGCCACATCAGCCACGTCAAATCCTGCACAAACCACTTCCCCCCTCAAAAGTACGAGTACGGACGACCAGACTACTCCTCTGTACCTACATCACAGGTATGAACCGTCACCGGCAAGGGCGAGACGAGACGTGATGAGAAGGCCTGTCAGATCTTTAATACCCTGGCTGCGAAGAAACCCAACCACAACCCTTTCTCCAACACTCAGATATACATCCCATCATGACTTCCGCAACGCCCCTGAAGGTGATTGTGATAGGCGCAGGTACGTTTGAGAAGGTTTCTGACTCTGACCGCATGCTGGCTGGCTCATACTTTGTCCAGGATCTACTGGGCTACTGCTAGCACAGGCCCTGAAACAGGTATTGGACCACCGCGATTCATCACCCTTACCCCCATCCCATTCCCTATCCCGTGGGGATGTTCACAGCCCAGAGAGACCGACAATTGGTCATAGAATGGCATTGCATGCACCGTATACGAGCGAGAGGACCATAGCACCTACCAGAACCGCGCACGCGAGTGGGGTATGACCTTGCACTGGGGAGCAGAGTATCTGTCCAAGTGCATTCCGCCGGATATGGTCGCCCAAATCGACGAGAACATCTGCTGTGACCCGTTCTTCAAGGGCAAAATCTCATCGCTCCCCATCTACAATGGCGCCACGGGCGAGAAGCTCTTTGAAATGCAGGGCATGGACCCCAGGCGAGTATCACGAAAGAAGCTGAGGAAGTTCTTGAGCCAGGGGATCGACGTACAGGTAAGGGCTCCTAGAGCCTCTACTATTTGGGGCGGTGCTGATTTTGGCAATCCAGTACGGTAAGAGGTTGGCGTCTGTTTCTGTTTCCGGGGATACCTCGACAGCCGTCTTCGAAGACGGTTCAAGCACATCTGGGTCTCTCCTGGTGGGGTGCGATGGATCCCATTCGACGGTGCGCAAGTTCCTGGTGGGTGAAGAGTTGGCCAAGGAGGAGTACATGGACATCCAGATGTTCAACGTCAGCTGCACCTTCTCCAAAGAAACAGCAGAATACCTGCGGTCGATCCACCCGATCTTCAAGCACAGTTACCATCCAGGAGGCTTCACGTGGTGGAACTCGATCCAGGATGTCACGGATCCCGACAAGCCCGACACCTGGCTGTTTCAGAACCTGCTGTCCTGGCCCGGTGCCCCGAGGCCAGAGGACCTTCCGGACCAGGCATCCCGCCTCAAGTTCTGGCGCGACCAGATTCCCAAGTACGCTGAGCCGTTCGCCACCATTGGCAAGGAACTTCCGGACGACCTGGTCTTCCCCACGGACCGGACCGTAGTGTGGAAGCCCGACATGGACTGGTCGCAGTCGCCGCTGTGGCCGCGGGTCACCATCGCCGGCGACGCCGCGCACGCGATCCCGCCGTTCCGCGGCCAGGGACTGAACAACGCGCTGCAGGACGCGGCCAAGCTGATCGACGAGATCAGGGAGTGGCGTGCCGGCAACAAGACCTTGGGCGAGGCCATCGCCGACTACGAGAAGGAGATGAAGGAGCGCGCCCTGCTGGAGATGAAGATCTCGATCCTCCAGGCTGAGACCGTACACAATTGGGACAGGCTGATGGAAGCGCCGTTCATCAAGCACGGCATGAACAAGTACAAGGAGGAACATGGCGCGAATTAACATCGGTTTGCCTGACTGTAAGATCGGGAGGGCATGTATCTCTCTCTCTCTTTCTTGCTTTCTTGGTCAAGCACAACGAGGTAATGCTTTAGGTACATAGTAGGAGACTCGGACGATGTCAGATGTCAGCTATTAGATGCCAGATGGCCCCTGTCAGTTTTGCGCATATGATTATGTTTCCCTTTCATTTCCAACGGGAAAAAAAGGAGTTGGAAAACGTAGATATCGCCCAAAATCCATCCAGATGACGTGAAGGCTCTCTCGCTTGCTTGCTCGCTCGCTCGCCCGCTCGATACGACACTTCACCCCCCCAGCAAGACTGAAAAGATCAAACGGTCGCTCCCTCGCCGTACAGAATCTCCTCGACGTGCTCGGCAATGGCCAAGGCGCTGGTCAGGCCGGGCGACTCGATGCCCAGCAGATTGACGAAGCCGGGGAACCCGTCTTCCTCGGCGATGTAGAAGTCGACGAAGCCCTTGCCGTCTTTGCCGTAGGTGACGCTCGTGCCGGGGCCCAGCTTGGGCCGGATGCCGCAGTAGTCGAGGTCGATGGCGGAGGGGTCGATGGACGGGAGGTACGTCTTGATGACGTCGACGGCGGCCGCCAGGCGCGCCGGGTTGGGGGAGAGGTCGTGCGGCGAGTCGACCCATTCCACGTCCGGGCCGAAGCGGATCCGTCCCGCCATGTCGAGCGTCAGGTGTGTGCCTAGGCCGCCCAGGCCGGGGATCGGAGCTGGGTAGAGCAGCGTGCTGGGTCTCGGGCGCGATGCAGAGTACGAGAAGTAGCTGCCCTTGGCGTAGTAGGCCTTGCGGTGCCGCGCGGGCGGCAGCAGCATGTTGGAGACGTCCACGGCGGCCAGCCCCGCGCAGTTGACCAGCGTCTCGACCGTGATGGTGTCCTCGCCGCCTGTGCCGTCGCGCGATCGCGTCGTGATAGCGTAGCCGCCATCACCACTGGACGACGAGCTGCGCAGCGGCTCGATGTTCTCCACGACCGTGTGCAGCACTTCCTCTCCGCCACGCTCGTCAAAGGACCCCTCCAGATAGGCCATGAGGGCGTGCGAGTCGACGATGCCCGTCGTGGGGGATTCGAGTACCCCCGCCTCGGCGCGCACATCGGGTTCGCGGCTCTCAATGTCCGCGCGCGAGAGGAAGTGGGTAGGCACGTCGATGGAGCGACTGAAGTCGTGGAGCGCCTCGAGCTCGGCGAACTGCACCGCGTCCTGCGCGATGATCCACTTCTTGGTGCGCCGGTACGGGATTCTCTGTGCTTCGCACAACTCGTACAGCATCTGTCGGCCGCGTATGCAGAGCTTGGTCTTCAGCGAGTGCGGTCCGTAGTACAGCCCTGCGTGGATGACCTCGGAGTTGCGACTGCTCGTCTCGGTGCCCACGGCGCCGTGTCGCTCAATCAGGATTGTCGAAGTGCCTGTTCGCGAGGCCAGCTGGCGCGCAACCGCGAGCCCGACTGCTCCTGCTCCGATGACCTGCGGTCGTGGACATACAAATCAGCTTCTGTTGTAGAGACCAGATGGTCGCTTTGCACGTACGGCGTGAGTAAAGTCCACGTTAAGCGTTCTGGTGGTGGAGAATGCCCTTGTCCTGACAGCTTCACGGTGAAGCAGCTTGGCTGCAGCACGCGCTATAGAGATTGTCATGGTGGCTGCTCTTCTAGAGCGGAAGTCGGCGCTTTTACCCTTGTTGGCTCTGTTAGCATTAGTGTTTAGTTGGGTCAAAGTCAACTCACGACAATCTGCAGACAGCAGGCCACAAGCCTATTCACTGTGGCATTCCCCCGTGTTCACCTCACGAGACCATTTAGACTGGGACTTCGCTCAGTGACAGTTCACGTCCTCTGCGCCAATGGGGGAGGTGAAGGACACAAGAAGCTTATCAGAATTTGCGCGGAGACAATGTACTCCAGGAGGGGTGATTAGATCTCAGATAATTGTTCAACGTCCCAGCCAGGCTTAACCTATGACAATAACAATGTACTCGTAATAGATGACCTGATTGGAGAATATTAGATAGATACATGACATACAAGTCGAGAGCACAGTTGAAGTGAACGAAGTGAGAGAAAGAGGAATAGCGCCGGGCAATCGGCGAGAAGATGATCCGGACTAAATATCCGCAGTCAACACAGGGAATCCGAAGGTCAGCCTCACCAGTTCATACTTTTAGTTCGCTACAAAGTTGTAGTTGGAACGATGGCCCTCGAATGGATATGCACACCTAGGGTTTGGTTGAGCGATTCAGTCGCAGGGTAGAGATCTCATCGTCGCGGCGGACCCGTTCAAATAATGAAAGCTTTCGACGTTAATCAGCAAAACCAAAAGACGAGGCTCGGCGCCGATTGCTGGACCCACATCAATACATCCAACCAACCCGGATCTCCGGTTTCCCATCACTTTCCAGCCGAATTTTCAGCCTCGTCGTGGTCACCCAGCGAAGTAGGCCTGGATACCTGGAGGAGGCAGTCTACCGAGGGCAGTGTCGTCCAGAGGAAATGGGTACACACGATATGGTCTTGTATACAGTAATATCCGAGATGAGTAAGAAGCATAGCAACGAATGGACATCAACAAACAAGACAAGACCAGAACCCAATCAGCAGGGGATATGGCCTTCATTGGACCTCTATAGGCATGTTTGTATATGGCGCGCTATTGATCAAAGAAAGAGGGTCTAGCAGGACTCAAGTTTCCACTGACTTCAAGCCACTCACCCATTCATTAGTGGCCATTCTGGCCGTTCTGACCATTCTGACCATTCTGACCGCTGTGGCCGTTTTGGCCGTGACCATTCGCCTGTTTGGTCCCGAGTTGTCGCTCGCGACGGCTTTCGCTCGCGGGATCGAAAAAGGCTATAGGTAGTGTCCCATTCCACTCCCCTACCCTCCAGGGGAGAGGGAAGAGGACGAAATTGTCAGCGTGGAGGAACTGGGAACTAGGGGAAAAGTCCAAACTTACGCTTCTCGCCAAACACCGTCGTCCGGATGCCTCTCCTGGGACTATCGTACGTCCCTGGAATGACGCGGTGCGCGGTACATCTGCCGTTGATAGCATGAGGCGGTCGCAGGTCAGCCGTCGGATCTGTGAATCGATCAAGGGGCGCGAGGCTTGGTTCTGATTTGCGTACCTGTTGTCCCACATGGCCACACTGCCCACGGCCCATTTCCAGCGTACGTAGTGGTCGTCGGCGGAATGCAGGTGGTATTCGAAGAACTCGAGCAGTTTGTCTGTTTTGAGAGGTGCAGGTCACACCATATGGTTAGCGATGGAGTAGACTTGAAACAACTAAACATCCCGCGCGCAAGACGAGCAGGGACAAGCCAGGGGAGAAGGGCGTTGTAAAAGATCCACATGGAGAGACCATCCATACCTGACTCCTTCTTGTTGAGTTCTGCGAAGCCCGTGACGAAGCCCGGATTCACGTTCAGCGCTTTCAGCCCAGTCACCGGGTGGGTGCGGACGGCTGGGTGGTGCGTATCGATGGGCGGACGGTTTGGGCCGACACCCCAGAGGTCAAGGATTGTGTCGTCTGTAGAAACGTCATGGTAAGTTCTGCCAGGACTCAAACGGGGAAGGGGACTGACATTGAAGCCGCGACGTGTGGACGGCGTGCAGTCCTTCGACAAACTTTTGCAAGGCTTTGCTCAAGGCGTCGTATGTACCGTACTGCGAGATCTGTGCTCTCGGTATTAGTATACACTCTCCTCTCGTGGTACATTGTAGACAAGGCTGTTTGACGTACCCATGCAGTGTCGCCTCCAACTTCAGGGTGCTCTTCCATCCGCAAAAGAGAGTATGAGGGAGCTGTGACAACAAGTATCAGCTCTAGCCCAGATGCCCTAGCGAGCGAATTTGTGACCAGCAACGCGGAAATGAATGACGCACGGTTGATCTCAAAGGACGTGTCGGCATGCCAGTCTCCCTGAGGCTGTGGACCGTCAGTTCAATCCAATACGCGAAGCAGGGCGGTGTTGCGCACCCAGGGAGTATATTTCAATATCTCACGGTGGTCCTCCTGACTCCCTTTGATCACCACATGCTAGAATCTCTTAGCTAACAACAGCCTTTGTCGACCTGCGTGAAGGGAGCTAGCTACCTTTTGAGTCTGGGTGCATCTCGATCAGCAACACTTCTTGCGAAAGTGGTGTCTTCAACTCAGTCATAACAAGATTGGACATACCTTCTGAGCCGGATGTCGATCAAGAGTTCCTATTAGCCGCACCCCCTCAGTGCCCGTGAACACTTCAGAGAATTGGACCGGCAGTCACTGGAAGAGTTTACCATAATGCTCAAAAAGCTTGTACTGTCCCTCGGTCGTGAGGTCCTGGTTGCGGAAAAACACCACGCCCCTCTCCGTGACGAGCAGGGCGAGTTCGTCGAGCTGTTTCTCGTCCAACTGCGAGAGCTGGACGTTTTCCAGCAGCGTGCCGATAGATTCGGTCAGGTCCACGCGCTTCGCCACCGCGAAGAGGGCTTTCTTCTCGGGATCGGCAAACAGCGCGCGGTCCTTTTCCGGTTTGATCTCCTCGCGCAGAGGCTCTGGCGGAACCCAGTCTTTGATCTTTGCGTTGAACCCTGGGTGCAAAGTGACGGGGAATCCCGAGTCAGGGGAAACGAATTTGCGGGCTTCGAGGTGTGCCATCGCAGCGGAGGAGATATCTGAATGGTGCTATCTATACAGAGGGACGAGAGGTTCAAAAGAATCTTTCAGGAGAACTCCCTGGGAGAGGAATAAAGGCAGCACTAGCAACGATTGAGATAAAACAAAGGTAACCTCTCGATAAACAGACGAATTCTCACCAGGCGCAAAGCAGCTTGTCATCTATCGCAATCAGTCACTTCGCCATGAATCCCCTCATTGCGTGATAGGACTATGCCAGCAATCATTGGGGAAGCGGCACATGCCTCTGATCTCCACGTGGCCGTTCACCTTGTGCTGTAAAGGCATGTAGATTCCAATTGGAGGGAATCTTGGATGGCGCAACCCCAGGAAGCGATCGCGTCAATCCGAGACTGGGTAAACTTGACATTGACATCGTGTTCATGATGTGTTTTTATATTGTCATTGCAAATCGATATTGGATCTCGGGGAAGAGATAAAGGCTTTGTATTCAGCAGACGCGTTTGGTAGAATTGCTTGCGAAGGGCGCGAAGTGATATGCAAGGCTGGAAATGACGGCCTTGTCTCCCCTAGATCAAATCCGAGACTGACTTGGGCGAGTTGGCTTGATCATCTTCTCCAGCATGAAGTGTTAGAACAGCTCACCTCGATTCTCCCTCTATACCAGTCACAGGGACTCTATCAAGTCAAGGAGTCAACAACCAAGGATCCAATCATTCTCTTCAAGTCTGACGAAAAAGGGAATTCAGGACATGAAATTTGGTAAACTATCCCTAATAGGAATATTCACGTAGGCTCCTGAATAGGGATAGTAACTACTAAAGAGATCTAGCGTCTCTTGCTACTAATTCCCTCAATTCACTAAGTACCTCGTACGGAAGTCATATTCTGCATATCTTGGTATTTAGGTGACTGCGACACAATGGAAAGAGGTAGTAGGGAATGTTCTCTGATCTGCGGGCCACTGCGCATCATTAGTGTCTGCATCAAGTACTCCTAGAGAAATGATAAAGTACCCAGAGAGGAATATTCGACCAGCTTGTAGAAAATGTGTCGGCTTTAAAAAAAATAACAGATCAATCCCAGAGAAAGTCTGGATAGGCTCTATTCGTCCATGGACTCGGCAAATACGTATCCTATACACGTAGTCCGTCTCCATCTGCTATTAAGAACGCTGGCTATCCAAGCTCGTTCGCATTCCTGGCTAACTATGTACAACCACTAATACTGTTTCTCCCATGTTAAGCCACCACACATTTGGTGCCCATGGGCCGGCCTTATTCAAAACCGCCATATCTCTACAGTCGCAACGAGGGAGCGACTTGATTAACCTAGTTCACAGGGACGAGGCTGTGCTTCTCCGACACGAGCCGTGGAATATTCGTCGGCTGTATATGCACAGACCCTCCGACGTTGACCAGCCCGAGCAACAAAGTCTATCGCTGAAATGCAAAACGTCAACAAACCAATGCTTTATGGTCGCTCAGAAAAGACCAGCTTGCAATGATCCTGCCATCAATGTCAGCGATATAAATGGTTCAATAACAGCGATTGACTCACCTGAGGGAAAATGGTAGCAAAGACCTCAATATCCTCACTGATGGGAGTGGGCTCATGCTCCCAGTCCAGCAAGATGCTAGCCTTTCCAATCATCGCCATCAAGTTCAGCTGAGCGTAAGTCTGCCCCAAACAGTAATGAGGCCCCGTGCCAAAGACCAGCCAATTCTTGACCTGCTTGTCGGCATCTCCAGTGATCCATCTCTCAGGTTCGAAGCTGTCTGGGTTGGGGTATGCTTCAGGATCGTGGGTGGCAGGCCAGATTGACGGAATAATCATGGAACCTTTCTTGAGAGTATAGCCTTCAGTTACGGGGAAATCCTTTTTGGCGACATAGGGCACCAAAATGACTGGAGGACGATACCGCAACGTCTCCTTGACCACCGCTCTCGTCCAGACCATCGACTCCAGCATATCCATGTCAAAGGGCTTGTTGCGGTCGCCACCACGAAGACGGAGGTTTTCCTCTCGGACCTTGTCCAGGATCTCTGGTCGATCAGCCATAATCTGGAACAGCCAAGTGCAAGCGCTCGAGGTGGCGTCTTGCGACGCAAAGAGGAAGGTAAAGACGGTTTGTGATATTTCAAAGTCCGTAAATTCGCGAAGTAACTGGGGTGGTTTCTCGGAATCGTCCACCTTCTCGCCTCGTTCGATGCGTTCTCGATATTTGGCTGAATCCTGTATCTGCTTGACCCATGCGTCCAGAATGCATGTAATGGTACCGCCGGCAGCCATTCGCACTTTGGATTTGGCTGCACACTTTGCAAATTCGACCAGGACCATGTCTGCAGCCTTCTTTCCGTACCAGGTCTTGGTGTAGGGGATGATGATGGGGAAATTGACGAGTTCCAACGCAGCGGTGATCAGATAGTAGTCATGGGCAATCTTCTTGACCACTTTCTCGCTCATGTAGTGTCCAACAAAGGTTCTGCACGATACGGCGCACATGAGTTCGCGGAACACGGGCATCCAGGGCGTGGCTTTCATGTTGTTTTCCTTGGACATCTCCAGGAAAGTCTTGAAATACTTGCTGTAGACCTCCTCTTGACCGGGCAAATACATCTCCAACGCTTGACGCGTGAACAGTCCGTTCAAGCCCTTGCGGTACTCGACGTGGGCCTTTCCATCCAAAAAGACCCAGTTTGTGGGGCGAAGGAGTTTGGGCGCGACATCGACGACGGTGGGTTTGACGAAGCCTGGCGAATTGAAAACCTTTCGTGCCATATCACGGGTTCCCGCAATGACAACGAATCTGGCAAGACATAACGATTAGCACCCCAGGCCGGTGTTGCGAGCAAAGCGCCAATTCTGCATACTTGTGGAAAACCGACACGCAGCTCAGCTCTGCACTTTCCCATTTCTCTTTGTACTTCCTAAAGTCCGGTCGCATCGATTCAAGAAAGGGGCCGATGAAGGGCATTTTCCACGCAGGGCCGACGATGCCATGTTTGCGCCATTGGTAGCTACCTGTACGACTGGTCAACACCCCGCCTCAAACCGCATTCACTGTGACCATGGCGCTCACATTGATCGTAGGTAGCCAATAATAGGATAATTGTCAAGACAACAGTCCAAGGATTGAGCTGCGCCCATACTCTGCCCAAGACACCAGAGGCATGGGCCGCCTGAAGCGTCAGATCTGCATCGGCGAGAGGAGAAGCAAAGCTCGTAGCATTTGCGAGGACGTCCATGGCGTATTGGCTCGGGGGTTGGTGTGAAGGGGGCCGCGGCAAACGGGTTGACTTGAGGACCCGATCGAATGGGGGCGCTGTGCCTTGCAGCTGGGCAAACGTCGTATCACGAGGGCGACGTGTCGACGACTTGCTCGTATAAATCCTCCTCTTCTGACACACAAATTATTCAGAGTGTGAGAGCGGACAACGACGACAACCACAACCACGAAGACCACCAAGATAAGAGAGGACGGGGGGTTGGTTGTTTCTAGGGCTTTATTTTTACGAGGTACAACCGGAAATTCCTGAGGGGGCATTGGCCTCTTCACCGCCAAATTTGGTCCATGAATTAGAATTGGCGAATTGGCTCCTTCCATTGGATGCCGGACCCGTTGTACGATTCAATCTCCCCCCGTCGGTTCATGAGTTTCCCGGATGGCGACACTGTTGGTCCTATCAGCCAATCACCCGCAGCTCATATAGACACGCTCAACCATCAGTCCACTATGAGTATGAATACCTCGTACTTGGTCCCATAGCAATAAATATATATCCACACTCCAAGCAATCATGTGAGATGTTCTATTCCACAACTACAATGCCACAGAGTCCAACTCTACGAACAGACCACGAATTAAAAGGGGAAGCTCAACGAGAGAGAGAAAAGAGAGAGCAGAGACGAGGGTTCCCGTACAGAAACACCTCGATACATCGTGTCCAGTATGCTCCATTCAGTATCCATACCATCCGTCGTTCCTACTCGTAGTAAGTCCAGCCCAATATGCAGAAAACAGTCATGCCATGCTTTTCTTCAGACCTCCAAACGCCCTGTCATACACCTGTCATTTCATGTTCTCTTTTGATCTAAGGAATGTCGAAAATCGGTTTGAGCTTCTTCAGCAATGCCCATTCATCTCGCGTCACCTCATCTCTGTAAAACTCCTTCAGCGTGTCGATCGACCTGCGCGAGATCAGAGAGTACAGCGTGTCCTTGTCTTCCAGCTGTCGTCCGTACATAGGCTGGTTGGGTCCTTCGATCTTGACTGCTACGGACGGCTGGCCCTTCTTGCAGATCGGGATCGCCTTGTGTTCACGCTCAATCGATGCGCTGTGTGCATGTTAGTTTTCTCCATCTATGGTAGCAGGGGATGCTGGTTCACTTACACTCTGCCCAAGGTAATGATTTCCTTCACACCGGTGACCGGATTCGTCTTCACGACCGCAATGGGTGTCAACGGCCGCAGGGCACCTTCGACAACGTCCACGCCCACGACGATGGGATCCTTCTTGTTGAAGACCTGGATAGGACTGAGCACGCATGGGAACACGGCATGCATCTTACTCTCTTCCTTCTTCTTTTCCCGGAGCTCTTCCATGTGTTTGGTAAAGGCATCGAACAGGTGATAGATGATATCCGCGGTAAAGATCTTGATGCCGTTCTCGTCCGCGTACTGCTGCGCTTCTTTATCGACTTTGACATCGAAGCAAAGCATTACCGCGTATTCTTTCGCTTTCTCGAGCATAGTGCCCGCCATCATGACATCTCGCTTGTACACCGGTCCAATGGCGATGTTCGCCACAGGGATCTTGCTCTGCTTAAGGAACTCCAGTAAAGCCTCCAAAGAGCCCAAGGTCGAAGCTTGGACGCTGACACCTCGGTTGTCTTTGGATATCTTGCTGAGCAGACTTTGTAGATCCGCCATGACGTCGTCCATCAAGTCGTCCTCGTCGTCTTCAGGTCCAACCACCAGAAGCCGGGAACCTGCAATGGCCTTTTCCAGGTCATTGGCAGCGATCTTGACACCCAGAGCTGCCTTGCACTCCTTGTTGTGCACATATTGCGACTTGAGACGGAGCTCCTTGAGCGGCGCAGGTGTAAGGAGCGCCCGGATATTAGTGGCAATAGGCCCGTCGGTGCCGCAGAGCACGATTCGGTCTCCTTCGTGCAGAACGCCATTTGACAGTACCACATCAATCGTAGTCCCGAGGCCTTCAATGACTTTAACTTCAAGAACAGTACATTCCACCTCGGACAAATACATCAGGCTGGACGTCATCCGTTCCTGAGTCAACGACACCAGCAGCTTGAGCAGATCCGGGATGCCTTCGCCTGTATGTGCGGAGGTTGGCACCAGTGACACGTACCGGCGCATATCCTTGTTCTCATAAAACAATTCGGAGTTGAATCCCTCTTTCGCAAAGGCAAGCTTGGTCTCAGCAAGTCGACTCTCGAACTCGGCCACCACCCCCTTGGACTGGAAAGCAAGACTGTCCTGGAAACCATTATTATCAATTTTCTTCCAGCCGTAAAGACGGTCGATCTTGTTGAGGGCCACGATGAACGGCGTCTTGCGGTCGCGAAGCAGTTTCATGGACTCTAGAGTCTGCGGCTCCAGGCCGTGCATAATGTCGACAACGAGGATGGCAATGTTGCAAAGTGAGGAACCGCGTGATCGGAGATTGGAGAAAGATTCGTGACCAGGAGTGTCGATAACCAACAAGCCCGGCACTTTGAACTCAAATTGGCCATCTTTGTTGACAACAGCTGTCTTCTGTTTCAGAGCATCCACGGGGAAATAGGTTGCACCGATCTGCTGAGTGATACCACCTGCTTCACCTTCTTGCACATTTGTCTGTCGAATTTTATCCAAGAGCTTCGTCTTACCCGTGTCGACGTGGCCCAGAATACAGCAGATAGGTGAACGCAGGTTATCTTTGGACCGGGCCGCAAGGGCCTCTTCGTGAGCCTTGGCTCTCCTGGCAGCTGCTTCGGCTTTCTTCTTTGCCAGCGCTCGCTGGGTGGCAGTCTTTTCCTCTTCCGAAGAGGATTCTTCTGATTCCGTGTCGGATTCGATCGGCCTCTCCTTAGGTGGACGCCCTGAATCCCGTATAGGCAGGCTTGACGATGTGGTTGGTTTGGTGACTGCTCCATTGGTTCCAGTCGTCTTTGAAGCGCTTCCGTTGGCAGCTGACTTTGATGCACCTTCGGCAGATTCATCGTCTTCGTCACTTGATTCGGCATCCCAACTCTCTTTAAGGTCTTCATCAGCTGCCTTCTCCCAATCGTCAAGCTCCGAAGATTCTTCCTGTTTTGCAGTATCTGCTTCGGCTGCAGCGGCGGCGGCGGCGGCTTCTTCAGCTTCCTTGGCCAGACGTTGGCGTTCTGCTTCCGCAGCTTCAGCCTCCTGTCTCGCTCGTTCAGCAGCGGCTTCGAGGTCAATCTCTTCCTTCTTCGGGCCCTTCCGCTTCTTGTCGACGGCGGGTTTCTTCTTCTCTTCGACACCCTCGGACAAACCTGCAACCTTGACGCCGGATTCTAGGAGTTGTTTAAGGCGAAGTTCTTGTTGCTGTTTCCTTTTCCTGTCAGCCTCTGAGAGGAGTTTGCCTTCTTTCTTGAGTTGTTCCTTCTTCTCTTTCTCCTTCTCCTTCTTTCGCTGTCTTGCCTCAGCTTTCTTTTTCTCCTCTTCCGCTTCCTGTCGCAGGCGCTCTTCTTCGGCGGCCCTTTCGGCGGCTTCTAACTTAGCCTGCTCTTCTCGCTGCTTAGCAAGAGCCTCTTGCTGCTTTTGAATAGCAGCGAGATGTGCAGGAATTTTTCTTTTCTTGCCCGATTTGTCCTCTTTCTCTGATGCGGCGACAGGGGCTTCGGCCTTCTCAGGTGCGGCTGGCTTCGCTTCCTCAACCTTGGGACCTGGTGCTGGGGCGACAGTCTTTTTCTTTGCAGCCTATTTGCTCGTTAGTATTGTAGCAACCAGGTTAGGGACGCTCACGTTACCTGTTCTTTCTTTCTCTGCTTCTCACGTTCCTTCTTCTCGCGTTCCTTCTCCTTCTTGGACTTCACGCCCTCGCCAGCGTCTTCGCCATCTGCATTAGCAGGTTGCTCGTCCTTTTCTTGTTGTTTCTTGCCACCCTTGGTCTTCTTATGAGCGTTGCCCGCAAAGACATCATCATCCTCATCATCAAAAGTTGCTTCGGTGGGTGCTTTCGCATCCAGGTCGTTCTCAGGTTGGGCCGGGGTAACACCGTCTGCATCTTCGCCCTCGACAAAGTCATTGACAACCGGTTTGCCCTTCTTTGCACGTCTGTCTTTGTTCTTGCGCAGAGCTGCCAGCAATCCTCCACCGCCGTTTACCTCCTCAGCGGCATCGTTTTCGGTTTCTGCCCGCTTCGCATCTTCGGTAGCCTGGGCTATCGGATCGACGGTCTCACCGAGCTCGTTCTCCCAGTCGTCGGCCTGCTTCTTGCCGCCCTTCTTCTTAGGTGCCATTGCAGAGGTTGAGCTGGGGGATGGATTTTAAGGATATGAAGCGTTCACGGTTTAGAGGCGGCGACATAAAGTCGTGTGCAGTTTTTGTCAAGGTTGGTGGGGAGGCACTCGGGTGACTGGTGGCGTAGAAGCGGGTAGTGGCTATTGGGCAGAGGCTTGGATCTTTTCGTTCTTCGCCACCAATTTTTTTTTAGGGGAGAATTGTACGGGGGAGTCGGACTTAAAGGTTGTGAACACTGGGGATTATAGTAGGAACTAGAAGTTGACAAACAAGCTGAACGGATGGTGGTGGGGCAATGAGAAGAAAATAAAGTGACGTTCAATGAAAGAAACAGTGCGGGCGGAGGTTCGGCTTCGCTGCCTGTCTTGGCACTTCTTCGCTAAGAGGCAGCCTTGTCACCCGTGAGGCTCCCGCCAACTGACCTTATTCCACAGTCGCCATGGTACAGAGGTGACCCACGCTCAGGCTCACAATTGAAAATAAGGATTATCCTCTCTGGGGAGGCTAGGAAAACTATCTGGACACGGTGCTGGATCCTGAGCCTGATCATTCCTCGTTCAGCACTCGCAACATGTATTCCAGCTCCAGTTCCCCAAGGCTACGGTAGGAAGGCACCCCATGCGTTTGATGACATGAGAGGTCTCGCTGTCCCGTCTTTCCCATCATCAAGATCTTGGTGGATACCTCATCAGCTTCCTTATCCAAGCAATCACGGCATCCACGGGCTCCTCCGTGTTCTTCCCAAAAGTCTCTTTTACCAAAGCATTGAAACTGTCCAACATCTCTGACCCTCTGAGGACATTGCGAAGGTTGTATGGCCCTTGATCGATCATCATGAGGAGTCGGTCTCCCTGGACATGCATATCTCTCGGCCGGAAAGCTGGGGGTTTCCAAAGATACGCCTTGTTGTCCGTGTCTCTTTTCTTAATGGGCACCGGTTTGATCGGTTTCCTGATCATATGGCTCATTTCTTCTATGAAGTGAAGTAGTTTCCACTCGTTATGCTTTAGAAGCGCAAAATGGAAAATGGTACCATCAAGAGTGCAGCCGTAGAAGCGAGTTCGGTCTGTTTTTCGGAGTCCCTGTGATGTATCGAGTCGGAAGCGGTGGATGTGACCTGGAACCGTGGCATGAAAGGCAGGGACTGCATCTGTGGTTCCCTTGGTCAACCCGGAGAAACCAATGATATCCGTGCCTCCCACGTCGGCAGAGGCAAAAACGGCGGTGGAACCATCCAGGACGACAATGTCCTTGGCATATCTCAGCTTGGTGTCACACTTATGATGGTGCAGTGCGTTTTCCTTCTCCACGAGCACGAATAACGAATGTTGTTGTGTGGCCACGCAGATGAGCGAACCTTGACAGGAGATAGCGTTCGCATATGACGGGAGAGCGTGCCTTGCCAACGTCTTCCATCGGCGTGTGGACCAATCCAGGTGATGTAAGATAATTTCTTTCCCGGCAGCAATCAAGAGAGACGACATTTTGTACGCACATATCGCAGTGATAGGCTCTCGACTGCTAAATGCAAGTTTAGGAGTAGCATCAGGCTTGCCCTTGCCCAAGCTTTTGGCGTTAACACAGACAACGCGCCCAGGCCCCCGCGCACCTGGTGCAGTGCTCGCTTGCTCCAAAGCAAGTACCAGCCATTCGTAGTGATTGTTTCCGTCGGTCGGTGCCCAATCAATGAGATCGTGGATAATATCGCTGTCGTCTCCCGTCACGATTGTTGAAAAGGTGCTGTACTCAGAATCCTTCGATTTAGGATATTGCAAATTCGGGGTGATGAGCTGTAGTCCGACTCTTTGAACCTTATCTAACGGAGGGCTGGAAATGTCTTTTCCACCCTGGGACTGAGGCACACCTATGTGTCTTCTTGTTCGCATTTCCGCAGGACTGCCTTCTTCGGAGAACGCCACGACAAACCGCTGGAGGAACCGCGAGTAGATTACACGCTTGGGGGTGCCATTGAGGTTCAAGTGCCTTGCTATTCCGTGTTCCTGAGCAATCACGGAACAGAAGAACAAGTCCTCTGCAACAGCGCATATCAGGAAGCCTCCGGGTTGTTCGTCTCCTGATGCAAGCTTCGGGATTCGGTGGACGGCATTGACCAGTGGCTGGGCCGAAGGCTGATCATTTATTAGCAGAGCACGAAGGATGGTCAAGGACAGAGTTACCTTAGTTCGATCTGTCACCCACAAAGGAGACATAGTGTAGTCGACCACGGCGGAATTAGGGTGGAGTGTGATTCGATGAAGCGTGTATTCGCAAAGCACAAGTGCAGATGGATAATGCGGATTGCCGGGCTCACTCTTTTCTTCGACAATCTGTACAGAAGTTGCCCCAACGCGATACACGTCGTCACATTTCAAGGCTATGCGAGTGTTAGAATTCAGGGCATATATCGAAGATCTTTATCCCATACCTGTTTTGGAGGCGTCGTCAGAATCCACAGTAAGTTCCAGACAAATGACTGTGCCCGAACGTAGACCACATAACAGCAGTGTTGGGCCAGTGGCGGGCTGCTTCAGCGCGACCAGGGAAGACACAGCGGAATTCTCGACTTTCGCACTTAGATCCTGAACTCGGAATTCAAAAGCAAGTTCTAGTGTTTCGGTATATCCCAATATCTCTCCGGTCGACGTCCCAATTAGAACCAGCTGCGAGGCCTGTGCCGGGATGCAGCAAATCACATTGGGAACGTGTCTCAGTCTCACAGAGGGACGGCATGTGAAGCGACTCAATCCATTCTCTGAGGTCTCGATATCGATCACACAGAGTTCATGACCTGAGCTAACGCGGTTCGCGGTGACAATGGCTTGCTCATCAGCGAAGAAGGCTGCGTGTGTGATGCGGGACTTGAGGTGACTCAATTCTCTGGCTTCTCCGTCAGCGTCAATAAATATGGCGTGCGCGCCATGGGTGGTCACTTGTACAACGGTGTTCCGATTGATAACCGTTGCAGCAAGCGTGGGGTGGTCGAAATCGAAGCCAGGGTGGCTCTCTGTATCCGTGAGTGAGATGTCTTGAGTGTCTAACTCGAAAGCGACCATCGACGAGTTGGTTGTATGCGAAGCTAGTAGCAATAGCTCGTTGGCATCCGGTATCTCCAAGCTGAACAGCCGCTCGACCAAAGCAGCCTCTGGAAACGACATTTCCCAACCGATTTGCGCTTCCAAGCCGTACCGAATTTCAGACACTTGACCGTGCCTATCACAAGGACCTGAACATGCATAGAGCCTGCCTGGTGTGCCTTGCCACATGGCAGGGTCTTGAGAATCGATGGCTATCGGAGGTCCGAGGGCAATATCATTCAGCGGTGCGAGTGTTTCAACACGCTGAATGCGTTCCGGCGATCCTCTTGCTGATACGTGGAAGACGCCTCCGTCTGTCAAGCTTCCACCCACTATGATGATATCGCCGCCTGTTCTGGGGGGGCCCGACAGCATGCAGAATGCCGTGTCAACGCTGAAACCAAGATGCCCAATGGTGTTGTTGGTGCTGAATTTGGTGCTGGATGTTTTGTCGATGAGAAAATTCTTCAAGAGTCCATCTTCTCGCAGGATGACAATATCATCGCACCGCTCGAGGTATTGGTTGTGGCGTCTAGGTCTTACCCATTGAACCCACTGCAGACTTGTGTCTATGTTATCCATGCATCGACAGTAGACTCGCTTCATTTGAGAAGATTGGACATTCTCATAGTAACTGATGCCAGATGCCATGACAACGATGTACGAGAAAGGCCGCGTCGACGGAATCAGCATCAAGGGCAACTCATCTTCTCTCAACCTGCGCCCACTACAGGTCATTGGCTGTATTGTCTGCAGGGATTGACGAGTGTCCCATCTGTAGAGGTATTGATGCGTTCCCTGTTCCGCGTCTCCAGAGTAAACCAGCAGGAGCAGAATGACCTTGGTGGGATCGGCTTCTGGGCTGCGTAAAAAGGTCATCATAAGAATCTTGCCAGCAACTTGAATGAATCGTTGCTAAGCTGGTTAGTTTTAGAACCTTTCGTGAGGACATAGACACATACCTCTTCTGAGGGACGGAAAGAGGCGGGATTAAGGGGGTCCCATGTATCAATCTCGGATTTGATCTTATCCACGTCATGTAGCTTGAAGACTCCAAAGTAGCCCGATGGAGAAGCGACGGCTAGGGCACGGGATCTGAGGCATCAGTTAGCCCACAATCCACAGGAGCTGGAAGCTGCTCGCAGGCATACTCGGGATCAACTGCGATATCTCGACATTCTCTGGAAGGCAGATCCACTCCTCCCAAAAAGGGCCTTTTTGCGAAGATGAGTTTGACGTCTCCAACGACATCTTTCCTTGCATAGATGTAGATTAACTCGTTGTCTTTGGTGATGAGAACAAGAATCTGTGGCGGCTCCGTCTCGTTTACGGGTTGACCACGAATACTGAACTGCTCTTGATCCCGCTCTTGTTTCAATATAGCATCGACAATTGGAACAGACTTCAACTCTGCCGATATGATTCTAGCATCAGTGATTGTTGTGCCAAAGTCTAGCTTTGCAGTCAAGACGACCAATTGTCCACTGTCTTTGAATTCGTGAAGCTGGACGAAAGTTGGGCCAACAAAGACCACATCGTTATTGGAAGGAGAACGAATACGGGCAGGGAGGATCCATCTGATGCTGGAGCTCGAGCTGAGAGTCCTAGACAAGATGCCTACACGGTCTTGGGTGGCCAGCCGAGGCTCGTCACGCCCTTCCGCCCATTGCCTCTGCGGAAGATGACGGCTCTTGGAGGCCATGGTTGACAACGCGAGACGGCTGAGGGAAGTCGGGGAACAGAATGAAGTAGAGCTTGAATGGAACAGAGCAGGATGGTGATTATGTGGGTATGATGGAAGGGATTTTCGTATAGGTTATTGCATAAAGAGGCTGAAGAAGTGAGGCGAGGGGAAACGAGAGCGGCAGAGCTGAGGTTGATATACCCCGTAACTGGTCTGTATCCGCGTCTCTGTGCGTAAACCGCGCCCTGGCTGGATTTTGTTACAGTATTTCGCTTCTCTCTTCTCCTCTCTCTCCCTCTCACACAACTCTAGGAACCTCCCGAGAGAGACATGCGTCGCGAACAGAGGAATGCAGCGGTCAGAATACGGGGTTGGTGGTCCAAGACGCCGAGGGACAGCAGCAAATCTGGCCTTGCGTCCGACTGGATGGCCATCTGTTCATCCAACATGGGGGTCCGCATAGGATGCATCCAAACAAGTCGGTCGTCTGTGAAATCAACCTGTCGTTAGGCCTTGAGGACGATGTTGGCGAACACAAGCAAATGCAGGGGCTTTGGAAAGGACACCAGGTTCTGCAGGTGAAAAATGGTCGCTGATTTTCCTTCCCCACCTCCGCAACTTTCTTGGTGCTTGTCATTCCAACAGCCGTCTTCACCCTGAGTGAGAGTCACCATCATCCTCGCCCTCACCTATCCATCCATCACTGCAAACCTCAGTGACCCAAAGACGACCAACGAGACCTGTGAGCCCTGACACTCTTCGATTGACCCCGTCCGAACCATCCATGACACGATGATAAAACAGGGAGGGTTGCTTGGGTCTGGGTGTGGACAAAGTTGACATCTGACAGGGGTCAAACCGGCTGCTTTTGTGCGACCTGTCACATTATCAACCACCGCCCGCGTCAAATTCCATCCCCATGCACGTCTTGATGGCCTGGAGGTGACACGGCTATTGTCTGCTCACGGCCTGTTTCAATCTCGACCCAAAGAGCGGCGTGCACTAGGCCGTCTGCGCCCGCACCGTCGCTTAAACGTACGGTTCGCAACACACGCAGATGGCGATCGTCCGATCAAGCTAAATAAGGCACAATGCATTGCGGCGCCGACACCGTGGGTGCAGCTGTCAATCAGAAGCAACTGTCAGCTTCTATGGCTTCTGCTGAAAAGCTTCCTCTCTCAGATGTCGACGCTACCGCAAAGGCTGAATCAATACAAGAAGCCTGTCGACAACGGGATTTCGTGGCCCTGGTAAAGCTTGCAACTTCGACTGGCGGTCTTTTGACCGACGAGTTGCGCCGGCAAGCTTGTATGTCCCCCCTTGTCCACCAATAGTTCGATACACTCCGTGGCACTTTGAACTGATGCATGAACTTGGAAGGGCCAATTCTATTGGGTTGCACACCTGAAAGCACAGCACCGGCCCAGCCAGAGCACTCAAATCAGCACCAGTGGAGATCGCTACCCCGTCACCCGGACGAGGATCAAGTACAACTTGATGTCGATCGTGCCTTTGTATACTACCCTAAAGGTTTGCGCCCTTTTCCCAAACAGCCATGTGACACTGGCCTGACTGCAGCCAGATGAATCGGAACAGTCCCTCGGGCAAAAGAAGGCGGAGCTCTTTGAGTTGATTGTGTCGGCGTTGAGAAGCTATCCAATCCTCTCTTACTTCCAGAGCTATCACGATGTCGTACAAGTACTCCTCCTTGTGCTGGGAAAACATCAGGCTATGCCTGCCGTTCCACGAATCTCTTTGCTCCGTCTTCGCGACTACATGCTGCCGACCATCACACCTGCGACGAAACACTTTGAGCTGGTATCGGCTGTCGTGATGGCCGCCGACCCCGAACTAGCGAATCACATTGCCCAGGCCGAGAATATTTTTGCCTTGTCGGCAACTCATTCCCTTTTCGCGCATGATATCTACGACTATGGCGACATTGCCAGGCTGTACGATTTCTTGCTTGCGCATGAACCAATCATGAGCATCTATTTGTTTGCGGCGGTCACAATATCGAGGCGATCGGAGCTGCTCGAGATGCCTGCAGATCAGTCCGATATCCTGACTTTTGTCATATCCAAACTACCCCAGACTTTCAACATTGACGCACGGATCCAGGATGCCGTGACTTTGTTTCGCCATCATCCGCCGCAGAGACTGCCTGGCTTTATCTGGTGGCGCCTCTCTCGCTACAGCGTCCTCAAGACATCACGTTGCATCAAGCAGCCTCAGAGCCTGGAAGAAGCGGAGATTCTTTGCCGGAAGCAAATCCAGCAATTCCACAGCCACGAGGTAATGCGCAAGAGAGCACTATTACTTTACAGATACAGAAAACCCGCCGCATCGATGACGGCCGTCATCTTGGTGGGAATCTTCTCAATCTGGTTGCGAAAGACGGGCCACGACAGGATCTTGTGGTCCATGATATCGACCGCAACTACTTTCTTTTCAACTCTGCGATAGACTGTCCCACCGGATCGAGACTCGGGAAGGAGAAGCTTAGATTTCGATCTTACACGGACCTGACTGGGTGAACGCCCGAAGGTTAGGAGTCTCCATATGCAGAGGAGTAAATCTACGTGGTGCTATTGTCCTACGAGTGAATGCTTGGGACGAAAAGACCACCATACTTTGATCAAGCTACGGCCGACTCCACCGTCCACCCTTGCTGCATGTGCATCACACAACCCCACCCGAGCCAATCATTGATGCTCTTTAACCCTGATATTTCCAATTCTTGCAATGTGCATTGTGTGCCAATGTGGACGGGGATGAGGTGCTCCAATGTGGCGTCTATTGGTGTGTCAAGGGCATCTCCTGGCAAAAAGCTGTCACCCTGGCTCACCACCGAGCAATCACGGGAAGCTATCTAGGCCAATGCCGCCAGCTTGGTATCAGAGGGTAATGCAGCGCTTTCTGGCAAGCTGTGGCACGGGAGAGCATGTTGCTGCAGTGTGATGAATGACGAGCGTCAAGTGCAATAATCAGTTGGAAAGATCTGCCTGGGAGAGCTTTGCTACGACAACATGGCAGAAATGATAGCCACAAGAGAGGTCTTGTCTGCACAGTTTGCAGATGTGCTTACCAGTGAGGGCAGAGAATGTGCACTGCATTGGGGTGGGTGTATACAGGGGATCAGGCATGTTGACACGCATCGAGTCTTTGTTTTGAACAGGGTTCTGGTTCTGACCACAACATCCAAGCCAAGAACCACCGACAGGCTTTTGTGAGGTCAAAGACAGTGAATTTTGAGGCAGAGCCTGACACATCACGATGCTTCCATACTTCGACAATTGAGATGCTCTTCGAAACCCACAAATATCTGAGCGCAGCATTGATAGTAGGAGAGAACCCTTGACGTCGCGTATAAGGCACCCTTGTAGAAGATACAGGCTCTAGGCATCAAAACGCAGAACATCAATCTGGAGCGAAGACCTGAGGTACAAGTTGACTTGCGTGCTTGCTTGGAAGCCATTCAACTAAGAGTCCCCTTTCGGGATTGGCTCCAATATGTTTGTAATGACGAGCCCTTTCCAGGTCAAAAAAGGCCGCACTAGGTGGTAATTACAAATACTTTCTTGTAGTATGACCTTTCACTGCGCTTCACAGGGGGCGGACGTCTATCTCCAAATCACTTACTCCGACAGGCAAACGTGTCTGTACTTTGCTCTCAGTCAAGCACCAGTCACCCCGGTCCAAAAGCACTCTCGCTGTCCATATTCTCTCGCCGCTAAAGATGGCCAATCGAGGCTACGATGTCGTTGTCGACGTCGACACAGAAGTATGCAAACACGCCCCCACCTGTCCCTCGTCCCTTGATCGCAATTGTGTGAGAATAGCACGGCGGGAAAACTAACCACATCGACACAGGGTGACCTTGGACACACAGACCTGCAAGACGACGACCTAGAATTCCACCCATCCAGTACGTCTCCCCCTGTCGGTCCGCCTGCGGCCGTACTATAGAGATTGGACCACTGACGAGAGTGGGTTCACACAGACTTTGAATCGAGTTCCTCGAGCCGCAAAATCCAGCCCGACACCCCCTTCCTCGCGGGCTCGGCGAATCCGACCAGCAGCCTGCCCAACGACCCGTCCTCGATGCCGCAGAAGCACATGCTGTGGTCACTGTCCTTCTACGCGCAGTTCTTCGACGTCGACACCTCGACGGTCCTGCACCGGTGTCGCTCCGCCATCCTCCCCTTCATCCCCAACACGCCCCCGTTTCTGGACATCATGGACGGGAACCCAGACCTGTACGGGCCGTTCTGGATCGCGACCACCGTCGTGGTGATCCTCTTCCTCACGGGGACCATCTCCCACAAACTCGCGACCGAGGGGAAGAAGCATTTCGAGTACGACTTCAAGTTGCTCAGCGGCGCCGCCGGTCTCATTTACGGATACACACTCTTCATTCCGCTGGGCCTCTGGGGCGCGCTGCGCTGGTTCGGCGCACAATCTCTCGAACTGGTCGAGTGCTGGGCGCTGTATGGATACAGCAACCTGTTCTGGATCGCTGTCGCGTTGGTCTCGTGGTCGCCGCTCAACGGGCTCAACTACGCCCTCGTGGGTCTGGGATACGGGGTGAGCGTGTTCTTCCTGGTCAAGAATCTGTATCCCGTCATCAGTGCGACGGAGAAGAAGATCAGCCAGGTGCTACTGTTGGCCGTGGTGTTGCTGCACGCCGGCCTGGCCATCGCCATCAAGATCTTGTTCTTCAGCCACAAGAGCCCCGCGAAGGACGATGACAGTAAGATGTTGTTCTAGTTATTGGAGAGGGGCTTTTTGGTAAACCCCTGGCATGGGAGGGCGCCTGTTCAAGGGCTGGAGGCATGCTACCGGACGGACACATGGGTTACACGGGTATATGTATCAATAACTCGAGGAATACAGGAAAACCGGGCGAGAGTTTTCTGCGCTTCTGGGAATGACTGACTCTATTAATGACGAATAAACTTGTTCAAGGAACACGGATCTGCTGTGTAAATTTTTCGTTTCTGCACTCTTCATACTACTTTCTGACAGGCGTATTGGTGGTCAGCGCATGCTAAGGGCGAGCGCGAGATGAACGGGCATTGAAAATAGCTGCGTCTGACAATCTATGCCCAGCCCGTGAGAACCTCGCGGATTCACGACGACGTTTCTGCATCTTCTGCCGCGCATCACTCCGAAAGGCACACCCAGAGACTCTTGCGACGTTACTCCTGCGTAGGGTGCACCATCCATCAACACTCTCCCGCACTGTCCACAGTCCATCTCGCGCGAAACCGGCCACCCCAGCAAAAAAATACACGACCCTGCGTACGCAGACCACTACTTGATCTTCTTCTTTGGTCGGAGTTGGTTGGTGTGCCCGCACTTCTTCTTGCGGCAGTTGGTGGCTCGGGGTGGCAGACGGGCGTAGCACTTTCGGCAAATCATCTTCTCGCAGTTGTATTTGGAGGCGAGGGCCTTGAGAGAGGGTTCGATGATACCGCCTCGGAGACGGAGGACGAGATGCAGGGTGGATTCCTAAATTTTGAACAGACCACAGGTCAGCGGACTCCGCGCAACAAGTGAGAAAAGATTTGATTTCCTCCTTTTGGGTCGCTATTTGGGACAGTGCGAAAATAATTGTGGTATGTACCTTCTGGATATTGTAGTCGCTCAGGGTGCGGCCATCCTCAAGTTGCTTGCCGGCGAAGATCAATCGCTGCTGGTCAGGTGGGATGCCTTCCTTGTCTTGAATCTTGGACTTGACATTGTCGATCGTGTCGGACGACTCGACCTCGAGGGTGATGGTCTTGCCCGTGAGGGTCTTGACGAAGCTGTTATACGCAAAGAGAAACCATCGTCAGCACTTCATACTCTTCTCACGGCGTTTCTTGAAATTGCCGCAATGTCGGAGCGATGACCAATATTTCGCAAGGTAGTTCGAGTCGGACGTGCGTTCAGGAGGACTTACATCTGCACTGAAGACGAAGTCAGTAAAATGGCGAAGGCCCTCTGAGTCACATAGGTCACAACTTACTCTTGTCAAGATCTTCTGGTCACTGGCGATATTGGTTGATGTGTAGCAGCAGTGAGATCGAAAAGCGAGGGGTGGCAAGATACCTTTGATTGTGGACGCAGATTTGGCGCCAAGACCTAGCCCTACAGAAATAGAAGGTTGAGCGGATGAGGTCTTCAGCCTTGCCACCTCCAGCCAATCTCCGTCATCGCGTTGGTCTCTGGTATTTCTTCCAAGATCAGTAATAGTCGGACGTCTGGAGTGAAGTTACTCGGTACCGAGTACAGATTCTGATTCTATGTAATCCGCCCCCTATACTTTCTCCCAGTGTCCTTTACACAGTTCCTGTTCCTGCCCTTAGTCCACAGGTTCTTCCTCTAACAACAATGAGAAGCTGAAAGGCTCAAATGTCACGCCCTCCCCAACGAAATGTTTACTCATTGCCTCTACCCAGTGCAACCTGAGACTGTGCAACATTGCACTTGTCCCTTCCATGACACACAAGACGGCAATAGTCAACACAAACCAGAAATAAAAGGTTACAACAATCATAATGACTTGTGCCGCGCCGGACGCCCCAAAAGCGTTTCCTAGCGTCATGTTCCACAAGACGACGGAGAGCTGTTGATGGGCAAGCGAGAGCGCCCACAGACGAAGGTACGAAGCGGTATGGGAAACGCAGTTGAGACAGAACTCGATCGTATCTTTTCACCAGTATGTTAGACTGTGTACCAAAAAGGGAGGAGCTGAAGAGTCCATAGTACTTACGAATAGTTTGATGGATCATGACTTCCGAGAATTCGAATTCCTCTTCCTCCTCGTCTCCGATGTTCTCGGTGATCATTGCTCCCTCGTCATCATCCTCACTAGGTCGGCCATTCATACGGCGTTCATTTGTGTTGGTATTCTCATCGTCGTCGTCTTCTAGATCTGTGGCATGCGTGACACGGCTAGTGTCGCCAATGCCGCGGTATCCTTGAGCAGCAGTCTTCTGATGTTGCCAGCGAAGGTACAGAGGCTTCAAAAGCAGGAGGATGGGGACGTTGATGACGGCAATCAAGAGCAGGAATACTTGAACCCCCGCTTGACCCGAGTAAAGTTGCTCACTTTCTTCAACGTTCCCTGGAGACAGAAACATCTGAATCAACATGTTGAGCAAGGACGGTGGGTTGCGACCTTCGGCGGCCCAGTCGATAGACCATTTGTAAAGGATACAGAACGAAAGATACCCGAAGATGGCTTGGAAGAATATCATGCCAGGCACAAAGTTGCCCCAGATGTCGATAGGAGATTTGAAGTGTCTGGCGTTGACATAGGAGAAGCATAGAGCATAGGTCATGTGGGCCCAACCCATTAGAATAGACAGCTTCATCTTCAAACTGTTGCTGAAGAGCAAGTCATTCTCGGAGCCGTGCCATGCCCAGTCCAGACCAAATGGATATCTGTAGCTACCTTTGAGGTGAGCGGTGACTTC